GCAAGTTTCAAGAAAACAAATAATCAAAGTTAAGAAAAATACTACACCTTATTGAATTGACACGTTCAAAAACAATTTTCAGATATATGTTTTGCCTAAACAATTCTTTTGTCATCATTATAGGACCTGACTTGATTAATACAATTAATCGATGGGATATGTTTTGATTAAACATGATATACAAACTACAAAATAGATCATAAAGAAACAATGGCAGGTGTCTAAGGTAGGGTTAAGAATATAAAAGTGGGGGTTCGAAATTAAGAATTCTTTAGATTAGTCAAGATGATGTCCAGGATATTGTTTCTAGTTTGTCTCATCTCGGTCTTTAGACCTGCCCAGTCTGTTAGTTATACATGTCGTAAGTAGGAATTATATAATACAATATGATATATTATTATTTAAGTAAGTTTTATGTATTAATGCGATAAAATAAGTTCGTTATTATAAATATGTTCGTCAATTTCATTTACCAAAATCATAATTACAACTAGTAAGTTTTCCAAAATCATTATTCTCAACCGATAAAATTACCACAATCATTACTTTTTGCAGGTGCATTTTCTTCATCATATTTACACCAATCACATTTACATTAGGTGCAATTCCTACAAGTGTATTTGCAAAAATCATATTTACCTAAATCGTATTTACAACAGGTAAATTTACCACAATCATATTTACAATAGGTACACTTACCACAATCACATTTACTATGAATTATCAATCATATCATATATCAGTGGCAGCCTATTATATGGCATGGAATAATAAATCTAATATATTTGGATTCAGAAATGTGACACTTATCAATTTTTACTTCATACAGAATTGCTTGGTATAGGATGTGAAACAACCCCAACGCCGTCAGGGAATGATCCTCTTTGTGGTAAGTGTTTTAGCATTTTGTATCGGCAGATTGACGTTTCGTACAAGTTTATCATTGTAAATTATTTATTTCCAAATTCCTTTTATGTGATAATTTCAACTTGACTAATATCGGATAATACGCATTTCCACTAATTCTCTTGTTTAAAAATCAAATATTCTTTTATATCTACCCCTAAATTACCTTACGTCCACATCTTTTTTTCAGCTATTTTCCCAGACAGATGTAAGAAAGTGACTGAACCAGCGTATTGTAGTATGCCAGGTAAACCCCGATTACCTTTCCCCGTACAAAATTTAACGCATTTTGAAACGAGTTGAGTATCGACGAATGGCACATTCAAACCAATTAGGAGTATTATAATTCATTAAGGTGTAGCGTTTTTTTCGTTTGAACACATTTTTTGTAAATTGTGAACAAGGCATATATACAGAAATCTACGTCATTTATTGAGGAGATGGCTAACTTTTTTTGTTTCTCATCTTTTACACAATTTTTGCGACTTTTTTTTTAGCGCTTTGCAAACTATGTCTTTCAAAATGTGCAAACGTACCGGGTTATGCAACAACTACTATACCAACCACTCCAGAACCAACCACTCCAGAACCAACAACTCCAGAACCAACAACCCCAGAACCAACAACCCCAGAACCAACCACTCAAGAACCAACTACCCCAGAACCAACAACTCCAGAACCAACAACCCCAGAACCAACAACTCCAGAACCGACAACTCCAGAACCAACAACTCCAGAACCGACAACTCCAGACACAACAACTCCTGCAGATACAACAACACCAGAGGCTACAACTCCTGTAGATACGACAACTCCTGCGGCTCCACCAATTCCTGCAGATACAACGACTTCTGTGGCTACAACGACTGCTGTAGACACTTCAACCGCTGTAGATACAACGACTCCTGTCGATACAACGACTCTGGTAGATACAACAACTCTGGTAGATACAACAACTCCTGTAGATACCACAACTCTGGTAGATACAACAACTCCGACAGCGACGACTTCTGCTGCCACAACGACAACGGAAACTCCAACCACGACACCTACTCCTGACAGTCAGTAAATTATTTATATCACGATATTCATTTCAAACGAAGTTTTATTTACGAATGATACTATTTGATTGCTACTTCCCCATCCATAATACAATTTAATATTCCAATATTTTCAGAATGCGAATATTCTAAATATGGTGCACCAAAGACAAGTCTGATGAAAAGAATTATTGGTGGACAAGTTGCACAAGAAGATAAATATCCGGGCCTTGTTTGTTTCCAGTCTCCGCTGTATTCACCGGGTCCGATTTCAACCTGTTTCTGTTCCGGGGTCGTCATCGATGAGACAACTATACTGACGTCACTGGGATGCTACACGTATATTGAAACGTCAGTTTTATTTGCTGCTTTCTTATATCATACCATCCACTCCAAGCTTAGGATCATCGTCTATTTGTTTACCTTAAAGGGTTACTACCTCTTACTATGGACATCAAATTTTAAGTCTGAAACTTGATCAATAAGTATATATATTCATCAGCTGGACTTAACAGGTGCTATGACTAAAGAAAAGTTGTTTGGAACACCATTATTTAGCTTATTTAGTTTTGATAAGAAATTCCCAATTCAGAAACATGCTACGACCTTGGTTTTCATGTCTGGTTTTCTGGCATGATATGAAAAAACATTCTGTCTGTTTTCTTACAAATTCGATATTGTTGCATTCTTTATTCCAGTATCCAAAGTCTTGATATGATAGTTAGTACTGTTATCGGTACACATGACACGTCTAAGCAGGCTGGGACTGAGCAAACAATTGTCTTGGATAAGCCATTGTCCTCCTCAAATATTGGTGGTAAGTCTTTAGTTTACGCGAGCATCTCATATACTCTTCTCATAACAAAATAACAAAACAAAATTGAAAAATGCAATATTTCTGATATACGACAATAGATTCAGTTCATAAAAAAGGAATATCTGATTTTTATCAATTACAGATTTGGTTGAAATTAACTTATCAACACCAATTGTATTTAACAGCACTAGTTCAGCACCTGCCTGTGTTATTAACCCTCTAATGACAGTAGACGAATCTACTTGTAAACTTATTGGTTATGGTGATATATATCCAGGATGTAAGTTATACATGTTTGTCCATTGATAATTATTATTTTTTTGGCGAGAAATTTCATAATTTTGAAATTTGAATTTCCTGCAACTATTGCATCGAATATATCATCTTAAAACCGTTTTAAGCCTAATAGCACAGTGAAAATATGTCCCTTTGTTTGCTACGGATATCAGTAATGTAGTGACTATAATTAAATTTAATTTTGCACGCAGTTAAAAACACAAATATCCGAGAAGGAGATGTAACTTTAGATCTATCTGGTGAATGTACTACGGCTGTTAACAATATTTGCAATACTGTGCCTGGAGGTTCTGTTGCTTGTACTGTAAGTAGTTTTTTTTGTACTAACATATTGAAAATAAAAATATATATTATAAAGAGTTCCGCTTTGGTTTCAAAACCCAAGAAAGGCCTTGTAAATTTACATATATTGTGGGCATATGCCAATCCGTTTTATGCGCCAACATGAAAAATATTTTGAGTTATTGCCCTTGGTTTACAAATTAAGTAGTATATTGTATAGGCGTATGATTTCTTTACCTGGCAAGCTTGCTTTCTTTCTAGGGAAAACTTGAGACGTATTCATGAACGAGTATTAACTTAATTAGGACCAAGTTGATTTTAATTGATTGACTAATGTTTCCTACCTTATAAAGATAATGTAAGTAAACATGTGTTTTTATTTATTACAGGGAGATGATGGAGGAGCAGTAGTCTGTGAAGAAACGGATACAAGGGAATATGTTACAGTTGGTATTATTGGTGCACCATCAAGTACCTGTGATAGTTCGCAACCTCAATCTATATACAGTCTGATGCCTGGCAACTCATATAACGATATGCTGTCAGATAAAGCTTATTATACCGTAGCTCCTTAGTAGAATGGCTGGTGCCGACATTGAAATATGACAAACCATTATTTAATGTAATATGAAATATAAAATATAATCTTTAATGCATTGAAACTTTTCTTTGAATTTAATCAGATATCGGGTACAAATTCAAAATTCATTAGTAATACTAAAAATGTCCTGCAAAATAAATGTCAAACACAATAACAGTGATATCGTATTTTCTGCAATTGTATTTTGGAGGGATATGAACTTCTGAGTGAAATGTTTTTATGAATCTTTAAAAGATCGATATTATTTTATTGGGATCTGACATACATACGAAAAAGAAGAAAAGGCTAGGTCCGTTCCCTAAACCGTGCTGATGTAGAGCGTGTTACGACAAACTGGTACATACGAAGGTAGACAAATTAAGGTATTGATAATTTGATTATACACATACATACCAAATTTGATAAATTTGGATGAGAAATAAGAAAGTTAGTAATGCGCAACATTCATGTATATACCAAGTTTGAAAGAAAGTGGTTAGGGTTAAGTTGATTAATTGAATATTAATCACTGATTACTCCCAGAGTACTTTATTAGTCACTGATTAATCTTCACCAAATAATATAATTACTTACCGATTAAATATGTTGCCACTAATATATGATATCCCATCTGATTACATCATTATCACCGATCACTTCAATAATCTTAATTGATTGATTACTCTTCAGTAATCTTTACTGACTGATTACTCTTCAGTAATCTTTACTGACAGATTACTCTTCAATAATCTTTACCGACAGATTACTCTTCAGCTAACTCGTCCCTAATTGATTGATATGGCAGTTGATTGAATGATGATGATTGACACTTGATTGAAAATCATAATTGACACGATTCAATCAACAGCATTATAAAGATCTTCAAATTATTCGATAAGTCATTTACATTCCCAAGCACCAAACAGGAATATATACACGAGAACAACTTTTTAAAGATTTAACCAAAATGGAATTTAATAAATATAAAAGTAAATGTCCTGAAAGATTAGCCTTGTCCTCCAGTAGATATGATCCTTATTCTCGTCAACAGCCACAACCGTAAGTAGCAATCTTTTTACACCTTGATCTTACTTTGGATTTTTATTTTATTTTATTTTACTTTTAATTTTATGGGATGATCAGATTATCTCATCGCGACCTTTAGTAATCAATTCTTATTCCATTTTATTGTATCTATGATTTTAATAAATTATAAGTGATGCTAAAAATATCTATTTTAGATGTACGAAAAACCGAGTTATATCATCCAAGAACACTTGTTTACCACTGTCACCAATCGATCCATGCTTACCAACAACACCATCCTGTATGTATTACAAGACGTCCACTCCAAAGGATCTCTTTCTACCAAACACTACCTTTACACCATCTTTAGCTGATAGTCTGCTGGAAGAAGAGACATTATGTCGAGACAATTTAGAATCATCACCCTTTCACGATATAGGAAGTCTTGCTACCCTGCCAGATAATTACTACGATGCGTTTATGCCTTCATCAACCGTTTCTTATGATCTAACAGATAATTTTGTTGTGTCTGACGAGGTAGACATCTTTAGTAACGTCACTGAAGAGTTCCTTTCATACATAGCAGATCATACGCTTCCAGTTTCAAGGGATATTAATGAACCTCTTGGTCAGCCCCCCAAAGATTCATTGATGACTAGCAGTATACAGCCAGAAACCATTAAGACGTTCACACCAGACCCACAAGAAATCATCCAGAATGAATCATCCACAGTCACCGTTTCTCAACCCACCAAGAAGTCCACGACAGAACCAATTCCACAGATTTCTGATAGCCGAGTGCAATGTGAATACTGTCCAAAGAAATTCCTTTTTAAAACTTCCTGGAAAGTTCATATGAGAACCCATACTGGTGAAAAACCATATACCTGTGAAGTTTGCTCCAGAAGTTTTTCAGACAACTCTACCTATGTTAAACATCTCCGAACCCATACCAAAGAGAAACCTTACAGTTGTGATGTTTGTAATAAATCATTTAGTCAATCTGGAAATCGAAATCGTCACATTAAGACCCACAATTCCTAACTGTCTGTTATGTTTGTTGAATGTTTGTTATTTATTAAATGCATATCATTAAAGTGCTATATCATCTAACATTATTACTGTAATATATTACTGTGAAGTAATACCCCTGATTACCACCATTCTGCTATTTTTTTGTCAAATGTACAAATATCATCCTGTCGTATCAAGGGTTTAAATAATCGTCAAATTAGCAAACCTTTGATAGATCTGAACGACCATGATCAGAAGAAATATAGTGGGACTATAGGATTCACGAGGCACATGTTACAAAACTGCATGGAAGTTTAAGATTTTATACCTTATTGGCTGTAGGACAGGGTGTCAAATTAACATTCTCTATAAACTACAATATGTAGGTGGCTAATAATAGTAAATATATTTGTAATTACACACAGTTACTAATATAATTTCTTCTCTGTAAAGGTCGGTATATTTAATAATTCCCAATTATCTTCAATAAATAATACAATAAGACCACTAACAGATCTAACAGATTGGTTCCATGACTGATGGATAGCAAACTATTATATATATATATATATATATATATATAGTAGATAGATATAGGTAAGATATTTCTTAGTTTAATTTGTCTTATCCGAAAAACTGCAAACATGATAAGTATCCCATTCGATATGGTGGAACGTCAGAAATATATAACCTCTTTAAACTGGCATTATCCTAGCCTATCTCAAAACGTGCGTATATGTCTCCGAAGAATACAATGGTGTAAGGATTAAGCAAAACAACCTATATCAAAAATCAGAGTTTCTTTTCTTTTTTAGAACTTCCATTGAACGTTAATTTCTATTAATATGCCGACTGGTGATGATGTAAAACGACCAACATTAGATGTGAAGTCCAAATTAAGGAGGCCAGAAAATAACAACAAATTAATGAAAGTTAACACTACAGTCAAGAGATTTAAACCATCCTCATTAACTGGTAACTGCTTCAGGAACTACATCTTCAAAAATATCATTGGAGAAGGTGGATGCGCTTACATTTATTTGGTTGAAACAGACATTCCATTTCGAAAGAATGGAACAAGTGAACCATCATCGACACAGCAGCATGATCTATCGTCATCTTTCCTTGAAAATCGTTCAGATTTAAGGACTTTGGCTCTGAAGCAAGCTCAAGACAGTTCTTCGAACCAATTGCAAATCACAAAAAAACTTTCAGCAGCCAAAGTATCTAAGCGACCAAGAAAATTCCAATGTCGACGAGAACTCGATTCTTGGACAACTGAATTAGATATTTTGACATCGATTCAACACGAAAATATATTAAAATGCTTAGAATGTTTCCATATAGAGGATCACGTGATAATTGTTACAGAATATGTAGAAGGACAAGATTTATTTAGAATTATAACAGAATGCGACTCTATTCCCATTAACTCCAGATCCATTGCTTGTCAAATATTTGAAGCTGTGGACGTTCTCCACTATAAATATGCAATAGCTCATATGGATCTGAAGATTGAAAATGTGCTAGTGGATAAATGTGGTCACATTAAGCTATGTGATTTCGGTAGTGCTGTGAGAATACCATCTGATGGCAAAATTCGAACAAGTGGCATAACTACCCCATCTATTCTACCTCCTGAATATTTCATACAAGAGTCATGTGACCCTAGAGCATGTGATACATGGAGTGCTGGAATTATTTTATATGTGTTGTTATGTCAACGATATCCATATGGTAATAACAATCCATTGGCTATATTAATTTTACAATCTGAACAACATCTTGATTTTAGTGGTATTGACACCAACGTATTTCAGGACATGATTCACCTTATAAAACAGTGTCTGGAAATAAATCCAAAACTAAGAATCACTTCTAAAGATGCCCTCAAAACTGACTTCTTTAAAATAAAGATATAAATTAAAATGGTTTTCAGTCTTATTTTCATATCATACTTTGTTATTCTTATCCCGTTCAAAGTGGCGACAGGTCTCTGCTTCACTAATAATGATGTAGCTTTGAGCCACCATCATTTCAATATTCTTCCTATCTGTTTAATGAAAGAAGAATGTCCTAGGACGTATTGTTAAATTGACTTTCGGATTAACAATAATTATCCTCAATAATTCATAGACAATAAGCGTACGAGTACTGCCTGCAAGTAGCCATTATCTTACCCTCATTTAAATGTCAATCTGGGTCAAACAAAATCATGCATTCTCTTCACAACTCTACCACTATTTTATTAGTAGGTTTTAGACTTTACCTTATCCTTTTTATTCAGGGGTCACAATCATCACGTAAGTAGATTATCAGACAAGGTTATTTTTTTTCAAAGCTAGAAAAGTATCTAGGCTCATGCTTCAAGAAACGTAATAAGGGAGATAATTGTGGAAAGGTGAATTTTCCCTAAAAGTTAGTCCGAAACACATATTATCTCAAGATACTGCTGTTTGATTTTGATATCTGTCAAAAGATTTTGTTTTTGGCAATGAATATTTGTAGGTCGATGCGAACCGTGGCTTTATGGGGCAAACTGTGACAAGCTTTGTGGAATGTGTAAAGATGCCCGTTGCAATGAAGATACTGGAATATGCCTAATTGGTTGTTTGGACGGATGGCGAGGAGAAAAATGTTTAGATCGTAAGTGTCTGTCCTTGATTGTATGGTCATAAAGTAGTCTTGATAAATGTGGATGTGAATAAATAGTCTTTTACAATGTAATTTACATAGGGACCTATCGGACGAATGAACATGATTGAATATTTCTCATTTGTTTCAGCTTGTAAAGACCGTACCTATGGACCGAATTGTATTTTGCAATGTAGCGCAGGCTGTAAACACAAAACATGTGTTAAATCTAATGGAGTGTGTAGTATATCTGGTTGTCAAGCAGGTTATAAAGGAAGGTGGTGTAATATTCCACGATAATCGCAAACCAGGAAAGAATCCTCATTTTCAAGGTGGAGTTCTTGCTTAAAATGAACATGTTAACTCTAAACCTTTATCATGTAATATACATATTTTATAATAAAGTTTTCTAATTTTGAAACATTTCATTGACCACTTTTCAAATATTTAGACCAATCAAGGTCTGAATGCAAAGATTTTCACGGTAACGAGATTGTTGTGTGCATAGTTACAACTCGCTGTTCATACTACTTCCTTTTCTATCATCGAAGAATTTGATTGGTTGGAAAATTTTCATTGGGCTGTTTTGATTGGCTGTTTGTATTTTACACAAAAGATTTTGAATGAATGTGTACACTACTCTTGATAACAGATAAATTTTACAAGATATTTGGTAAAAAACAAATCTTCATATTTACACAAATAATGGCTTCACAAAACCAAGACCCGACTGCAGTTAATCCCGTGAAAGATTCAATAAATGAGACGAAATTACCGAATGAAAAACCAAGTTTAAGGTAAGTATTGTAAATCGACTAAATTGTAGCCGTAGCTAGGCCTATTTAAAATGTATGAGGAAAGAAAAGGAAAAGGGATTGATTCGAGGGGGAAATCAGGATAAAAAAATTGAGTGATGAATGGCAATTTAGTCTTAGAATAGGATATATACTTAGGAATTGAGGTAATATATTAGCGTTGGTGGCACTAATGGGGAACATTTGGGAGAAGCCTTTCCCATGTCAGGAGGGCCTTTTGAGTTGAATTCAGCCTCTATCTCCGTCTCCATCTCAGTCTCCAAAGACTGGCGCTGTATAATGCCAACACCTTGTTATGTGCTGTATAATGCCAACACCTTGTTATGTTTAGATCTATCTGTTGTAGTATAAACTTTGTTTTATTCAGTTAGTCAGAAACTAAGGCTAAGTATGGTGATTGTGGCCTATTATTTGTTCAAATATAATTTTTTTTATAATTCCAGGTTAAAAAGAGAACTTCTTTCATTAATGGTCAGTATATTTTAGTTTGTTAAGCCTATGTTAAAAGTTCTCACTTGCATTTAGATCTATGGACCTATTATTCTTTTTCTGTTTTCACTGAATAGTGATTATTTACTGACTGAATCTGAAAGTAGTTTGGTCCAGATCAGGTAAAGACAGCCATTAGAATTAAGGTGATTTTGAAAATTTATCTTATTGATTGTAGGCATGTGGTGACCCTGGTATATCTGCCTTTCCTGATGGTGATAATTTGTTCAGATGGATTGGTACCATCCAAGGTGGCCAAGGAACAGTAAGTTAGTCAATAAATAGTGTACAGCAGCATTTCAGTCAGTTACATCGCTGACCACACAAATGGACATTAAACAAGTTTCTGAGCTTAAGGTTCTTTAGAGTCCTCTACAAACTTTATTAAATTGAACTCTCAGTGAGCAAGCTATTATGGGCAATTTTGAACACCCCATTCTGTCTCTCAGTTTGTCAACCTGTTATGTGTTTCAGAGTCTACATTAGTAATCACATGTTTATTGTTTGATATAAACATGTACCAGGTGGCAATAAGAAATTTTTTACCAGATGTCATCAATGTAAACATGGTATATCATGAAGACATTTTTTCTATACTATTTTCAGGTGTATGAAGGACTAAAATATAAGATGGTTTTTGAGTTTCCAAGTGGATACCCATATCAAGCTCCAACAGTGAAATTTGACTCACCATGTTATCATCCTAATGTAGATAGTCATGGCAATATTTGTTTAGATATATTAAAAGAGAAATGGTCTGCTCTATATGATGTTAGAACAGTTCTTTTGTCTGTACAGAGTTTATTGGGAGGTTGGTAATTTGTTTCCCCCTCTTGCTTTTTTTTGTTGAAACATTTTGCCTAAAATAGATAAAAAAGAAATGGATATTCCACATCGGTTAATTTTCTCTTATGCATTTTTTACTGATGAGGCAAAATAGACTTGAATTTACATTCTAAATAGTACTCTGAATAGCTGACACTTCTGCTAGTTTTAGCATTTAAAAACTTGATCCTTTGAAATTGAATTTCATTATCTTGTCTTTTTCATTTCAGAGCCAAATATTGACAGTCCTTTGAATACTCATGCAGCTGGGTTATGGCAAAATCAGACTTTGTACAAAAAACACCTGTTAGAGAAGTATGAAAAAGATGTTAGATCCAAGCAATCAACGTGATAAGTGTGATTCATGTGTCCAATTCCTTTGAAGACAATTCATTTTCATATTCATGTTCATTCTAATCCTGAAATCATGAACTCCTTGTACTTTATCTTATTTCTATCTTACCGATGTACTACATTGAAATAGAATAGTTTGTTTCAAGGCATTTATAAAAATGATATTCCTGAGTTTGGTAAATTAAGATAAAGATTTTTTTTGGACAAATTCTTGAATCTGAACAGTTTTCATTGGACAGGAATTTATTTGCCAATCTTCCATAATGTGTTTGATATATTTATTTCCCCATGTTGTTTTCATAATCCTGTATTTTGTCTTTCTGTAAATAAATACATTTTGTGATAAAAGTCACTTTGACCGCAGTTTGTGTTCAAGAGTTAAATTAATCAATGGTCAATGCTAACAGTCTCAAAAATATATTTTCTTTTTGAATGATGATATGAGATATGTGTACCATCAAGAGTTGTTTGACAATACAAGATAGTAACTTGATCATGTAGCAGAAAATAATAAACTTCAACATAACGGTGGACTGATTCGATTGGAATTTTTGAGTTAATGGATGATAGTTTTAACAAACAATACAGAATGTAGTGTGTCGCTTACATCATGAAATCCTGACATTTCGTTTGAAAATTAAAAATTTCTTTCTTGTTGACTTATCCATAGAACACATAGTTCTATGACTTATCTTAGTGTTAGATGTACAATCGTGAGAAAATAGTGACATAATCTGTGTTTGAGGGAAGCAAGTATCACAGGAGCCCCTTAAAAAATTTAAAATTCTTTTTACATTGATAACAGCGGCCCTAGTACCAAATTCAGGGGAGGTAATCGGTTTGTTGTGACTTTGCAAAATCGTGTCAGATTTGCTCTCTTGCATTCTCATTTTCAATAAATAGGATTCCACAACACACAAAGTATTGCCCAGATGAATCGTCCGGCCTGCATTGCATGTAGATTTGTGAGACGATATCAATTATCTCCGTCACATGTCAACAAACCCAAAACCGACAATTTCCAACGAAATTCTGAGTTGACAATTCACAGACACCGGTTGCAGGAACGACACTGTCATTCATCACTTGTCAATACAGAAACGCCAAAAGAAAGGGAGAACCCTAAAACTGTCAATACAGAATCGCCAAAAGCAAAGGAAAATCCCAAAACTCTCAATACAGAATCGCCAAAAGCAAAGGAGATTCCCAAAACTGAATTTTTTGGTAAGTTAGTAAAATTAACAAACCAAAATGTATTGTGATAATGTGAATTCAGAATGACAAATCAAGAATATTGCATCATATTATGATTAGGGGTAAATTGTATAGGTCAATTCATTATTTTTTGATGATTTGATTTATTTTGATAGAGATTTAAACCTAACCACTTCATTGAATTCAAGCATAAGCATGCCCATAAGCACTGATGATAGGGCAACTACTTTATAAAATTATACAAGGTTTATTGTAGATGAAAAAGTATCCACACAATTTGTTCCATCTCAAAGTAGAAGAGTTATAGTTGATCCAGCATCTGTTAAACAAGTCTTTTATTTTGATACCCTTTCTTATGTGAAAAGACTGGAAAAAAATGGTAAGATTCTTTCTTACTTCCATTTTATTGTCAGTGCTTTGTCAGTAACTGTAATAAAATTTGGTGAAAATAAATCAATAGGTAATAAAACATTTCAGATCATACAAAACTTACGAAAACAATTCTCTTTTGCTGAAATAAAATTTTGTTCTTTTGGTTATTGTTAGGTTGTAGTAGAGAACAAGCAGAAGGCATTACAGAATGTTTTACTGATATAATACATTCAACAATAGATTACCAGAGTCGTAATATGACTACAAAACCACAACAGGTACTCAATACAAAGTTTTTAGTATTTATAAACCCATTCAATTTTTTAATTCCTCTATGTTGTGGGGTGGCTTATTGTTTTGGAACAAATAAGAAACCAAAACAATCAATTCAATTCGTCAACCAAACAACAAGTCAACTTTAGGGTGGTCTAGAAGCGGTTAATGCTTACTTTAGTCGGAATACAGTATGAACAGTATTAAATATTTCAGAAAAAACAACTACTTTTGATTGAAATAAGTTCAATAATTTTTTTATATTGTAGGAAATATTAACCCAACAGTTATTAGCAGAAATAAGTTCCATTAAGAAAGATATGGTAATATTACAGAAAAGTGAATTTACATCTTTACAGCATGAAACAGATGTAAGTACACAAATTATTATTGACACAATAATAATCATTAGGTATCAAGGTAAATATTGTAATGAAAGTTTCCTTTGGACAATAAAAATATAAAATTTACCAGACAATAAAGAGTGTAATGGAAGTATGTTGTATGTAAGAAATTGACAAAATATAATATTTCAGAAACTTGGTGTAGAAATAAAAATGCTAAAAGAAACATTAGATGATGAAATGGGGAAGGTGAAAGGTCAAATAAAGTTAGATATTAATTTGGAGAGAGGGAGAGCCATAGAAGCTGTAAGTTATTCTTCATATAGGCGAGCACATTAATCACCATATATTTGTGGGTATATATTTTGCTCTAAAAAAGGGCTTGCCAAACAAGCGGGTGTGCCTTATATACAGTGACTAAAAATTTAGAATTTTACTATTAGTATTAAATACAAAAAAGATGACTCTTTCTTAATGTCTCCCAGATGTGCTCAAACATCATTTACTCATCCTTTTAACCTCCTTGCCAATATTGATTCTTGTATTTCTTCTTCCTTTAATTTGGTCCAATAACACAATGAGAATAAATATTATAAAAACCTCTGTTTTCAAAACACATGATCACATCAACATTACCATAAATTGAATATGCTATTCAGAGCTACGTTCACTTTGCTATTTTGAACCACCACTCAATTTTTAAATACATGTATTTTGTTTCAGCATGCTGGAAGTGAGAAAGAACTTGCTCAATTACATAATAAAATTGATACTGGTATAGCTAATTTAAAAACAATGTTTGAACAGTATAGAAATGATATGTTTAAATATGCAGGAGGTACAGTATATTTCATACCAATTTAGGAGTTTACATCAGATACATGTTTAGAGGAATATTTGTCTAATTAAAATTAGACCAAACGTTTGTTCCATTTTTTTTGTAAGCTTTTATTTTTATTATAGCCACTTTAGTTAAACAATAGCCTTTTGACCTATCTTGATAAACACAGCGTCACAAAATGCCAGCACTGGAAAGGATAGAAATTTGATTGATTAAAGCAGGTGTAATCAGGATATTGGCAAACGTTCAAGAGGGCTGTCGTAAGACCCAAACTGGGTCTATGTGGCTATATTAAAGATAAAAGCTAATAAAAATTGAAACTTTTTAAGGGAAATTATTTATCTATTGAAGTGAAATGAGTATGTAAACAGCTTTACAAAAGTCACCTTTGATTTGAAAACCGATATGTAACAAATTGGTTTTGGTAAGAATTTTTATTCATTTTTTTCTTTTCTTCAGGAACTGTGCTGACTATGGCTTCACTCTCATTGGCTTTAATGCGTTTTCTACATTGATGTTATTGGATCTGTATTAAATCTATTATCAGGTATTACTGACATACTAATTGCCAGTTTAAACATATAACAACATTGCATCTTACAAATGAAATTATGAGAATAGATAGTAAATAAAATAGATTAAGTAATTTAACATGCTCTTTTGATAATACTTGTGTAATTTGTCACCAATATTCTATTATAATATATATACCAATTGTATTGGTGCTTTTGTTTTTATCTTATATTATCTTCCTTGAGTGGCATTTAGTAATTGATGATATTAACACGAACACAATGATCATTGCTTGATAAAGACGAAAGAATCATCGTCGAAACGTCGCAAGTTATTTATTAAAGTAATTGTTATCCATATAATTGTGTTCGTGTTAATTATCTTATATTATGAATTTCAATTATAATTGTAATTATAATACCAATTGGAATAACAATTAATCTGTCTGAAGTATCCACTGCCAATAATCTCATATCTATCTTTGATATACGCACATACTCTATCTTTTACATGGTTTGTCAGGTCATTTCAACATTTTTATAAATACTTTTTATAAATTTTAATTTTAATATGTGTATGTATTGATCTAGTTTAGTAAACAGTAGAATTTGCCTACTCTGTTAGATTATCCTTGTAAATGTCAAAGCATGTCCATTTTTAGACACCTTTCGTTTTTATCAAAAATTATGAATTAGTTGCCAAAAACCTCATCTATCTTGACATACTGGTATCTTTTACGTGGTTTCTCAGGTCATTTCAACATTTTTATAAACATTTTTTTTATAAATTTCAATGTTAATATGTGCATTGTATTGATCTAGTTTAGTGAAAAGAAGATTTTACCTTTTAAGAAAATTATCATTGTAAAATCATGTGAAAGTATGTTTCTTTATTTGTGTGCAATTTATAATTTCAAGTGCAATCTGTCATGAATATGTTTCAAATGCTGCATATATTGGGGACCAATACATGTACATGTATGTAATCCATTTGTAGTGTTGTATTTATGTATTATATTGTTGATAGAGGCAATACTTTTACGATTTACTTGAGTGCAGTATTTTGCTGTAACTGTGATATGAGATGAGACTCTCCCAAAAGTTTTACTTGCATTGAAGATTTCAGTATGATTCAGTTTGAATTTCGCTTACATATAATAGATATTTTTGAAAGATGTCACACAGAGACTTATTTGCCAATTAGGTTTGTGAATACTATTATTTCGTTTATAAATGGCATTTGCAAATTGAAGCTGCAAGTGTCCTCTCATTGCACTGTATAATTCTCTGTAGAACCAGCTTCACAATATTTTCATTACATTGTTGAATGCTTGTGAAAATACAGCTCAGTTTTATATGGGTGAAGAAATGCACCAATGTAATAAGTATAATTGTGTGTATCTAAATGAAAATAAAATGTAGTATTCATTTTTGTACCCTAAGAGGTTTTTTATATTCAACATGTCAGTTTATGTTGTATCAAATTATGATTATGTTACACCATAAAGGACATTCAACCCTTTGCCTTTAGCACAATTTGTGAACAGGTTGAAAGATACCCATCATTAAAATTGAGCAAATGTTTCCCGTTTTCTCACTGAACAGGCTTAACCTTTGTCAAGATTGAATCTCGGATCCCTGGTTAGTGAACAACAGCATAGCTCATCAGCTCTGTTACTATCACAATAACAAATCTAGACAAAATATTATTTATTCATTCATTTGAAAATACTTATCTATGATAAATTCTCCAAGTTAAGCTTATAACTAATTACTTTATGTATTCAAAAAAGACATAATATAATATAGCAGGGCACTAATTGACAGAATAGAAGATGTGCATTTCTGCCCTGAAATCAAAGATGTTATAAATGTATTATGCATAAATTTTGTAGTTCAATAAGTTGAATCTATGCTTTGATTTATATTATTGACAGTAAAGAATTGCTCCATTGAATGACCGCTATAATAATAACTTTAATAGCCATAACATAATCTAATCAGCTGACGAAGACTGCAAACATTTATACATTGAGTCTTTTTTTCTGAGTGTTAAGTTTTATCTTTTATCATTGATTAACTTATACAATCATTTATCTAAGAAATATAATCAAAATACATTATAAAAGCAGTCAAGAATAAATAAGCTTCAGCAGATAATATGCACAAATGATGTCCTGAGTGAAAGAAGATATCAGATGATGGTCAAATCAATTCCTACTTCTGTACCCAAACATCATGGTGAATTTTCAGGGAAATACTTCTTTGGATCCAAAAAGGGAGTAATGAATTGGAATTTAACGATTCAATTCAACTGTTGAAAAGCCATTTGAGGTACAGAAGTAAGCTTGACTTGGCCTAAATATGAATTATATAATAAAAAACATGAAAACAATTATCTTAGCATTATAAGGCACAAAGGTCAAAGCACAGCAAAATTACAAAATCAAATTCTAACAATTATCATGATATGAGCTAACTGAAACAAAAAGAGTCTTTATAAGTCATGTTAACAAATTTTTGGGCTGTAGCAGGCAATTTATCAAAGAAAACTCTTACAGATTTTGTATAGTTGTATATGATAAGTCATGTAAGCCGTCCATTCAGTGTTACAGAATAATTTTAGCCATAATCAAATTTGTTCCACACACCAAAACTTTATCGAAAATGAAAATAAGTTTTCTAGCCCTCCAGGACACTTTAGTATATCCAACTTTCCTCTGTCGTTCCTGTAAATGCCACTTAGCTCTTCTCCAACATAAATACTGCTGGAAAACCTCTTTAACATCCCTTAAATGTCTAATTACAACAAACAATAACCTTGTTTTCTTTACTGTTAGGTCAGTCCAAAAAAATGTCCAATATATACAATTACAGCCAGTGTCATAAACTTATCTGTACTAGCAGAAGCATGAATAACAAGAATCAAGTCATTAATGAGAAAAAAGTGTCCTTTCTTTCTAAGAGCTGAGTAAAAGAAATGATGGAAGCTTCCTTTAGATGTTATATTTTGATAAACTGTCTTGGAATGTTATAAAATATCCACTCCTTGAGAAGATCACCTCTTCGAAAATCAGGCACATTTTTAAAAAATCTTTTTATATCACAATATTGGTAGTTGAAAATCCTTTCTTTTTCACATATTAATTAGATGGACACGGTAATATAACACTGTCTACACGTTTCTGAAATTCCTTTCGCAAATCTGTACATCCTTTCTTATTGAGATCTATAACCCAATTCATAGCTTCTTTACCCTGAAATATCATTAATATTACAAATATTTATATTTGCTAAGTTAATTAGAAATGTCCAAGTTTTAAATATCAACATCTGACTACAACAAAAACTTATTCTCTTAACAAAAACTTGATATAAAAATAAAATACAGATCTAAATTTTCATTTTATATCCTGATGGTAACTTAACTAGTTTCCAGCTGTTAATATTTACCCTTGTGGTGAAAAAAAAAACCTCCCCTACCTTTTCTGTATTTTTGGTTACCACCTTGGTAACTTCATTCTTTACAAAACTACTCAATGGGCCTTCTAATGTTATTTCCTTCTTCAGAATAGTCCTGGAATAATAATAGCGATTTACAGTTAAATTACCCAGCATGACAATTCAAACACTTAATCCATATTAGCATCACAATTATGGTAAACATAACTTTAACCCTGTGCCAGTGCCTTATATTGAAGAGTAACTTGTTACTTTTCAATCACCCTAATCTCTAATACTCAATGTATGTTAACCCATGCTTGCAATTTCATAGTTAAGGTGACCAATTTGAAGCCTTTCCACTATTGATTGCCGTATAACATTTGATTGTTTGTTTCTTTACCAGATTTATGTCGGCATAGATATTTCAATGGAAGAATTAAATAAAATGTGAGATGTCAGTATATTCCTATCAATATTTTGATGTCTAAACTTGAATAAAACCCCTTACTTTGATTTATCTGTAGGATGGGGTGAATATACCATAATTTCATCCATTGATAATATAGAGTCAAATGTTATCTGAAATGAAAAGATAACAGGTAGCAAGATAAATTTTCAGATGAATGTTATAAATTTTATCAATTATATAACTTAAGATTAAAAAATAATTTTCATTTTGAAATAATCTGTCAACTTACATTTTGTGATCTCATTGTGCATGTTTTTTCTTTAATGTTAACTTCTGAATTTTCTACAGCATATTGTACAGTTTGATTCATTGGCACAATCTGAAAGGAAAAAATAAAGTTTTAAAATATGCACATTATTGAAGTTTTATATCTGATTTATCTAGTAAAATTTATTATTTTTTATACAATGATTTAAATTTTACAAATAAAGTATCTTATTTGAAGAAGGTTTTTTATTTAGACCTACTATATAATAATCAAAAAACAGTTCATTGAAATCAACAAAAAAGAAAGATCTTGAAATAGAAAATTTCAACCAACTATTTAGGTTTATGTTGACTTGTTTTACCCAATATTTTTGTTTACCTGTTTTTTTTAGCCGAATTGTGATCTATATTAAGCAAGGAGTAAAGGCTTGTAGATCACCTTGGTATTCTAGTGTGTGCTAGAATAAAATTTCATCCTGTTTTCCTGATATGATCCTAAAATACTTACTTTTTGAAGTATGCTGGGAATTGTGAAGAAAAACTTGGACGAAAGAATTCTTTGTGATTTTAAGATGCCATTAGTATCTATTGATCTGTTGACAACATCTATGGCTAAAACGTCGGTGAGAAATGGATTGGGATATTTTTGAAATTGTGCGTTTACAACAGATTCCCATGGGTGGCTGAAATTACAATAAAAAGAATTAAACACAATTGTTATTAGATCATTCAAATCAAATATTCAGCAATTGCAGTCTATATTAATAGCCATTTATATGACCCAAGTTATTTAATTTTGAAATTATTTAACAATTTATTGTGACCTATAGATTACTATAGTCGAAAGTGTTGTTATTTGTAAAACCATATAGATTGTTATTCAATTTTATTGTCTCCTCCTAATCAGAACACTTTTATAATGAAGGTTCCCCATCATATTATTTTTGTTGACGAGTTGACTCTGCAAATAATTTTAAAAAGTTAACGTGTAGATGAGTTTGTAGTCACTCAATCAAACCTTTCCACTTTAAAATTTTAAACAAGACAAAAGCCTAAAAGTTAATGTTTGTATGAGAAACATTGGCAATAAATAAGTCCTAGGTGTAATATTCGAATATTGTCGATATGAGTTCGACTTTACTTCAAGTTCAATTACTTCACTCAGTTCATTATTGTCTCATATTTTACATTTATATCATATAGGCCTCATATCAAAGTCATAAAGGTTGTTCATTTGATAAATTATAGAAATCTAACAAATATAATTACTCAAACGTGTGTTGTGATGTCCAGATCTTCATTTTGAGTTATTTAGTCTCTATATAAAAACAATGTATCAGTTACAATCGTTCAGGTGACTTTCAACATGTCATTCACTGCATTCAGCCATTCACATTATTATTTCTTACGAAACGTGATTTTAGGGATGGTTTACAACCTTTTACAGAGTCACCTTCCGCCATTAGTCTAGTGCAACTGCAATGACTTAATGAATACAATGAATTTATTTGCTTCAATTTCGAATCTAAATCCAGCTGCGCTGAACATCATTTTGATATCTTATGATAGAAAATCAATTAAATGAAAGATTTTATTCGGATTTGATTATACTTATTATGTAACCAAATAGGGATTTGACGTCATAATTAAAAAATTGATACATAACGTATCCAGAAAGATGAATATTATAACATGAAAATTTTATGATATGACAATATTTCATTTAGAAATATATATATTTGTTTGTATGCTAAGTGCAATTAACTAAATACTAAAAGCCAGGTCTTTGATGAAATTCGTCATTCGCTGTTGAAAAATTACTTGAATCACAAAAGTGAAATGCTTAATTTTGAGATTGCATACGTTTTTGTATAGCAACGTCTAAAGCAAATATGAGAGACTGGACAATCAAACATTATCAGATATTCTTACGCGAATAACTGTTAAAGTACCGTTAATTGGTTGATTTTTTCAAGGACTGACCAATGATATAACGGGATATAATAAGGATTTTCTTCCTGTTACTATGGTCACGTTTACAACATGGCGACTGCAAACATGATATTTTTATGAATGTAAACAAACAGGAAAATTTGCCCCTAATGCAAATCCTACAGGATTTGTTCAATGCTACCAATTTAGAATTTTGTTTCATTTGAAAGAGTAGACCAAAAAACCGGTAATAGTTTGCTTTGTTTCATCTTTCTTTGTGGGGTTGTGATAAGGTGCTGTCAGAGTGATAATTTTTATCAAGATCTATGTCTATTGCCTAATTAATATTTCTCACAGAATATCATCAATGAATATGGCACTGACAGTAAAATAACAGATATTGAGTTGTTGAGATAATTGATTGATTGATAATATGAAAGCATTTGATCATAAATCGGCAAGAATCGTTACACAATAGTGCCAGGCTAGTGGCACTAAGCTTATGTTAATGCCAGATTATATGCTAAGTGAATTTCTGCAATTGCAAATGTAAACGAAAAAATCTATGCATTGTGCCTTTATGATGACCATTGAAACCACGATTACTTCATTGCACACTGTAGTAAACTTATACTGTACTGGTATGTAACTAGGCCTTCAAGAATCAAAGGGAGCTAGTTTGAATTTACCAAATTTCACAAAAAAAATCTTTAAGAAATTGTGTACCATTGAAATAAAATGATAACCTATTGAATTCTTATTTTCTTATTTTTTATATAGAAAATGCCTCTTGGACCATTCGGTGAGGTAGTTGGTACTACTGGTACATTAAAGTGTTTGGGACCAGATGGCCAGAATTATAAATCTAAAGTTATTGCCCCACGTAATCCCAAATTAGTGAAGGGAGATGGCCCATCATATAAGGTGAGATAATTCTTTTTAGGCTTACATTTTAAAAAAGAATAAGCTTATAATATAATGTAATTAGATAATAGCAGATAAGCTCATGTCACCAAATTGGTAAACAAATGACAGTTAACCTTGTTACCTATTGCTATAGATTCTACTACCCCTGATATTCAATTTTCAATATCTATTATTTAGAATGCCTTTTTTTCTGGAAACTATGCAGAATTGAAGAAGCTTTGGCTATAAGCTTAATATTGCAATTCTTTAGATTAAAGTGTAAATGTGTGACTTCAAATGTTTAAATAAGCTTATTGAAGTTTACTGTTTTTGTAGCTGACACCAAGTAGGTTTATGTTTGAGATGTCTATGAATACTGAACAGAAGTTGGCCAACACCCATGTCATGAAAATACCTCGTAAAACAGAATTGTTGGATATGGGAGATACTTCATTACAGAAGGTAAAAACGATGCGAAAAGATTTTTGAATTAAATTGAATGTGTTGGATTCACATCTGTAGGGCGTATTTGAAAATTATTTGTATCAAGTCTGGTTTTCATCCAGCTCTTAAGTTAATAAGGGAAAATGATTATAATTGTTCATAAGAGTCTTCTCTATGCTGGTTATTGCTGCAAATGGTGTCTTTGGATTTTATGATGTCACAAATATGGGAATCAACGAAACCAAACAAATATTTTACTGTTGGCGAAGATGAAGTCAAAGTCATACAGAACTAGACTTGACAACTAGCTAGAGATGTGATTGTTATGTTTATCATCAATTAACTATCAAATAATTTTACATTTTCTCTCTAAATAGTTTTCACAGATCAATATTGATGAACCAATGTTTCAACCATATCCTTCTGAGATATATTTTCAAAACTATGATCCTCATCAAGTATATGAAGTACCATTGACTCTGAGGAACAATGATAAGGTAGGCCACCTATATATTTTACTTGTAAAACAGTATAAAAGTCCAAAAGATTAAGGTGCAAGTTAAAAGAAATGCAACTAATGGTCAAGAAAAAACTCATAACTTCATAAAATACAACAAAAGTATCTTTTTTTTTTATGAAAGTACTTATTTTGAAGTACAGATATTCTGAACATTTTTCAAGTCATTATTTTTAGTTTATACTTTACTTTATGTTTTTATTTGATTATAACTACTTTCAATTTACCGTAGGTTCCAAGATTAGTAAAAGTTAGTTGTGAAAACTCTCCATATTTTAAAATCATCAGCCCACATGATGTTGGTAATAAAGTTGGCCCGGGTCTACCAACAATATTCAAAATACAGTTTACACCCCACGAGAAAAAGGTATGTTGATTTAGTTAATTATTTTTTGACAAACCAAAGAGGATTTTATAAGGTGACTTCAATTCCAGGAATATGTAAAAAAAAAAAAATTCGTTGAAACAGTTATTTTTTTTATCTTTTTTCAAGGATTATCGCCATGAATTAATATGTACAACAGAAAGAGAGAAGTTTGTGGTACCAGTTAATGCAATTGGAGCACGGGCTATTTTAGACTTTCCTGATAAAATACACTTTCCTGTTAGTCCAGTAAAATATACCAATACTAGAACATTACTGATCAGAAATATTGGAAATCTAGAGGCTAAATTCAACATTCATGCTGAAGGGTAAGAATTTATTTTATTACCTTTTACATCAGTTTCACTTTAAATGTACCTGGCTCACTCCATTTCATTTGAGATAAGTATGTTAATATACCACAAAATGTGACAGTGAACTTCCTTAACTACTAATGTAGCATTAAAACATTCCCTGCCAAAAAAGGCATTTAGAATAGAGGAAATATTCCTTTAAGGCCAAATTAGAAATGTTGCAAGGTAATCACCAAATTGAAAAATTTGTTGACAACCCTTTTATGCATTATAGACCCAATAAATAATCTGATGATTAAAATCTGATATTATTTCATTTTAGAGTATTTAGTGTGACACCTGATATTGGGGTACTAGGTGTTAATGAAAGTATGCAAGTTGTGGTAGAATTTACACCTAATAAAATTGGTGACCATAATTCAGAACTAATACTACATTTAGATACAGGTAAATACAAAATTTTTGTTGAGTTACGAAGGAGTAACAATTTCTTTAATTAAAGATTCAGCTTTGGTTTGAATTTTATGAGATTATAGTTAGACAGTCTTAGAAAGTTACATGTCTGTTGAATTCCTTTATTCATTTCATTTATTAAAAGTAATTATAAGCCATGATTCTGTGAAAAAGATATGTACAGCACTTCTCCTGTGTCCATCGCAAAATTTGTTTATTATTATAAATTTTGCCTTTGTGTCATCACTTCAGACACATAAATAAGTTGATGTTATCTTTTTGATTTCTGAATATTTTTAGGTGAAGATATCTATATAGTATTATATGGTGCAGCACAAGATAGTAATGTGAGACTTGATAAAAATTCTATAAAGATAGAGAATACCTATATATCAATGGCTAATCAGAGAACTATAACTATCAACAATAGATCCAGTGTCATAGCACATTTTAAATGGACACAATTTGCTACTCAAGAAGAAGAGGATCAAGAGAAACTACTGTAAGTATTTTTAGTTTCAGCACTATTCCTTGAGATGCCTGTGTTTAAGCTACAGTTACATTGTCTTGAAAAACAGTATATATTCAGTGACACAACCCTGAAAGTCTTGATCGCTATTGCCAATGTACTTGCTGGTAATTTGTCCCATGCAATAACAAATTGTAAGCTCTTGAGTCAAAAAATTTTGAGCTCATTTAGAATGAATAATGTGGCAGTGTTTGCTATTGAGGTAGGGCATGATCTCTTGATACCTCTTTCAGCCTGTGTTTTTCCACACCGCATCCCTTTCTTGAGATCAAAATTATCTTAATGTAATTTTCTGTTTGTAGACAACAGATAGATTTAGAGAGAGCAGAAAGAAGAGATAAAGATAGATTTTTAGATGATTGTATATTAGATCCTACATTACGTGATAAATTATCTATATTAGAAAGATCATTTCTTAATAGAAAAAGGGTAAGTTTCTCCTCTCTCAAGAAATTTCAGGAAAACAATAATGGTTTCTTCTATGATATTCCATTGGTGTGCTTCAGATATGCATTTTTTCCACTGTATTTTCGTCTATTTTAATATTTTCCTGTTCATCTATTCTTCCCACCACTGTAGTAAGTAAAATCTGGAAATCATGGTTACTATACTGTTTTTTTAATAGATTGTTGCCGGTGATAATATGATGTTTGATGATGATGTTGTTAAGATAGAACCAGTAGAAGGAGAGATCTGGCCACATTCATCATATGAAGTTAATGTGGTATTTAAACCAAATGAAGCTAAGAGCTATACAAGAACAGCTTATTGTGATATAACAGGACGTGAAAGCCGTCTGCCGTTACGTATCAAAGGTGATGGAATGGGACCACAATTAGAATTCTCTATAGAAACATTAGATATGGGCAATATCTTTATAGGATCTGTCCACTCTTATGAAATAGTGTTAGCTAATCATGGTGATATTGATGCTATTTATAGCGTTTTACCCAATGCCTCACTGTTTGGACCGTGTTTTCAATTTGATCCATCAGAAGGTATTGTCATGCCATCTGGACATCAAGCTATACGAGTCACATTCTGTAGTCAACATTTAGGAGATTTTTCAGAAGAGTTTTGTTTCCAAATTGATGGATCTCCAGAGCAGTTGAAAGTCAAATTCAGGTTGGTTGATTTTATCTGTCATAATTATTGAGGCATCATCTCTCTTTAAATTAACAAGACTATTTTCTTAATTGGCTGATTTTGCTCAACTGATATTAATTTACATGAATATATTTTGGCTGTATAAATTGTCATTCATAGTTCAATATATTTCGAATATCCATTTTCCTTTCAGTGGATCAGTCATAGGACCAACATTTCAGTTTAATGTACCCAAATTAAAGTTTGGAACTGTTTCTTATGGTAAGTAATTTCTTCACTAAACTCTCCAAAGAATTATTCATCACCAAGTTTTTCTGGCCTGATTCATCTGTAATATCAGAAACTAGTTGTATATCACGGTATGAGTGCAAAAAGAGACAAATGTTGAAGAGACTATGGGTAAGAGCATGCCTGGACGAAACATACATTGGAATTGTATAATTATGTTTTTTGTTATTTCCAGGCTTTCTACATCAAGTTACATGTAATATGTTAAACACAGCTCTGGTACCATTGACTTATCATCTTCGAGTGCCAGGAGACGGTAGTGTAGAAAGTATTAGCAGTACTATAGATTCTGATGCAACTGATAGCAATCGTAGTGAGTTTGGATCATTAACTTCAGAACCACCCAAAGAATTCCATATAATACCAGCCGATGGTACCATACCACCACAGAGTGAGATTAAGATTACTATTAATTTGATATCTAATACCATTAAGAAGTATGATATGAAGATGGTTGTGGATGTTGAAGGAGTAGGAAATGAAATATTATCTCTACCTATCTCGGCTAAGTACGAACATATCTTTTTACATATCCAATCTTTTGCATGCAATTCTTTTTTTTAAAAAAAAAAGCTGTAAGAATAGTAACCCTTTTTTTGCTACTAATTTAGTTCTCAAATGAACATTATTTGAATGAGAAAAAGGGAAATAAGCAACCCATCAAATCGTAATGTTCAGAAGCCATAACCATAAGTATGTGATGCATTGTACTATGGAAAGAGCAAGCATTTACACCTAGATATCCTACATAGATTATCAATTGTTATTTATACAGAGGACTGGTTTTTTCTTTGTAGATGTGTTGTACCACAGATAGCTGTATTGACACCAGTCTTAGATTATGGAAGATGTTTTTTGCGTCACCCGTTTGAATATCTTGCTAAACTACATAATGATAATGATTTACCAGCAAAATATGAAGTTTTACCACAATCTGAAATTGGTATTGATGATGCTTCTATAACTTACAGTAGTAGTATACCAAGGGTAGGTATCACTTTATATTCCATCTTAAACTTGGGTGACTCATTGATTGTGGTGTGGTTGATATATCTCAGAGGTCCAGGGTTCAATCCTGATATTGGTTGGGTTACTGTTCTTTGATTTCTCAACCCAGTTTACACCTGTCATTGATGCAGGCTGAAGGTTCTACCATTAAAAAAGCATTAGGCATTTGTCCAATAAATCTACAGTTCAAAATAAGAAAAGAATGGGGTAATAATGCTGTCTCGGCACAATCCCTCATTGTGTACAGCATGGCAGTGTTAATTATCAATATTTTCGCAAATCTTAAGCAAAATATTTTATGTTTTTTTATTTTAGGGTATTATAGCACCAAGGAGTGTCTGTAGTGTACCTATTATAATAGCTCCACAAAGTTTAGAAGAACAGGATGTTACTTGTTATATTAATATATTTGGTAGTACAGAATTGCCTTTGGTAGGTGTTATTTTATGATTAATATATTGATCATGGTTCAGAGTTTTGAGTATGATATATTAGAATGGTGTATTTTGAATTGTCCCTGAAATCATCAATTGAATCCTCTTTAAATAATAGGCTTGTTAACTATAGAAAATTTGCCAATTTCAAAATTCTCATTCATATTTCAATTTACCATTTTCAGCATAATCTAACTAATACTGTAAGCATTACATTGCATGGCAATAAATTGTTCTTTAAATGGTATTTCTATTGTACTCTCTAGCACACAAATTGTATAGCTGGTTAACAAATTATATTTGGTTTATTGTATTATTTCAGCCCATACATTTGACCTGTATTGGTGAGGGTCCAGTAGTACATGTTCAACCAGATATAGTAGACTGGGGTTTAATACCAGTTTTAACACCAACTGATAGATATGTTATGTTAACTAATGAATCCTTAATACCAGCTAAATTTGAAGCCTACATGGTAAGTGAATTGTCCTTTTTTCAGTAAATTCTGCATTTTGGTAACTTTACTAGACCTACATTAGGACAAGAACAAAGTTGAGAATTGACTGAGATCCTTTTCGGTAATTTAAAAAAATCAATTCAAGTAAAACAGGTTATTGAATTAATTTCTTTTCAGATGAAACCAAAATCTGTATTTTATGTGGAGCCAAAAGAAGGAGTAATACCACCGGAATCTCAATTTAAAGTTAAAATATCAGCATATCTGGATGACTGTGTTAAGTTTCAAGATAAATTACAAATACATTTTGAAGAAAGTCGAACACAACAAATTACATTGATGGCTTATGGTCAGGGAACAACAATAGAGTCGGATCCACCATTATCAAACTTCTTAGATCTAGGTCCCAATTTCAGGTAAGTGTAGACAAGGTTTATTGCAATACAAAATTGACTTTTTCATTTGTATCTTAATTTTGAAATGAAAAATAGTTATTTCAAAAAAATCTGATGGGCCAAAAACTCATTTTTGAACTGTTTATTTTTTATAGCAATCGTCCACTCAACATGAAATTCAAACTGACCAATAGTGGCAGACGACATCAACAGTTAGTTTGGAGTACAGAAGGGTTTGGTCCTATCAGTAAAGCAAGGAGAGAAATGGCAGCTTATAATCCATTAGATATGAAATTCAAGGTTTTTTCTAAAATTTAAGACATTTTGATATATACCACATTCAGGTTTTCTTTTCCTTTCAAACAAAATCTCGCATAAATAATATTCCAGTGAGTAAGATTTGTGATATATGTAAGGCAATAATAGTCTTGTATGACCTGTCAAGAAAATCAAGTTCTGTTAATGGCATTACCAATAGAACCTCAATGGCAAATTCTTTAGTTTCACAAAACTTAATGAATGAATGTATTAATTTTAGGACCGTCCACCACCAGTAGAACCAGCAAGAGCTATATTTAGATTAACACCGAGTCGTATGGATTTAGCACCCGGTGAATGTATACAAATGAATCTGGAAGGTTTTGTGTCTGAGTAAGTGTTTCTTGTGTTTGCTTTCCTGTGAAGGGAAATTCAGCATTATACTTTGCACTCAATGCATTACCATTTTTTAAGTTGAAGTTTCATTCATTTCATTGATGCACTACACCCTTCTAGTAACAATTTTGAGAACAGCTAAAAAATACCATAAGAACCAATGTTGTTGATGAAAATGTTTTTTTTCTTTGATAGAAATGTTATCAAACTTTTTTTCAGACCGAAGCCAGTAGAAGAGAGATTACTATGTCATGCTATATTGGGAAGACAAGGTGGTAAAGAACTGATCATGAAAGTTGATATACAAGCTGACTTTATCAGTCCCTTGTTAGATTTCTCTACTAAAAGTGTCTTCTTCAGAGTTGATAAGGTAACATTTCTTTTGATATCAATATTTGAAATAAGAGAGAAAGAAACAAGCAAGCAACCAACAATATTTTACAAGGATTACAACTCAGGTTCACAAAGGATCTTTTTATCAGCTGGTTCTTGACCACACCTCTTGGCATTAATCTTTCCAAGTTCATCAGTACCCATTTACAGAGTTGAGTGGAATTTTGAGGATATCTTTCACATGCCGACCATGATAAGAACCCACAAACCCCCATTTGTTTGGACATAACCAAGCAAATGATGTCAGGTTAAGAACCATCATTCTAACTGACTGCCACAGAACCCCAGATGATCCGACACAAGTGTGGCACTACTACTGAATTTTTAGTTGTAGAAAGATCACTGATTTATATTTTGTTTCATATTTGTTATTTTAACAGTTACCAGAAGATGAGTTAAAGGTCCAATGTAAAGAATTGATAATCAGCAATGTGTCGACTCTACCATTGTCCACAGAACTAACGTTACAATATCCATTCTCTATATTAGCAGATGATGGTACTTCAGTTCTAAACACGGTAGGAGTTTACATAGGTTTCCACTTCCTGTAATGCTGATCCCATATACCAACATCAGTCAAAGCAAAGGCTTAACTCCCAACTCTGAAAAACTTTTACTGATGGAGTACATTGACCTTTAATTTGTTTCATAATGTAGAATATTAGATTGTGTATGGCATAAAAAAGTACTTATGAAAGTTACATAGTTTTCTGATTTTAGAAATATTATCATATGGGTGTTTCTTTTTTAAGCAGCACTAGAAGTGACAGACTAGGACATTTGTACTTATTAGATGTAGAAAATGAATTTGTGATTTGATATTTTAGGAAGTTCATCTACCAGTTGGAGAACAATATTTCTTAATGATCCAATTTGATCCTGCTTATAAAGATGATCAGCATATTAGAACTATAGATGAAGTTTTACATATAGCTTACAAACAACATCCTCATAAGGTAAAATACATTTTCCTTCAACAAGGTGCAACAGAGATGCTTTTAGTTTCCTGTGATATTATTTCCATTCTCAAAGACTATCAATTGAATGGACAAGTGGTCTGAGAACTTCTTTATTTGACAGATAGCTAAGTAACAGTTGTAAAGAACTTGGAAAGTTTAAAGTTTTTCTAATTTCTGATCTGCTTAGAACCACTTAACTATTGTCTCCAAATGGTTATTTTTTGTTCTCATGTAAACCTTTTCTAATTTTTCAGGATTACATTGCCTTACGTGGTGAAGTCTATTTCCCTAATATTGAGTTTGAAAAATCCAACATCGACTTTGGTTGTATATTAAATGATACAGAGGTCACTCGGTATGTAAACTTAACTAACAATAGTCCTATGGAAGTCAAATATAGATGGTCATTTTTGATTGAAAATCAACCTCTGATTCGACATCATCCTAAACGTAGTCAGCCATTGACTATAGAGGAAGTTGACGAAGTTCAGGAAGAATCACAAGAAGAACCACAAGTTGAAGTTGTTGTACAAGATGATAATGAAGATTTGGCAGAGGAGGAGGTGAGACCAAGTTTTATTTTCATTTTTTTCATAAAGAACGACAAAATTGACACAGATCCATTTGGGCTGCCTGCATTTCTCTTATGACATTTTTGGCAGCGGGCTATTTATTTCATTGTGTCTGTTTTTATTCTGTTCTTCTGCTCATGTTTAGGGAATCTTACTAAGATTACTGTCAACATCCTTAAGCTGATTTTCATGGGTTTTCATCCTCTTGTATCTATTTGATTTATCTTCTCAGATGGATGTAATTCTACCAGGAGATAAAGATAATGAAGATGTAATAAAAGATGAAGATAATGTAAATAATAAGGATATCGAAGACAATAGAAATGCTGATGCAGCAAGTACTTCATCTGATGAGAACAATCACATTGAAAAGGTATGGTTTCATTCAAACTTACTTCACTTGCTTTAAATGTACTACAAACTTACTTCATACTTACTTCATACTATTTCAGTACAAAATTATCAATCAAAAAGATGACTTTAGCTACCTTGCTCAGGATTTGGGTGAAATGAAAAAGGATTTGCTGGTGGTCAAGAGTAAAGATGGATACAAGAAGTCATCTAATCTTCTGCTGTAATATAAGCAAAAGCCTAATGATGTGCTTATGAATTGATTTAATCTTTTAAGGGTCAACTTGAAGAAACAGAGAGAGAAAAAGATGAAACTCAAGAAGAAGTGGAAAGATTAGAGATTGGCAGTAGAATGTCAAGAGATGTAGAATCAGCTTTAAAATCTAATAGAGCTTTGTCGGCTTTACTAGAACAACCAGATGATCTTACTCCTATTAGTGTAGAAGAGGTAATCATTTATTTATACAATCTTATCACAATGTTATGTTAAGTCAAAGATTTGAGTCCTTGGACAGTATGACAAATTTCTTGATTTGATGAAAGAATAATTGTGGCTCACATGATGGTTGTTTTCAACCGAGTGTTAGGTCGCCTTTGATGATTCAGAAGAAATAAGCACATTGTGTTTGCTACTGCATTTTCTGGGAAACAGTACATTAGGGTTATCTGCTCATGTTCCTGTACTTGTAGTTGATATTGCTAAGGAGTTTCTTTTTGAAATTTTTTTTAAGAAATTGATAAATCCCTGTTTTGATCATGTCCTTATTATAATATACATTTTTTCTCTTTAAGATATTTGATATTTTACCACTATACGGAACTCTTCAACCTGGAGATACAGAACAGATAACACTGACATTTTATGGCCATGCTGATATCTGGGGTCAAGTCAAAGCACTCTGTGAAGTTGAAGGAGGACCAAACTATGAATTGACACTTACTGGAGAGGCATCCTTAGTTGAATATAGTTTTGATACAAAGGATATAGATTTTGGAAAACTGGTAGGCAGATTGATCTCATTCTTCAATGTTTTGTCTGTGTTATGAGAGATATATTCATGTGAAATGGCCTCTTGCACAGGAAAACAATATAATGGATTATTAACAGAATAAAACTGATGCTGAAAAGAAATTGTTCCTATGCACAACTTTTACTCGCCTATCAGATCGGATGGCTATCAATTGATAACCTGTGTCCATAGCTATTACAGCATAAATTGATCGCTGTCACTATGACAGCTCTCTTGAACATTTTATAAGAATGAATTCTTTTTATCCTAGATGTATGATAATGTAGGAAGTGCTGAGATTACTTTGATTAATACTGGGAAAGTAGGATTTAATTTTACTGGATTAAATATGGATCCTAGCCTAGCCAAACATCCAAAACCTGGTCATCCTATCATGATACCACATACAGTAAGTATTTTATTTTTTTAAATGACTTCCTTGTTTTTATGGAAAATAGATCTTGTATACTCAAATTCAGATAACTTGCATTCTTGAAACAGCCAAACAATCAAATAATTAGAATTACAAACATATAATTTCAGGGCTATATAGAACCACTTTCAGAACAGAAAATTGTGGTCAAGTTTCTACCAGGAGTTCCAGAAAAATTCCACAAGAGTTTCCAGATACAAGTAGCTCATTTCGAGCCAGATACCATACATGTGTATGGTGAAGGAGTGTTTTCTAGGATCTCACTGGATTTACCAAGGAACACAGTTGATGGTGGTTATTATGAATCTATGATGAAAGAAGCTAAACAAAGATTGAATAGAGGAAATGTCACAGAGGAATCTGGAAGTGTCAATAATACTGTTAGAAACTCCAATAGAATGATGGCTCCTAAGATTCAGGTAAAGATCTATTTGCCTATTTTCTTTAGATGTGAAATTGCTTTTGGAAAATATTTGTAAGTTGAGGAGTGAATATGAGATTGATTGGTAGTATTGCTTCCAAGTTGTAGAGTTCAGGCATATTCCATATACAAAAAAGCATCTTAAAACAAATACATGTATCTTAAAATCTAGGCTTAAATTAGGACATAAATATCTTTTAGCAACATAATGTCAACAAGTTACGTCTTGATCCAATACAAACCTTAACTTATATATGGAATGGATGATGAAGTTTGATGTATCACTATTATTCCATGGTTTTCAATTATTTATATTTCAGAGTGAAACAGTACCATCAGAATTAGAATTACAACTAGAAGTTGAAAGACTAGCTGTAAGAGATCATGCTATAGAGAGTGCTGTAGCCTCTACCTACAGGTCCATTGATACCCCACCAAATACTGCTGATAGTAAACTTACTGATAAAAAACATAGGAAGACTAAAGTTAGGTCAGTATTCTAGAATAAATTGAAGATCACGAAAATGATGGCTTAAGCAGGTTATAAGTTATTTCAAAAGATTTTATTATTACTATATTACTTTATTTTGATTTAATAGGAATATTTACCTGTGTAATATTTGATGATGCTCTCTTTTCAGGACCAAACTTCCAGAATATCTGTTAGACTTTGGTTATGTTGTATTAGGAACAGTCAAAACACATGTTGTCAGTGCCACTAATACTGGATGGTTCCCTGTATCATTCCAAGTTGAAAGAGAGAATCTCCATAGTCTTGGCTTCCATGTTGAATTGGACAGAGTTAAAAATCTACCAGGAGCTCCCGATCATGAATTGGTTGACTTCATGGTGAAATTTGATCCAAGAGGAGCTAATCTACCATTAGGACCTGTTGAAACAGTGGTTCCTATCAATGTAAGATATTTTTTCGTAAGTTTTAAGCCAAAGGAAAAAAATAATTGAGAGGGCAAATGTAATTGAAACTTAATTAGAATATTGAAATTATTATTGTAAAATTTCATTTCTAGTAATTAATTCAAACAAAATTACTTTTATTTCAGATTATAAATGGACCACAAGTAAATATCAGACTAAAAGCTAATGTTACAATGCCTGATATGCTGATATCAGATGATACCATCAATTTTGATGATGTGAAATGTGGTGAATGTAAAGTAGTTACTGTACAATTACATAATTATCAAAATGTACGTTGTGAATGGAGCTCTCTACCTTCTGGTAAAGAATTAAAACAAGTAAGTAAAGCATCTTTAAGTTCTTGAATTTGGAACCCATGTTTTGCATGATAACTATTTGCATGATAGACCATGTTGATCTGTTGCTGTGGCATGACTGGTTTAAATGTCCATTAAGAACAGGGCACTGTAGGACATCTAACCAGACAATATTGCTCTATTGCTACTGGACAGTAGGTCAGTGTGAATTGTGATAATTTTCCAGAACTGTATCTTTGTTACCTTGATCTTTTCAGGCTAACAAAAAGATACCAATGCATCTAAGAAGGAAAATGAAAATGGAGAGAAAGAAAGCTCAACATTTTGAAATGATGCCACCATGTGGTTCCTTAATGCCAGGACAAAGAATGGATGTTCAGGTCAAATTTATGCCAACAGAAGAGGTAAGGATTTCTGATATATCATAAAGCAATAACAATGGCTATGCAAAGCTCTTGAGGTTTTAAAGCTTTACCCAGAGCTTAGTATGACATGCTTCCTGCAAATTGTTGGATCTAGTTCCCATTTTCATGTCTTTTGAATTCAAAATCACTTTTTGAGTTCTATATAGCCAACCCTGAACTTAATTCATTTCTTTTTCAGAAATTTTATGAACATAGAATACCATTACGTATTGTACAGAGTAGTCAGAGGATATTGTTATTCTGTAGAGGTCAAGGTTTAGAACCAAGAATAGAACTAGAACGTAACCTAGTTCAATTTGGACCTATATTGCCCCACAGTAGTGGTGATGAACAAGAAGTTACTATTCGTAATCCCTGTAGTTTCCCTATAGAAGTCTACAATTTAGAGTTTGATAATACTTATCTTGAAGAGGAGAAGGTAAGAGTAAAAGAGCTTATTGCACTGAAGTAATATTTTAAAGCCTTCAAACCCATTCCATCTAAACATAAAATATAAGGACTCAATTGTCAAATATTATTGAATAAAATTTATAAGATTGTTCACATCAATTGAAGTCATTTGTGCCAAAATCTCGGAATGTCTGATGAATTAGACCTGTTACTTGCTATACCTTGTGGGAACGGAATCCGAAACCAATATAATGCTTAGATTCAAATATTTCAGGCTGGTAAATTCCCTTCTGATTCATATGTATATATATGTCTGTTACAGGTATTAAGATTAATGAAAGGCTATGATGAATATAATACCTTATTATTACCACCAAGAGACACAAATGAAAAATTACCTACAGAACTTCTACAGTATTATGATGGTAAGTAAAGGAGACTTGTCAACACTCAGCATTATTGCTGGACTGCATTTTAGCAAATTCATCAATAAGAGGGCTTCTACTATTAATATTGCAGAACCTTATGGAAAGTTGAAAGCAAGCTCTCCATGATAGCAATTGGTGTATGATTATAAGTTGTTTTTTTTTTTAGATCAAATGAAGCGTTTAGAAGAAGAAGAAAGACAGAGACTAGAAGCTGAAGAAGCTGAGAATAAATCAGAACAAGTAACAGAAGATGGTACAGTAGATAATGATACTGCTCCTGGTGCTTTGGAATCAGGACCAGCTATAGTAACTACTGTACCCTCCAGAGATGGTACACCTAGACAACCTGTACCACAACCACCACCACAAGATGAGCATGAAGGTAATTATTCCCATATTCCTTAACAGGACAGAAATATTTTAATGTTCATGAATTCAATTTGTGCTTGGTGCATAATCAAAAGATAATCAGAGATACAGGTCAGTAGTATTAGCAATTCATTTTAGTCCTATGGCTCAGCAAACTTGATTCTATAATATTTTTTCTTTTCATGTTTTAATTGTGGATAATTGTTTCTATTGTAGAAGAAGCCAGTAGTAATACAAGTGTTGGAGAGTTAGAAATAACACCAGTATCAGCTTCTATAGCTAGACATCTTGGTATAGATTTAACTCCAGAAGGAAAAGCTGCCAGAAACAGGCGTGGTATTGCTATAATTATACATGGTGCTCCAATGGCAGGTAAGTCATTGACATGTATTTTTTTGCTGTGGAATATAGATACTGTAGTTACATTATAATTAACCCTGGCCTCTCCAGTTTCTTATTTGAAAACCAATCTGTCACATAATATTAATGTTAATGAATTTGATAATGTAGGTAAAACAAGTGCAGCTGTAACTCTAGCTAAACATTATGAAACAGCCATATTGACAGTTGATGGAGTTGTATCAGATGCTATATCTAATGGTAATACACAAGCTGGAAGACAAGCAAGGGAACTTTGTGCTGAGGCTGCTCGTAAGAAAGCTGAAGAAATTCGAGGAAGTGAACTTGAAGAAGCCGAAAGAAAGAATGCTGGTGGTCTCAGTGTAGAAGCTGTTGCTGCTCATACTCAAGGAATTGCTCCAAGTATGTCATGTGTCTTTTGGAATTCAACATCTAAGGCCAAACTTTTCCTGGTTGCTACCTTATACTTTATATACTACTGTTAAAAAGCAAGGAATCACATTGATACCAATATAGATTTATTAATGGAAAATCCTTTATAATTTTTATTTTTTTTATTCAAATTTTAGCTGCACCTGGTGCTCTCATTGGTGCTGCACCATCAGTTATTTCCGGAAGAAAAACCAGTACTGTAACAGAATTAAAGGCAAAACATGCCAGTTTAGCTGGTACTAAAACTACAGCCGGTGCTGTCAATACATCATCTGTTGATGGAGCTACTGGTAGTCAGGTAAGGGAGATTGTTATATCAACAATGGCAGTTGTGCAGGTCTAGATTGTAATAGATTAGATTAGATACTATTAGAAATACAAAGTTCATCAGTGATGATTGCAATCCTAAATTCCTATGTGCTGTTGAACATCTCCAAATCTCCCCCTTTTGTGTTTGTTCAGTAATATCAACATAGCTCAGTGTGTGCGGTATTGATATTTTTCAGGTTCCTAGCAGCAGTCCACCACCTCTAGTAGGTCCTATAGCTCGAAGATTAAGTGTCAGTGTGAGTACTGGTGGTGAAGAAGGATTTATGAGCTGTGTTTTACCAGAAGATTTGTTAACTGAAATACTTGCTGAAAGATTACAGGTAAAAGATTTTTTTGAAGTCTATGGTAATGAACCATTAGTATCACACGTCTGTTAAAAGACTAGATATTCAGCTTCTGTCACATATGGAAATATTAATTCAAGAGGTAATTAAGTCATATAAACATTGTTTAGAAACATCAGTTGCTATGGTTTTGAAACAAAATGTTTTTCCTTAGGCCTCCTGTACTCCCAGGGGAGACTACTCTAACTATAGACTTCTTTTTAAGACCACAAAAATATGATTTGATGGATTGTTTTAGCAAATGTACTGTAGTAATCATCAATATTGTATTTCAGTTGAATGATTGTCATAGGGGTGTAGTATTTGATGGTCTAGATACTCTATTCTCACAGAATTATCAATCTACTGCTAATGCTATACTAAAAGCTTTGAACAATCGAAGATTTATCTTCTTTTTAACACTCAAATTAGACTATAATGTATTAAAAGAACAAGAACGTAAGGATTTAGAAGAAAAAGGTAAGAAATTACAAAGGATTTTGACTGTCTCAAATGCACTGGCCTGTTTTGATATTGGAAGATCTAATTAGTGATATCAATTTACCATATCAATTCTCTCTTGCTATCTTTATTATTTTATAATCATAATCTGTTTTGATCTGAAATATTTGTATTGCAGAATGTCAAGCTAAAATAGCAGAAGAAAATGAGAGAAGACGATTAGAAGAGATGTCAGAAGAAGAATATGATGCTTTAAGTGAGGAAGAAAAAGCTGTTGTCGATCAGAAACGTTTGGCGGTTAAAAAAGAAAGATTGAAAAAGTAGGCAATATTTTTCATTGCATCATATAATTCAGACATGTGTAAACTTAATTTCATTTTCTCGTGTACATGTATTAAATGAATTAAAGCATGACTTGATAAGTATAAGATACAGTTACCCGTTGATTTCATTTTCTTTTAGATTAAATAAATTGAAAAATCAGTCAATACGAAAAGTGAGGTATTGTGGAATGTTTTCTGATGCACATCAATACATATCACTGGTATGGTGCAATACCTAATGTTTCAGATCAAAAAGCTTGCATATCATTCAAATAATATACCTAGGCCATATTACAGAAACATCAAACTTATTGTTAAACACTTTATTTTATGTATTTGTCACTTTCCCTTATGTTCTGTATTTGATATATGAAGACATGTAGAATGGCTTTGCATGAGTTTTTGTCTTCTTCAATGATATATACAAATGATAGCTTTAACAGATTTCTCATGGAAAAACTGAAAGTGGAAGTATGCACCAATTTACTATTTTTAACAATCTATATCATAGTCTTAAAGCAAAGTTAAAAGCTAATGTTATGGTGACAAATTGTGAAAATGGAATTGTTGATAGTTGATAAAACCAGACTTACTCCCCCCCTTAACATTAATATCAACACCAAATTACATATCAAATTAATAAGCTGGTTCACACTCCCCTTTTAAGACAATTCTGTTGTATGATCATGAATCAAAATCTGCATTCAAATAGTAAAATTCCACAAACCAGCAATTTATCATATGTGTGCTTGTCACTGGTCTATATAACATTAATTGGAATTCTTTACAGAGAATTAGAAGAGAAATTGGAACGTGAAAAACGTGAAAGAGAGGCTAGAGAAGAAGAACAAAGACGTCTTGAAGAAGAGGCGTAAGTTTTGATAGACGCTTTATATTTTGTTTTTATGAAGAAATTTAGTAATTTAAGATTCCATATTGAACAAGTGTATATTGAATTTCTCTTAAAAAACCGAAAAAGGAAATAAATGATTATAAAATAACTTAATTTATTTGATTTTGTCAACAGTAAAAATAAGAAAGGTAAAAAAGGGAAGCCGGGAGACAGTAAAGATAAAGATAAGAAAGGTCAACCAGCTGGTGGCAGAACTGGTGCTGCCCCTAGTGTTGATAGGGTTGGTCAGAAATCTCAGCTGGGACCACGACCTCATGATAGTGATCATATAGCAGTCAAAACAGCTTCTAATGCTGACCGTCCAGAATCTCATCAAACAGAGAAAAGTGATACAGTGTTAGATGAAGCCAAGTAAGTATTAAGACAAAAAGAAACATAATCTAAAGAGAACAACCAATTGTCTGTCCCACCATGAGGCAATAGCCTACATTGGGCTGCTTTGTGGTCTGCTGTTTTGAAAGGAGTGGAATCAATCAGTTTTCAATTTTATTCCCAATTTTTACAGAAAAAAGAAAATAAAAGAAGGTAAAAAAGAAGGTGGAAAAGAAAAGGGAGATAAATGTAAAGATGGAGATATTAGTTCAGGATCTGATGACCAATTGAAAGAACCAAGAGAGGCAGAATTAGCTCTCATGCAAAAGTAAATGTTTCAAATATTTTGATCTTGAGATAATATATTACCATTTCTAGAAATATTATAACAGAAACTGAATCATGTTGTTACTCTTGAGTTTCAGGCTTCTGCCCACTGTTTTTAGACAACTGACATATTTCAGAATGTTTCCCTACTGCAGTTACTTACTTATTACCATTTCTACATTACAAACATTTTTATTTATTAATGCATTGTCTTACAGGATTTGTGATTATTGATTTCCCTCTATTTTAGATTCAAGAATTTTGAACACAGTCAGAAAGATTTGAATGATTTATTAGAGAACTGGGATCGTACCACTTTACAAATAAGACGACCACCAACACCTTCGGAAAAATCAGATGAAGATGGTGGACAACATCCTCCTTCTGGTAAAAAAGGAAAAGGCAAAGGTAACAAATTGTTCACAAAATTAGTCTTAGTGTCAATCTAATTGTTGAATAATGAAACCCAAAGGAGAGCAAAATATAATAGCCTCTTATACTATTCTGAAATTTGTCACTGTTTAAAAGAATAAGAGTTAGATCACATGAGTCTTAGATTCAGAGCTTAAGAATATAAAACTTCTTTTCTGTATTTTATATGTTTATGTTATTTTAGATAAACATGAGAAAGAGAAGGAAAAGGAAAGAGAGAAGGAGAGACAGAAACAATTAGAAAAAGAGGCAGCAGAAAAAGCAGCAAGAGAGGTATTGTATTACTTGTTATTTTTGAAATATCTCAGCAACTTAAGCAAATTCTTTGTCAGATGGAATTTAAGCAAAAAGGTCTTTTGAATTTCTGAGCTTTTGATATAACAGAACAAAAATTTCACCAGAAATGAGAAATGAGATATATATTTTAAACTCAAGTCAGCATTTTTGGAATTTTTAGGCAGCAATAGCAGCTGGTGAAATAGATGTTAAAGAAGGTGAAACTGTAGAAACTGAAATCAATGAGCCTAAACCAGATGATGGTATTGGTATACCACATATTTTGTTAGATTGTTCTACTAAAGATATCCAACCTGGAGAAAAAGCCCTGGAGCTGGGAAAACTACCATCTTTAGATGAGGTAATATAATATTGTAGTGTCTCAAGTTATTGCACACTTCAGAAGAATGCCAGTATATGTCAGTGAGAGAATTTTATTTATATCCTACTTTAATAGGGTAAAATCAGTTATTTTTCAAGAAACAAGGATTTTTATGAAGTAATAGAAAGCTTCGAAATCCACTGCATAAGCTCAGGGTTTGTAAAGATTTTGCAGGTCAAGAGCTGCTTTTCTTTCATATTTTACTTTTGTTTTGAAGGTATTAGATGGATTAGGACTAGGAAATCATGGTCCTCCAATACCACCACCAGCATCATTTAGTGTCATCCCCTACCCAGTTAAACGTAAACCTCCACCAGTGGCTGAATTTGGTGGACAATTTCTTTTTATAGCTTCTTCACCTGATGATCCGTAAGTTGTTTCTTCCTGTGTTTAAACCATTGAATTTTATCTTACAAATTTCCAAACTTGTCCCATAAGAGGGAGAACATTAAGGTTTTGTATTGATTATAAGAAAATATTTAAATCTATGTGAAATTTCTAATATTTTTTGAATATAGTGTGATTTCTTTTGGAACCCAACTATTCTAGAATACATTAGTTGAATATGATATAGCTTATAATGCAGAAATATGAAAATACTCTTTTTATACAGCAATGTAGGAGTAGAAGAAAAACCAAAAGACCTTGACCTAGATGAAGAGAAGTCTGTTACGCCTGATAAGATAAAAGAAGAACTGACCACACCCACTAAATCTAAAGGCAAAACAGACAAGCAGAAAGTTAGTGGCGAAAGTAAAAAGGAAAGAAAAAGTAGTGCCGATAGGAAGAAAGTGAACAGACGTGGTTCAGTACAAGCTGTTCAGTCTCCACCACCAGGGGCCACAACTCCTGTCTCAGATGTTGATGGACAAAGGTAAATATCTGACGTTTGTTTCATTCGTTGTGTGCCATGACCTCATACTGCATTTTGATGTGATTAATAAAGGATTTGAATTTAAAACAAGCAAACTCAAAATCAAAACTTCAGTATTAACATTTTTTCTTAAATACCATTTTAGCACTACAACTGGCGAAGGGACAGCATTGACTGAGCCCAAAACACCCAAGTAAGTGAGCTAGACTAGACCACACCATTAATAACAATTTAATAGATAGATATCAGGTGTCCTGAAGAAAAGTGGCATGAGAAATGTGTTATGTTTTGTGTGAATTTTTTGCCACAATAGTTGTCATGAAGTGTACATAAACATCTCAATCATTGATACTTTCCATTACAATTGCTCTTAAATTATCCTAAACATTAACAAATACCACCCAAAATACTGATATATTTCTTTCAACGAGACCGACATAATAATTTGGACACCTGATTTCACAATAATCTTCACACTGTTAACTCACATTTATTTCAGAAACTAGAACTGATACTTTTCACAAGTTTTTGTTTTTAGCACAATTTAATTCATTATAACCATAACATTTTAATTCCTTTGTCTTTGATCATTGACAGAACATACAAGAATATTGATATAGCGTAGCATTCTTTCACTCAATCTTCAAAATTTTCTACAGTTACCATCTTTAGTGATCCTGTTGGAGATGAAACAAAAAAATAGATAAAAAATTTTGGTTGCTGACCTGCCAGAGCATAGCACGAATACATGCAAAATATATCCAGTCATTCATGATCAGGAACTATACTTATCTTTCTTATTTTGTTGAAATCTTTGCCATGAAAGCTTTCCTCTGTCATGATCTGTGTATTTTCACTGTGTGCTTTTCACCTTTTTGATCCAAATGTTATGTATTTTCAGATTGACAATATTTAGATGGGTTGTGCCAGCCAATGGTGAAACTGTTTTAAGATTAAGATTCCAATCAGAAGAATTGGGCCAATTTGATCAAACTTTAAATTTTGAAATTGTTGGAACAAGAAGAAGATATCAGTTATTCTGTAGAGGTGTCTGTGCTTTCCCAACCATTAGCAGAGAACCAAGGTAAGAATTTGTAACATCATACCAGATAAGTTATTTTGATTTGAATTCTTCTTGATAATCAAAAAATTTAAATCATGCAAAATATTGAACTTGTCTGAAAAATTATTCTGTCTTTTTCAGAATTGTGTTCCCACAAAGAAAGAAGAGTAAGAAAAGCGATGAGATTGTGAATAAAAAGTACATTTTGATGACAGAAGTCTTTGAATTTGGTCCACTTTTAGTGGGTAAAAGCAGAGATAGGTAATGAAGATACAGGTTCTGCTTTTAACCATCACTTAGCAAATTCACTGAAAATAAGATTACAAATTATCCTAGTCTCTTTGCAAATTGTTTTGAATGATTGGTATTTCATGAAAATATTCCTATCTTTATGTATCATTAGATACCTTGACAGTATTTGATAATTTTTTTTGTAGATATAAGGAAGGGAAATACCCTGAGAATATGTCTACAATGACTGTACTCAATACATCCCCACTAGAAGCTGATGTTAGTTTCTGCTATCTAAATGATAGTAAAGGAGACACATTCCTATTGGAACCACCTAGTATGGTATTAAAACCAGGAGAGTCAGCACCACTAACTATCTGGGCCTATCCTAAGGTTCCGGGACGTTATGATGATTCTATTGTGTGTTGTGTAAGAGAGAATCCTGAACCCATTATATTTAAAGTTAGCTGTGACGGATTTCGACCGGAATTAGAACTTGATAAGAAACAACTTCATTTTGATAAAGTACTGCTTCACAGGTAGGTGTCATGGATTTACGTTGTTTACGTTGTGAGACTAATGGATCAGCTGATGGAGGGGACCATGATTTTGTAGTAGATTTCATTTAAATGACTCATTATTTTTGTAATAACTCATTTCATATAGTACTGATGATTTTTCCAGACAAGTCAGACAAGAACTATAGAATGTCTGACAAGGATTTTTAGGAAAAATGTACTTGAAGTCTTAAATCAGGTATGAGAAATTGAATTTCAATTTTCTGTATATTATTTCAGGAAAGACACAAAGACTATTTATCTAAGAAACAGTACAATGTTACCTGTAGCATGGAAATTAAGTGGTTTGGAGAATTTGGGAGATGATTTTAGTGTTGCAGCAGACAGTGGTGTAGTCGAACCTATGTCAGAATATCCATTACATGCTTATTTCCGAGCTCTCAAACCTGTACAGACTAGCAAGAAAATGATTCGTTTAGAGGTATTCAATTTTCAAAACAATTTTGATATAGATATAACATGCATGATTTCTTCTATCAAGTTTCACCAAATGTTATGTGTGAAAATATTTCTAATTTCTAAGAATTCCTTCTCTGATTTTCAAACTTAGTCTCCATTGCTCCTCGATGCAGACTGAAAGACCCTTAAAAAAACACCTAGATGATGGAATGCAATCCAAGCAGGAAGGATATACACTGTGTGTGCTTAATGTAATGTACTTTTTTTCCACAGATATCTGACAAAGAGAATATTATGGGAGTAGTAACAACTGAAGCTATACAAGTTATAGCAGAAGCTTATGATGTAGCTTTAGATATGAGTTTCCCAAAAGGTAACTATATTACTTCCATTACATTTTCCATCATATCATAAATTAAAGGAAGTTATAAGTATCGTATTCATAAATGTAAATATATCATACATTGGTTATATTTATTTCCAGGAACTGATGGCGGAATAGATTTTGGTGTAATCAGAGTGTCAGAAGAAACCAAACAAGTTTGCACCCTGAAAAATAAAGGAAAATATGAAATCCAATTTCAGTGAGTGTGGCATGTCAATATTTATAAAATCAAAATCCATTTTGTTGATATACACAGAGTTTGCAAGGCTCCTATTTGTAATTTCAGCTTCTGAGAAATTGTTATTTTTTTCTTAATTTTGATCTTTCGAATATCTGTAAGCATCTTTGTATTTTGATCCTTTTAAAGATCTGGAAAACATGTTTTTATTTTGACTTTTTTTCAGGTTTGTATTTGAAAATGTTGATCCTAACAATCCAGATATCAGTAACTTGTTTTCTGTGATACCCAGTAGAGGCCCTTTAAGTTCACTAGATAGACCTACACAAGTCCAGGTGATATTTAAATCACAGAGAGAAGTGACTATTAAAGATGTACCAATATTGAAATGTCATGTAATCGAGCCTAATTTAAGTGATGATGGTGAAATCATAGCTACTATTCCTGTCAAGGTTTCTGTGAAATCTGTATTCAGCAAGTGAGTTTGATTTTTTAGTCGACTACCCCTCAAAGCTAAATTCTGGCAGAAATTCAGAATTGTCCATAACTCTAAAGATGAGTTTTGAAGCTTTTGATGTCTTGTGCATTGTATTACATAACAAATGACATATATTAATGAAGTGATTTTAAGTGAAAAAGCCTATCTCATTTGTTAGACATGGGCATATTCTGATAAAAATCTTGAAATATCTGACTAAAACACAAAAAATCCTTCATTAGAGATGTATTCCATAAAACAATTTGTTTGTTTTTCAGATTCAACATTCTACCAATGAATGATATCAATTTCGGCTCATTATTAGTCAATAGTAAAAAAACAAGAACATTTTCCATAGAAAATAAAGGAGAATTTGATTTTAAATATACCATACAGAGAATGGTTAAAGATGCCCCTACTCTCAATTCACATACAAGACAAAATAGACCGTAAGTATAACTAGTCTCTAAGTATCTTTAATTTTGAAATGGCAGAAACAACACAAAGTCTTAGAATTTGAAAATGGTATAGTGAGCACTGCACATTGTAAATATACCTACATAAAATATATTGTGGGTGTGATTTTGGTTTGTAGTACAATTTTATTAAGTTTTTCCAATATTTATTCTAATACATGTCCAGACTGTTTAAATTTAAGATTTGATATTTTTAGACCTGTTAAAACAGAAAAGCGAACCAAATCTCGAGATGGTTCTACATCCAGTCGATCATTAATAAAACCTCGACGAGCAGAATCCATCAGGTTAATGTAGTAGAAGTAGCTTATTAGAGATCAAACATTTTGACTTTTGCATGATACTATTTAATCATCCATTTGTGAATAATTTTCAATTATTACAATAGATTTGATAGCTCACGATTTAAGTTCAAACCATCAGTTATAGTGATAGTTTGATTAGTTTAATGTTATTGTATGCTCAATAGTTAAGCCTGATCAAAACAAGACTTGAATCCAGTAGTTGTAGTCAAAGTTTGGTAGTAGAATTATTAGTTACTTGGATTTAGAATATAATTTGAATGATGACAAGCTAATAATGTTACTTTAGCCTGTAGTTGTAATAATATTTTTTTTAGTACTGTAATATAATAAGCTTACTAGTAGTTAAACTAAATTCTCATTTGAATATTCATTAGGATTAGATTTTTTATTGTAATTTATCAGAAATGGCTAGCTAAGATCTTATTTAATTTCCCCCTGAAAGATCAATTTGTACCCTAGCCATAGAAGTATGATCTTTTTAGTCAACTCTTACCAGAGTCTGTCTCAATTGGATCAATGGTTTGTTTACAATTTTTTCATTTATACTTTTTTAATGTTTTGATATTAAGAGATGACTGTAATAGTCAAATGATGTCGCCACCTTTAAAAGTACCTCTTATTCAACGTAGACTAACAGCTGCAGGACATAGGTATATAACAAATAGTTCTTGTGTTCAAGTTTTATTTATTTCATTTTGTTAAAATTTGGTTTGACATTTATGGGTTTTTTTTTTCTTTTTTCATAATTTTTCAAGTTTTATCTTCTACACTTAATTTTGTGCCTTGCTACAATGAGAAAAGATCATTCTACCAAAGTTGTTTTGGACATGATGTCAATTATCAGGATAACCATAATCAAAGGATAAAGCTAATCATTAAAATCTTATACTGTACTTAAAACATATTATCATCATTGTAGTGTCACTTAGACATGAAGTGAAACCTGCACTGTGCAAATCAAAGAGCTATTCATTTCCATTTTATGTAACCTTTCTTGTTTTTTTCTATAGACAAGATGCAACAACTGGACAATCTCGACTACAACTTGGTATGTTTACAATCTTCCCAGCATTTGGTATTATCTTACCTAATGGACACCAAACTATAACTGTAGATTGTATTGCTGAACAACAAGGACGGTCGGACGAGGTAGGTAGCAACTGCTCAATTACTTTGCAACTATTATCAATAGATAAAATGATGGCCCTTCACATGTTGTGTGATAAAGCACCTAATGCATGGGTTTTGATTTTACTGCTATTTCCTCTTGCTTTTGTACGAAATTAGCTGTATGGATCTCAGGTTAATTATGATTGACTTTTACACCTTAGGAAATCAGCATTGATGTAACGGATCGTAATCCTAAATCAAATCCTGGTGGTATACCGTATAAACTGTTAGCTGAAGCTTGTATACCATCTATCAATGCTGAAGATATTGGAACAATATTTGAAGAACATAGAATCTGTAAGAACCTTAGTGTATGGCAGAGTACCAACCAAGCTGAAAGTGGAGGTGTTTATGGTGAAGAAGAAAAGAAATTTGTATTTAATAATGTTATTGTGGGAAGAAAAGCTAAAGCTCGATTTAAGATCTCTAACCATAATAAGGTATGAAGATTAACTTCTTTTCCATTAGGGTTTACAGCATGTACCAATGTAGCAATTAATTTTTGATGTCCATGTTGTTTTTAAGTTGATATCTGTCTACGTGTCACATTTTTTGATTTAGAGGCTCATGATTAAACTTTGGAATTTCTTCTTTAAAGGTACCATGTGATGTGGTGTTCAGTCTCAAACCAATGTCGGGTAAAGGTGCCTTGAAACAAGTTGAAGTATTTGAAGTAGAACCATCCAGAACACAAGTACCAAATCATAGTCATATGTATGTCACTATAACCTTCACACCACCGTCCATGCAGGTTAGTAAATGCTCCTTATTACCATCATTGTATCTATTCAGGCCATCTTAGGCCTTGTCAAGGGAGATAACCCTCAATACAGACTTGATCTTTTAAGACCACAATATCACAATATGACATGTTTCAAATGAAGTTAAATTTTTTCTCTTTAGAGTTTTTCAGCAATATTTGATGCTAGTATAGAAGGGTTATCTCAGAATCAAGCTAGAGGTAAAAATCTAACCTTTGAAGTGTGCGGTGAGGGGAATCTACCTAGGATTAGTATAGCTAAACCTACAGTGAGAAACAAGAGAGGACAACCATTATCATTATTTAGAAAAACATTATTAAGTCGAACTGAAGCTTTGCCCATTGTTTTACACAATGATGGTACTCTTCCCAGTAAGGTGAGTTATTTTAAATTATTAAGAATTAAAATTAAGATGGTATAAAAAATAATCAGTGACTGTGTGGAAATTTGAAATGCATCTTTGTTTCGATGATAAACAGCTCAGTCTGTGACAGATTGCCTTGTTACCAAGTAATATCTGGTTATGGATTAGATTAAAGGGATATTCCTGAGTGATAAGCTTATAGATGTTATTACTGATTTCAAGCTGAATCTGTTGTTCATAAGCAGGATATTTAAACAACTTTATCCTTTTGAAGGTTGAACACATTTTACAAAAGTTTTGTTTATTAGCATTGATTTAAATATACCATTATATTTATATTATAGGTTGATATAGATATGATAGATCCTGATGAAGTATTTACTCTAGTAGCAACTGGTCACACTAAAGATGTCTTAGGTGATATCAATGATGAAGGTGATCTTAATTTTCATTAATTATTTATTTTATTCATTTTCAACTGAATTTCAAACATAAAGAAAACATTATTGTATCATTTCATACAAACTAAAAAAAGATAAACCCTGTAATGGTGTCCTTAATAGATTGTCTTTGATTTTCAGATGCCAAGAAACGAGCCCATACAGCATCAGTAGTAGTGAACGTGGGTGAAAAAGCTACATTTGAATGTGTATTTAAACCTGGTCATGCCCAGAGATATCAAGGACATATAAGATTATCAGTAATAGATAATCAATATGAAGATAGTATTGTACAGTTGGTAGGGGAGGGGTATGAAGATGATGTCACCCTAGATAATATACAATCTGTCACCTCAGATAAGATAGAACCTGAACAAGAAGAAGGCAACATGGCTGATGATGATGTAGCAGGTAGGTTGGCTGTGATTGGTCATGAAATTATCTTGGCTCAAAATCTAATTTTTTATCTTAACAGAGCAACTGTCCTACAACTAAAACTTAAGTGCTTATTTGTTATTTTTCTAAAAATACATGTATATGACTTTCTTTAATTCAAATGTATTTCCTTTCTTTCAGCTGCCAAACCGAATCTGTTGAAATTCGGAGATACATATTTAAATGAACCAAGAACAGTGATGTTCTCAATGACCAACCACAATACATCTGATTGTATAAGATTCCAATGGCCGACACATCCAGAATTGAAATTTGTTCCACAAATTGGACATTTACATGGTGGTTGTAAGAAAGATATAGCTGTTACATTTAAGGCTTCAGAACCTAAAACATTCACTGAAGAAGTTGTTAATTGTAAAGTCTCTAAAATATCTTTTGATAAACCAATGGAACAGGTTTGTAAAATTCAATTATTCGATGGTGACTTCATAATTTGTTTGAAATTCTTTGTTATTGGGTTTGAAATTTTTGGTAATTTTACTGGCAGATTTCAAATGTTTGAAATTGTTTGTTTCAGGTTGCTGATTGGGATGACAGAATAAGAACAGTTAAATGGGTTGATAATACAACTGCATTAGAAAGGTATGACAATTTTATTCTCAGCTTGAACTATTTGGACTATCAAAATCCAAAGACTCCATTGTCTGATATGATGGATCAATTGTTCAATATCGCATTAATATAATTATGTATGTTTAAAGCACAGTTTCTATCCAAAAAAGATTGATTAAAATGGGCATGCACAGTATAGATGATGACAAAAATATGTTTAAACCTTGGCAATATTTAATCTCTCTTCAGCAAACACATTCAAAATCATTGAAAATAATGTCAACTGTTTCATTTCAGTGTAAAACCAAATTCAGATACACCAAATACTAGTAGACCAGGTAAAATGAAAGTAGTGGAGGTAGAAAATGAACCAGTCTTTAATGAAGTACCAGACACATCAAGAAATCTGGAATTATTGGTGTCAGCTGTAGCAGACTATTGTCAGTTTAAATGTAAAGCAGAGGCTATTAATTTTAAAGATACTCTGATGTTCCAGACAAGACTATATCAGTAAGTAAACTCTTTTGTAATTTGTAATACATATTTCTCTATTAAAATGCTAACAATGTTTCAAAAACTGGAGTGATGACTCATCACTGTGATGAGTCTCTCTTGCTTGACAATGATGTTAGCCTCCTGCAAAATAAAGGTGAACTTGATTAACTAAATGAAATCCTGATGCAATATTTTCCTTATTTCAGAGTTTCAATGAGTAACAAAGGAAATGTTCACCTTGACTTTAGTTGGCAAGTAATAATGGACAGCTTTATACCATCTCTACCTCGAGCTGTCACCTTTATGTCTGAAGGTGAACGACCTGAATCTCGAGTTGATGTTGTAGATACATCATATATACCATTCAGTATTGAACCCCAGTATGGTTCTATAGCACCAAAGAAAAAGAAATCATTCACCGTTAAATTTTCACCACTGGATGTCAGTGACTATAAAGGACGGTTGGTTTGTAGGTAAGTAATATACTTTGAGTAACTTGACACTTGTTACTGTTAGGCCTTATAAATGAATGCCCATCAAACCAGCTCTTGTGTGTTACTTTTGAAGCTGTCCTATGTAGTCCTTTTGCAACGTTGTTGATGGATATTGCGTGATGTTGTTGCTGATTAGCTCAATCTCAATTTCATTAAATCTATTTCAGTATACCTAATCTTAAAGATGAAGAAGGTCCAATTATTAGCCTTAGTGGTCAAAGTTTAATGCCATATTGTCATTTTGAACTGATGGATTCTGACTACATCAGTGGAGCTAGACGTAATCCAGAGCTACGAGGACCTGGTGGTGCACCTCCTGGAACAACTTTAGATCCTAATACCAGAGTCATAGAGTTCCAATGTGTTGGTGTTGGGGTAATGGCAGCAAGGTAAGTAATTTTTCATTTGAAATGCCTGCAATTTATTCAATGCTGTGATATGCACAGGGGATAAAAAATGACCAGAACCACAAAAAAATTAGTTAAGATTAAACAGACTTTATTTTTACCATTACAAATTTTATTGCAGGGAATTTGGAGTAGTGAATCCGACAAGCCAGACATATCAGTTTGAATGGGTCTGTGAAGATGAGATTGACCCTAAAACATCACCATGTTTTAAATGTCTTTACCCTAGAGGTGATATCAGAAGTGGTAGAAAATTTAAGGTAAAAATCTTTTGAGTTATGTCGACAATTTTTCCTCTGTACTACACATCTGAATGGTTTTTTTAAAAGAGCCTCAATTCAATTTCATCTTATGAAAAGAAGCTGTCATGTTAGCAATACTTTGAAAAAGGCCTATTTATTAAGACAGAATGTTTTTGATTTTTTTAATATGTTCTGTTTTCCCATGTATTTTAGGCGGCTTTTGAATTTGTATCAAACCAGCTTGGTATTGTGGAATCATTCTGGAGATTTGTGATTCCTGATCAGAATATCTCTGTACCATTTTTATTGGTGGGAAATGCTCGAGAACCAGATGTCAGTCTAGATAGATCACATTTAAACTTTAAAGCATTGTTAATTGGTAAGGAACTTTATTTTTCTTCAATACATAAAGAACATTACAGAATTTAATTATTGTCCAGGAAGTGTTATATTACATTAAAGCGATTATTGAGTGAGTAAAAGAATCTTTAACAATTGAATAATTTGAAATGGAATGTTGAATTCAATACAGTAATTCCAATCTATTCCTACAGGTCGTGAAGCCATTGAAAAAGTCAACCTATATAACAACGAAAACGTAGAGTTTGATTTTAAGTTTAGTGAAGAATCTTGTTACAGTGAAGGATATTCAGCTAAACTTGGTGTTCAACCAAACATTGGAACAATTCCACCTAAATCAAGGTAAGGTTTGGTCACAAGCTGACAGATTCGAACCCACAACCGCTATTAAATTTTTTGGAGGTAACCGCTCCATTGAAATGAAAACAGAAAAACACATTAGAAAAGCTTATTTTAAGCTGTCTACACATTATAAAATTCTCATCAGGACAACTTTTTTATTTCCAGTATTCCTATAGATCTAATATTCTCACCTAATTCGGATAAAGAAGTGAACTTCAACCTAGCCTGTAAAATAAGTCGTAAAATTCTTCCGGTTACTTTAAATGTGAAAGCAGAAGGCTATTCCATGATGTCTTCTCTGTTTTGTGAAGATTCTCTGGGTAATAATATAGAATTAGCAGAAAAAGGCATCAACCAGATTAATTTTGGAGAGGTAAGCTATTATTATGTATCTCAGTATTGTCTGTTGTCGCGTACGAAGCAGACCATGCTTACTTTTTTCAAAACACCTGATGGTTCTACTCTTTGTAGGACTCGACTAGGAAACAACTTTTACTCCCCATTTTGCCATGCTTTGGACGAGATTATGATTAATGGAATAGTCTTGCTTTTACAGATTTTTAAAAGATTATTTAATATTGTGACAAATTTCATTTCCATTGCACACAGCATAAGGTTAACTATCTTCTATAATCCTATGATGTTTCGAAATGCATTCCATGATGCTTTCAAATCAGCAATCCCCACGATCAACCTTTGTTAGTGCCTTTCTCTACGTAACGCTGCGTTTTGAATTCCAGGTTGAAGTTAACGAAGAAGCTATTCGTAATTTGTTTATCATTAATACTGGAAAGTTTAATTTTGATTTCAAATGGGAAATATTAGATAAATCTGATCACCGGGATTTGGTTAAAATATCCCCAATGAAAGGTGGCGTTATGTTTGGTGAAAAACAGAAATGTGCCATATCATTCTGTCCCCTATCCAGAATGTCTTTAAGAGGCTACCAAATGGAATTAAAGGTAATTGTTACATTTATGGACATATTTTCTTTAGCCTCCTGTACCGATTTACTCATGCTTCCAAAACAATAAATTTAATTGATCTTTATTTGTTTGATGTTGTTTAATTCAATTGATTGTGTTTGATTTCAGATCTCAAATGGACCATGTTATACACTAGAAGTAATAGGACAGGGAGTGACACCTGGATTACATTTCTCCTATTTATCCTATAATTTTGGAAACTGTTTTATACATCGTGCTGGTCTACCAGAGCATTCTACAGTTCTCACTTTAACAAATAAAGATAAGAAGGAAATCAGGTATATACATTGAAAAACTTCTATAAGCATGAAATTTGCGACACTATACAAAATAATCCAGATGTCAATGGGTATGGTCATTCACATACTAAAGGTCGTATGGCTTTCTTACTTGATCTGATATATTTTCTAAAATTTCTCAATTCTTATCTATAGGAGAAAATTGTTATTCTCTCTCCAAAATTATAATGATATGATTTGTAAAAAGATGAAAATCAGCACATAATTGTAAATTTGAATCCATGTGGATAAAAATTGCCTCTATTCACCGATCGACATAAAATGAATTTATTTTGTCTTTCAGTGTTGATTGTCTGTATGAACCAACTAACCACTTAAATCACACTTTTGATGCTGGAGTTATTGGCCCTGGAAAGTCGTTGGATATTACCTTTAAGTTCTATCCTCGTAAAGCTATTAAATATACTGAGAGCGTTACATTTGAAATCAATGGTTTATCTAAACAGACTGTCGAATTCACTGGTGTGGGCTCTGAGATGAAGGTATGTGTTATAATCTTAAAGAATCCATTACTGTTTGCCTGAAATTCTCACGGATGCACAAGTTGATTATTTGATGAACTGAACTACAACACTTAAGAATTCAGCAATGCCTTTATTCAGTTTTCTGTTTGTTTAGATTGAAGTAGCTGATCCAAAGATGAAGATAGTTAACCTCGGATCTAAATTAGTGGGTGAAGTCGTGAAGAAATATATACCTATTGTAAACAATAGTCCGGCTCCTATAACCTTTAATTTAGCTCTCACCCCCACGTCTCCAGGGTTACAACAAAGTGATATATTGTCTATTGCACCTACATCTGCTATCACACTCCCACCTAGAGGGGGAACATGTAAGGTAGAGGTAGCATTTAGACCCAAGAAAAGAATAGCTCCATTTACAGAAGAGGTAGGGATCAAGAGCAACTTAATCTTGTCATTAAAAAACATTTAAGTTTCTTTTAGTAAAATGAAAATATAAAATAAATTTTAAGAATTGAAACGTAGAATGAGGATTCTGTTGTCAGAATTATGATCTACTGGGGACTCTGATTGGTTGATTTCTTTGAAGTTATACTGACTAATCGCATTTCTTGACATTTAGAATATAATTTTTAACTTAACCGGAAAACTTACCCTGAGCATAGAGCATTAACACGCTATAATTTTTCAGTTGTCAAAATAAATTTGTTATTTAATGAACAGGTGATGTTAGAATGTGCTGGATTATTCCAACCATTATTTGTGGTACGAGGTTCCTGTCTAGGTATGGAAGTCAGTCTAGATACAGAAGCTATACCATTTGGTGCTGTCATACAGAAGAGTCAAAGCACCAGGAAACTGGTAATGAGTAATACTGGAGATATGAATACAAAGTGAGTCAGTAACTTTATTTACAGACTAAGCAGACTGTATGTTATTGTTTTTTTTTCTCAAATGACAATTAACTGTTGACTATATTTACTTTCTGGGCTCTCATAATGTACTGCTTATAGTTCATTTGTTGTCTCTGTCTCTTTAATTAACATTAGTAGTTTTCTAGTGTCAAAGATCAAAGACTTTATAGACTACCAAATAAGACTACTTTTATTTCATTATCAAATCACTATATCAATGTCAATGCTTACTATATTTAATTGTAGATTCCGCTGGGATGAGAGTAAATTTAAACCTGATTTTTCAATTAGACCTGTAGAAGGTTATATAACACCTGGTATGGAAGTTACATTTGATGTCACATTCCATCCCCAAACTTTGAATCAAGACATCAGATATGAGGTAAGTCTTATCCATGGATGGGATAACTGACAGCCTTCTTACCTTAATTGGCAAAGGAGTCCTTAATTAATCTAATACCAATTACTGAATCTAACATATTACCAAGATAAAAAAAACATTATTTTTTCGTAAATTAACTTTTTCTGTGTTATAGCAGACTTTTACAATAATTTATAATTATACAATATTGTTAGAGCAATTTACAATGGTTAGGTAAAGATCAAAAAAAGAGCACACTCATGATTCACTTTATTCAGGCATTTTCAAATGGGAGATTACTCTTAATAAACTATTGATTGTATAGTAAAAGAAAATGGCTCTGTAGCTGTCTAAAAGCTGCTAATCATTTTTGACACTGACATATACTTGACCTCAAGTCTTTGTATAAATCATAATAGAATTATATCAATATTTAATGTCTACATTACTTAGTAAGTTAACGGAGTGTTTATGTGGTTTTCAGTGTAGAATTTAAAAAAAAGAATAATCAATCAACTTGACGACCTTTTATTTTACCCCCTGGGTTGTGAACTGATCAGCCCATTATTGTGTTTAAAGAGCAATTGCCTTAAGACTTATTGATTTACTTTAAGGAAAAAACATGAACATTTTTATAATGTTAGTTAGCCAAAAATGTAATTGTATATATAAATACTGACATTAATGTGTCTTGTTTTCAATGAAGACTTTAAGATCTCAATGTAAAAAGTTCACAATTTATTATAATATACAATACTAGCAAATGAAAGAATCCAATAGTTTTACATCTCTTGCAAAAGCAAAAAAGGTGTAAAACATGGCAAATTAGGTCATATTTTGAAAATGAATATTGTACAAATGATGGTATCATTAAAGCAAAAGAAAATTTTGAATTTTTTCTGCAAGAACTTAACTCATTCATGATTATTTGATCAACTAGCGCACTGATATAAGAATTGATCAAATTTTTTTTTGAATGTCCTCCTTTAAAGTTCACCTTGATTATAGTTTATTTTAAGACAAAGAAATATTAGAATTTGAACATGATGTTGACATTTTTAATTGATTGATTGATAAATTGATTTATTTTATAAACTGATTGTTTCACAGTGATTTATGGTTTTATTGTTCCTAATGTCTGGAGGCATCAAAACTGAGACAGGAAACTTGGGAATTGATTATTGAAAAATCACTACCAATCAATAATTTATTTTTTTATTGTTTCTTTTCTTCTTCTTTTCAACGAAAAGACATTTATAGATTTATTAATTCTTTGATCAGAGGTTGAAAATGTTTTTAAGTAAATTTATTTCGATGTGACGTATATGTTAAAGTTACGGTCAATTCACAGAACATTGGCATAGATCTGTAGTTAATGTGTTGTTTATGGATTAGGTACAGGTTGTAAAAGAAGCTTAAAGCTAGAGCCAAGTCTGTTTGGCCGGTTGGGTCACAACTATATAAAATAAGACTTTAAAAAAAACACTATGAAATTCATGTACATCTTTTCAAATTTGATAACAATTAATGACATTCTTGTTAGTTTCAAGAAGGCTGTTGGTTTCATATTTCCATTTGGAAACATTCAAGTAAACTAATGTAAAATGCATAAGAATATTTATCTGAAATCCTAAATGTCCTGAAGACCAAAACCATTTATGGGTATTATGAAGTCTCAGAAGTTACAAAATTTTAGCCCAAAATGTGTTCATGGTTTTACAAATATACTTAAAAGGGTATTAAATTGTCAATCTTGATTTTACCTTTTTTTTCGTTTAATTTGTAGAAGTTAAAGTGTAGCTTAGATGGATCAAACAAACCAATATATTTAACATTAACTGGTATGTGCACAGGAATACCACCAGTGAAAGAAACTCAACATTTTGCCACCCATGTTCGACAGAAAGAGACTAAACATATCTCAATACCAAATCGAACCAATCAACAATGGCATCTAAAACCTGTAATAGATGGTGAATATTGGTCGGGGCCAGTTACAGTAATTGTTGAACCACAACAAAATAAAAGTTATGAATTGACCTACAAACCATTGACCATGACCCCAGAGGGCAAGAAACATACTGTAAGTCATTTTCTTTTTTTAATTTTGACTTTAATGCAATATCTATTATATACTAATTAGTAATATTCATTTGCTTGTACCGTTTCTTGTCTTGTATATAAAACGAACATATACATCTCTATGGAGACTGTTTGTTTTCTTGAGTGTTGCACATATGCTATGTTTGATCAATATCTTTCAGTGAGCACAGCTAATCATTGATAAACAATTGTGCTGAGATTTTCCTTTCAAAAATCTTCAATTCATGGAAATGAAAGTTGTATAGTATTAATTTTATTGTGAATTTTTCAGGGTTCTATATTTTTCCCGCTACCTGATGGTACAGGGTTAATGTATAATTTAACTGGAATAGCTGAACCGCCTAAAGCTAGTGGTAAAATAACACGAGATGTGCCTTGTAAAACATCATATACTGAAATATTACAAGTTCATAACTGGCTGAAAAAACCACAGAGGTAATTGAGAGTTTCTTAGTTCTCTAGTTATTTATTTATTTATGATCCATCTGTTTCCATTAACATTGTTAATTTTATTTCAATACTGATCCAAATATAAAGATCACACCATTTGATACAAGATGAATCCTTTTTTTTCAATTAGATTCCGAGTAAGAGTGGAATGTCTAAAAGTGGATAAATTAGATGCCGGTACCACAGTTAAAGGTATAGAATATATTGATGTACCAGCAAGCAGTAAAAAAGATTATAAACAAACTTTTTATGCATATAAAGAAGGTGTTAGTGCTGTAAAGGTGAGCTTCTGATGTTTTTTTGATTTGGTGTGCAGTAAAATTTTGCACCAAATATTGAAATTCTGAATGATTGAGTGTCACCCTAATTTGAAATGAAATGAAATAAATGGAGTTTACGACCTACTTTTCTGCACACTTTAACTTGCGATCTTTTTATACTGAGACAATATAATTGACGTACATATTCATAAACAACTCGAAAGACTATGCCGAAAGGGAAATATATTTATCTGATTGCTGTATTGATTATTGTGATTTATTTCATCATTATCTTCAAATTTATCTGTGATCGTGATGTTTACGTGATGAGTAATGCCTTAACATGTTATTTAACTTTATTGATCTGTATAGGATCAATGATCAATTTAATTGTTGTTTTTATCAAGATCGAGGTTCAATAGGGGCATTAATTAAAAGACTTTAATCAGATCCTATCCAATATTCATGCTGATTTGTATAGGTCCAGGATGGCATTGTCTTTCTCCATCTATCCATTCATTGTTTCTGATAAAAACTACAGTTGTACAAAGTTGGCATCAATTGATTGACCTAAAGTAATCAGAAGTAATCAAACATTCATGCTGATTTGCGTACGTCCACATTTCAAGCTGGATTTGCATTGTCTTTGTCAATCTGTTTGTTCACTTGGCAAATTTGAGATATTTTTCTTACTTTCTTACTAAACAATTAAAATTGCGAAATCCATTAATTTTATTTTATATATAGGTTTATTTTTTTAAATTGCAGGTGATCTTTACGAATGAACAAACAGGAGAATATCAATTTTATGAAGTAACATATAGAGCTACACGACCTGGTGTTACTGGTACCATAGAATTAACTAGTCCAGTTCGCCAATCTGTACACCATGCTATAACACTAGAGAACCCCTTATCTTACCCTGTTAACTTCTCTCTAACTTGTAATGTACCAGAAGTTCTTATGCCTTCTCAACTTAACATACAAGCTAATTCAGAGGTTTGTCGACATTTATTCATTTTTGATAACTGTTCCCTGATACAGTCAAGCAAAGTTTTATACATCCACAAGTAGTTCTAAGCAGGGCTTGCCCCCTTAAAAATATGGTTTACACCCCCTCTAGTACTCCCACTTTATTTCTAATAAATTAAAAAATATGATTTTCATATGTTTTTTCCACAAAAGATTTGTCAGAATACACCAAATATCAATTCAATTTTTTCAATTTTCTTGGGAGACCCCTTTCAGAAGGTCTGTGAGAGACTATGATGCCTCCACAGAGTTGCCACATTTTGTATTTCAGCCTCTTCAGTTGTCCCCATATTGAGTCAGTCTGTCCCCTATTTGTATCATGAGTCTTAGGAGGCTTTCGCTGCCATTGCTTTAGTTACTACTTCATTTGTCATAAACCATATCAATTATATCATGGAGAAAAGTAAAGTATGTTCTTGAAGTGATTGATATTTATTTTATACATCAGCTATTTTATCAATATTTACTAATCATCTTTTATTTATAAATGTATTTATACAAAAATATAAATCGAAGGTGTAGTCTATTGTTTATAATTCTAAAATGGAATTTGTTTGCCAGAAATATTTACTCATTTCTTGTGTCCTATAGGTGGATTTAGTCTTCACTGTAGAGTCCATATTAATATTTCATGAAAAAATTTAATGATTATTTACTTTAAATCAAAGATAACCTTTTCTGATATATCTTAATTTAAAAACACGATATCATCATTAATTATCGCAAAAAATTTCGTCTTGTTATATATTTTACTGTACAATTAGAATTGTCAAGATATTTAACTCTTGAAAAAAGAAATGTATTTACTGTGTATACTTCCTGTCACAGAAATGTCAGTGCATAGATGTTTCAACATTTGTTCACATAAATATTGTGTATAGAATGTCATTTTGGGAGTTTTAAAGTATGATAACATCTATAGTTTGAATATAGTTTATGATATACTGCAAATTGAGCCAGGTTCCGGAAAAACAACAAATTGGAAAGCAGACAGTGTGAAATGATTGATAATTTTAACCTTTTTATGCAACTTTTTATACTATTCATGTTTTTCAGGGTCGACTTAATTTAGAGTACCAGCCACTACGTGTTGGTGAAGTACCTGGTCGAATTGAGTTTTCATGTAATGATCTAGGTCTCTATATGTATGATCTAATCCTCAAGGCTACTCCATCTGGCCCAGAAAAAGCTCTTTACTTCCGTACTTGCCTGGGACAGAGCCAAGTTCAAACAGCCAAATTTCTCAACTTTGCTAAACAGAAAACTGACTACTCCTGCAAGGTGAGTGTCACATAAAATATAATAGAATCATCACTGAAGCCAGTACAGTAGTAGGCCTACTACAACCTTATCAAAATCATCAAAAGTGCCCGAATGCTACATAGTTTTAGAATTTAGGGGCGCATTTTTCGTAAAATTGTCGTCTGTTTCTGTGTCAACAATGTCAGAAAAGTCCCATGATGATTCTCAAGAATCTGTCATGTGTGCTAGATAACAATATGAGTGTATTTTATACACCAAATAAACATTTCAAGCTATGAGAATACAATCACAGTGTGGCACTAGGAGTTCTAGCAACATCCATTGCAGCAGAGATCAAATTCAAGTAAATTGTTGAACTCAAGAGCATAAATTTAATAGCTCTTTGTATCAACATGATGCCTTCTGAATTTCTATTATTCAGCCTCCTCATCTTTGTCAAGTTTCCTTCTTTTGTTATTTCAGATTGATAATTCAGATTTCCATGTTGATAAAACAGTGGCAGCAGCACCTGGATCAACAGGTGGTACAGAGGTAGCATTTGATGTGTCATTTGAACCATCTAAACTTGGTGAACAGAAAGCGGTATTAACAGTTTCCTCTCAAACTGGTGGTGAATATATCTTCCCATTAAATGGTAGCTGTATACCACCAAAACCACAAGGTCCTTGTATCATCAAAGCAGGCTCCAATACACCTATAACCTTCCGTAATGTTTTTAATGCTACAACACCATTTACATTCCAAGTTGATAATCCATTGTTTCATGTTTCCAAACAGGGTGAATCAGTCCGAGCTCGTAAAGATCATAGAATTGTTGTAGGTTTTGATGGAAATGATAGTAATTCTAAAGCAGCTGTCATGGGAAAATTAATTGTATCATGTGCTAGTTCTGCTGGAGGAAAAACTAATGCTCAATGGGTTTATTATTTGAAGGGTGTAACATTGTAAATTTAATTTATATAGAACATTTTTTTAAAGCTGAATAAATCTGATGCCTTTTTCATTCTTTTATCCACATATTTTAATTCTAAAAGAAAACATTTTCTGTTGTCCTCAACAATTCTGTTAGTGCCATGGCATGCTAGTATCAAGTTATAAGAAAAGTCTATTTGATAATCATATCCTTACAGTGTTCAAATATCCTATGATAAGTTTTATTGAATCTATAACAACTGTGATATTTAATTGTGATTTATTTAATAGTGTATCATAAAAGTATTATTTATTTTAAAATGTTGTGAAAATATTTTTATTAAACTGTCTTACGTTTAGATTGGTGTCTTTCCATTCCACATCCAATCTGAACACAAGATGATCCACCATTCTGACCTATCCCTCCATTGCAACCAAGGCCATCATAAGTTTCCTTTGGTGAATATCACAGATAATATTCTAAATCAATATTGAGAAAAATTTCAACAAATCAGGGACTATAGTTTTCTGTCTCAAAACCAGACGATAACTGTCAAAATAGCTAATAGAGGCTGAAATAGAGGCAGATGTGTCGGTCCAGGTTTCTCTGTTCAATGACAAATGGCATCGGGAGTATTGGAAGGACCCGTTGTTGGCAAAACGAATACCTTGATATTATGTACAGTGTTTAGTTGTGAGTGTGTAGACGCCACCAAACACGCCTTTTGAATTGAGACCAATCATGGACTTTCACAAGACCAAAGACAAAATGAAATGATTCACGATTTTTACTCTTGGCCAATGACCACAAATCATTTTCTACCGTTAAATTGATTATCATTCAGACCGTGAAACGTCAAAGCTAATTAAAGGACTCTATAATCATTGGATTTAAAATTCCAATACGCCGCCCAGATTACTCTACATAGAAAGATAGCTTCGACTGATTCAGCTTGACATTAGGATCGAAATCAAGTCTAAAGACGTCAGTTTACGAAACTCATCAAACAAATTATCAAAAAAAATTATGAATTAATCGAAATATGGCCACAGAAAAATACCAACTTTAAATGGAAGAGGATCGATGAACTATACTTGGAATTAACACGTATCAGGCAAGAGACCCAGAGTCTGAGTGGATGTTGCTGACCTCAGGTAAGTCGTTTTGAAACAACAAGAAGGGGTGAGGCGGGGGTTGGGGTTAAAACCGAAAATGCTGTACATCATTTCTTATATTTTCCAGCAATTGTTGTTATCCATGATACAAATGTCCAATATCATCGTTTGTTGTATAGGCCTGTTGTTTATATTTCCTAAAGGTATGATATATAATTTTAATAAAAGAACCAACCAATACTACCTGTAATCAGGGTTCAATTTTAACAGTATCGCATCACAGTTTGCGAATCAAATTGACTTTTGCGATCCGATATTTTCTATGATTATCCAAAATTAACATTTATCACCACATTCAAAGAATCAATTTATAAAATTGTGTGAAAATTTTGATTCAAAATCTAATAAAAATTACGGCAACTCTCAATGGTCTCAATAACCTTCGGGAAAGAACGTTATTTCCTAGTCTACAACTGGAAAATTGTGAATTGCTAACGAATGTTTATGAAATGCAATTCAGAATTTAACTTGGATTAAATCTAAATCTAAATTGAACCCTGCCTGTAATATATAATTCTTAGACTACAGTCTTTTAGAAATTGAACTATGATCGTATTTGCAGCTTGAGCACAATACGTATTTGCCACTATCAAAATCTCGGCATTAAATATGAACTAACGCTTGGAAAACGTCTACAGCTGAAATTGGGCTTGGAATAGCCAATTTAAGTTCTCTTATCCATTAAAGAAATATTTCGAATTTAATCGAAAATGATTCTTTGAATTAGGACAAAACATTTTCTTCATTGCAGAATATGTAGCATTTAATGTATGCTTATCTGGCAGATGTTACACAGTCTACGATGTTTCCGTAAAAGTAAATCAAGTCAATTGTGATGCTGGCAGCATTCTGGTAGAAATATATGATGCACAAATACAGGATGATATAGAATTTATTCTTACGTAAGTTTCAAGAATCATTTATAGAAAAGATTCTCACAAGCACACCAGTGGCGGAGCCAAAAGGGGGGAGGGGGGGTGGGAGCAGAGGAGTAACCTCCGTCCGGGCAATCTCGGACGCAAACCTGGCACCGCCACTGGAGCACTCAAAGAAAAAATCCACCATGGCATACTATATAAATGAAAGATCTTTCTTTACATTTCTGAACGGGGTCATTAAATTTCCTTTTCGGTGATCATATCAATCTTCATCAAATGCACGCCAGATTTGTACATCTTTATTTTTACTGAAATTTTAGAGGCGATGGTGAATATTGGATTGGATTGGATGACAAAGCCTCTGAAGGCAATTTCATGTGGAATTCAGGAAATTCTCTTACCTATGAAAATTTTACGCCTTCAAACAAAAATAATAATGGCCATGATTGTGTTTTCATATCTTCTGATGATAATTGGGAATGGAGCTCTGCCAATTGTAACCACAAAAAAGGCTATATATGCACTTATCAAGGTAAGTGATGCAATTTTGTAATCGAGAGCCCCGTGATGCGGAAAAAAAATAAAAATGTAGTGTCCAGGCCTGTAGTCAGACTTGATTTTCTTTTCGGGAGAGAGAGGGGGGGGGGGGGGGGGGGGGGGCTCTGTAGTTACGGCGGGCCTGGAAGTGTCATAGACATATAAAACAAATGGTTTGGCATGTTACAGAGTTTGGAAGACAAAAAAGGTAAAATACTGCAAACAATCAATTTCAGGAACATCTGACCCAGAAACAACTGTGATAACTACAACAACCCAAACCACATCAACTCCAGCTACAACAACTACTTTACCAACAACTACAACTCCAGCTACAACAACTACTTTACAAACAACTACAACTCCAGCTACAACAACTACTTTACCAACAACTACAACTCCAGTCACAACAACAACTACTTTACCAACAACTACAACTCCAGTCACAACAACAACTACTTTACCAACAACTACAACTCCAGCTACAACAACTACTTTACCAACAACTACAACTCCAGTCACAACAACAACTACTTTACCAACAACTACAACTCCAGTCACAACAACTACTTTACAAACGACTACAACTCCATTTACAACAACTACTTTACAAACGACTACAACTCCTGTCACAACAACAACTACAGTTACAACAACTACTTTACAAACGACTACAACTCCAGCTACAACAACTACTTTACAAACGACTACAACTCCAGTCACAACAAGCACTTCAGAAACGACCACAACTCCAATCACAACAACTACTTTACAAACGACTACAACTCCAGTCACTACAAGCACTTCAGAAACGACCACAACTCCAGTCACAACAACTACTTTACAAACGACTACAACTCCAGTCACAACAACCATTTCAGAAACGACTACAACTCCAGTTACAACAACTACTCCAGAAACGACTTCAACATCAAATCTTGAAACGACTAAAATTCCAGTCACAACAACCACTTTAGAAATAACGGCCACTTCCGTTTGGACACGGGTGACACAGATTATACAAATATGGTGTCCTGAATTACATCGAACATTTTCGTATAACGAAACTGTGACACCTAGTGCCCAACTTCAGTCTTTATTGGATGACTTAGACGACCAAGGCGACGCTATTCAAGAAAATAAGAAGAAGCGTCGAAATACAAGTGCTGCTGACGATAGAGTTAGCAGTCAAACAATAGGGCTGATTGGTGTTGCAATGCTGAGTTCTATTGGATTAGTCATACTAATCCTGGATTTATCTTCATTAAAACGTGATTTAATAACACTGAGAGGCAACTTATGTCCTACTGACTCACATATAATTGAGGTGTGAATGCTTGCAGCAAAGGTAAACAATTGAACTACCTCCTTAAAAAACGTCAACATCATGCACGGTTAATTTTGGTCCACTTCATACGAAACTGTATTATGCAATTATTTTCTGAGCAAAGTAAAAGTTTTTTTTTTTTTTTTTTCCATTATTTTTATGAGAATTTGAATAACAGCCCGAGTTTTAGAATTTCTTTCCTTTGATAACAATTTGAACATGCGCACACATTATGTCTTCAAAGTTTGATTTTACAGCCGACAATTTTCAATCCAAACTTTCTTTGGTTGAAATTACTAGGAGATAAACGTGTTTCTATTCAATGTTAACTTAGAAAATAATATTTTTATTTCACAGTATTATTTTGTTGCTAATATTCAGATAATAAAAAATTTTTAGAAATAAATTCAAAAAACTTTTTGCTTTGCTCAGACAATGATTGCAAATATGTTAGTTCCAACTAAAAAATATGCAACAAGCAAGTAGATGGCAATTATCTATGGTCAGAGTGCCTTAGTCAAATGGTCGATGTCCTCTGTGGTGCATGATGCCCTTTCATTCTGGTGTGTTTTGATAAAAATTACGGTTTTGTACATATGTTCTAGATATCAATCTTTAATTCTCAGAAAGTAACATCAATATTTTTTCAATAACGATTTGAATTATTGTGCGACAATTTTTTGCATTTCTGAATAGAAACATCCACGAGATTTACACCCCCAAATTCTGGATCGGCGTCCGTCAAGTAAGAATCGACAAGATCAATTTCATGTAACGCTTGATATTCTTACAGTGCATAGACGCTCTGATTTTCAATCACACGTCTATGGTTCCAGCAATTCCACTGACAATAAGTTTGTATAACAAAAGGCCTTTCGCTATTAGTGGCGTCATCAAACAGTTTAAGAAGAATTGCTGGAACCACGGACGTCTGATTCAAAATTGGAATGGTGCAAATTGATGCTATCAGTGTCCCCGATACACATAAAAAAATTAAGAAAACCTCTTTACAATCCCTTTAATACGTCAGTAAATAACAAGAAACCCGTCGTTTTGTAAACATTATCATAAAGTTTGGAATCCATATGGAATAACAGTTTACTTGCATTTTCAAAAATTGTCATACGCGCAAAAGAAATTTTAGTTTACATATTTTTCTAATTAAAATCTATTTTCTCTCAAAACTTCATTCTTCTATTATGATTTTATTATCTGAAAATAATGATAGATAATTGTTAATAGGCTTATCAAGGGTTTTAACATTCTCAATTGATTTCTTTAAAGAATTCTGGCTATCAGAATTTCCACTCTCCGTTGAGTCCTTGAAGAGTTCCACTCCACAGTACTTCATATAAATATGTGCTAAAATAGATCAACACAGCTATGATAAAGTGAGGATCTTGTCAGCAACAATAGTATTAGTTATACTAGACTTTAGTTGGGTGTGCTATCATCGTGTCCAAACCACATCCCCATTCGTCATACTTCCTCGAGATAATGTCAAAACCCGTATTCGGGATATGATGGGGTGGTTGGTATATGCAAATCCCTCCTCTGATTTAAGCTTTACGGAAGTCAGATCAAATGGCTTTGAAATGCTAAATAATAGTTCTTACTCCACGGAAAGTGAAACTCGTGAACGTTCGGCTCAGACCCGATTAATGAATCAAAGATGCCCATAATATATAAAGAGAGTATCTAAGTCACAAACCTAACATTCATCGGACTGTGCATATTAGGGCTTGATAACTGTATAGGATGAGGTACCGACCTGAAATAATAACTCGGAATAAGACTAGAGCGATAAGCAGAGATGGCTATGTAAACCGTGCAATGGGACGTTATTCAATAAATTATCATTATCATCAAATGTGGATTAAAATAATGGTAAAAACTCTTGACCTAGCCTCTAACGGCCAAATGCACGCTTGGTTTTCTCTTATCTTATATATCTCGGGTATTTGATTAACAAAAATTCTTACTTTGGTGTTTCCAATGCATACCCACTATTAGTTGGTGTATTCATCATTGATCCTGAAATAAAAATGATACTGTGGCGAATACATGTAGGGTATGGCAACTTGCAATTTAGCGAACGGTCTCTTGTCAATTTAAAAGAATGAGGAGAGTACCACGTCAGACGACTTAAAAACAATATGGCAAGTGCCACGTCAGACGACTTCAAAACAATATGGAGAGTACCACGCCAGTCGACTTAAAAACAATATGAGTGTACCACGCCAGTCGACTTAAAAACAATATGGAGAGTGTCGCGTCAGACGACTTAATAACAATATGAAGAGTACCACGTCAGACGACTTAAAAACAATATGGAGAGTACCACGCCAGTCAAGTCAAAAACAAAATGGAGAGTACCACGCCAGTCGACTTAAAAACAATATGGAGAGTGTCACGTCAGACGACTTAATAACAATATGAAGAGTACCACGTCAGACGACTTAAAAACAATATGGAGAGTACCACGCCAATCGACTCAAAAACAATATGGAGAGTACCACGCCAATCGTCTCAAAAACAATATGGAGAGTGTCGTCAGACGACTTAATAACAATATGGAGAGTACCACGTTAGTCGACTTAAAAACAATATGGAGAGTACCACGTCAGTCGACTTAAAAACAACATGAAGAGTATACAAATGATTTACCTATTCTACCCCCTGACGGAGGAGTTCGAGCTGTTAATCTTGATGATGATAACATGGGTGTTGATGATATAGACTGAAAAAGAAATCACATTGAATAAGATGAGAACTTGCAAGAAATATACAGCTTGGTTTAACATTGCTGAAATTCAAAATAAATTACGTGAAATTTGGTATATGTGCTATGCCATACGAATCTGGTTCTTACATAGTGTTGTTTCCATGTAAGAACCATATGTGTTTTTGTATGTATACTATAGTATGTTAGAAGTGTTAGGTGAATCATTCAAGACAACCTAAAAACAAATGTCAGATACTGGTGGATTGTTGGCAAAATACAAGAGATCGTTTCATTTATTTTACGTATGAACTACATGTATACGTACTTGAGACAAGGCTGCCATCCTGAAAAATATAAATTCGAATTTTATGGTTTCAATGCATTTATTGTTCATTAAAATGACAACGACGAGTTTGAAGGTTATTCACAATCTGTCGTTGTAAATGTTGCTCTCAATACAAATGAGGTGAAAGACTATTGTTTCGTGGATCGAATTCTACTACTGTATTTGAATCCTACGCATTACCACTATAGGGAAATACCAACACTACATACTACACAACACAGTACATGCAATGTATATCTCGCATTTTCTTTTCATTGATGTCAATACTTACTGAAGAGCAGAACTCATTTTAGCTTGATATGACGACTTTGGTGATCTATTCGGGGAGGCTTAAAAGATAAAAAAAATAAAAATCGTAGGATATAGAGTACCGCAGATACAATACATTCGTTTGAGGAAAGGAATAATCTTAATATAGTACATGCATATTGTATATTCTTCCTGGGTCGTTCTTATGAACAGCTTTTGAGACAATTTTTTATTGCTTGTTGTGGATTATCGATAGGTAGGTAACTGGTTAATGATCGTACGGCCTGAGCACGTAAGTCATTTTTGCCATAGTTACATTTCAGAATAGTGACTTATGCGGCCAAACTGTGGATCAAAGCGAATATGTTCTTACCATTATACGATCTTCCAGGTGATGACGTCAAACCTGTTCTTCCAGGTGTCGATGCCCTTCAATAAAGAATAAATAGCTTCTCCAGTTAATATGCACACAAGATATGGATATCATATAAATCTTATATTTAATAATTTCAAAATAGGTTAAGGTTAATAACTATAGACGGTTTTCATAAAGCTGAATCTTGATCAATAAATCAATTGTAAGTCGCAATGATTTCAAACTTTTGAATGGATAGTTCAGCAGATGGAAGCTTTAAAAGTTGATTTCAGCTTAAGCAACCAGAATAAGACAGTTGTGATTTTCAATTAGTATGTTTAATGAAATTACCTTGATGACGCACTTCCCAGGCCCTAAAAAAGAAAAATACTTTATACAGTAAAAAAAAATTTCATAGGGAATTGATCAATTTCTTTTATTTCTTTAGAATTTTTTCATTTTTTATCTTCAATATTTGATTCCAAGGATATTCAAAAATAAATATTACCTTTTCACTTATAAGGCGTTTTAAATATGTATTTTCGTCTTTTAACTTTAAAATCTCTCTGAAATTACAAACAAATATTTTTATAGAAATTATATCTTGCAGTTTTGAATACATTTCTTTGATTAACAATTTTTTGTGGTTTGAAATTTGAATCTATAAATACCTTTCATAATTATAACTTTGTGAAATTGCCTTTTGAGCTTTTTCCAATAGATTTCGCTGAGTGTTGATCTGTAAAACAAAACATATCTGGTCATATGAAACTCTAAAAAAAGAGTGATAACTGAAATGGTATTTGTGTTGACTGCGGTTCTGAACAAACTGATATATTGCAAACTTTCTTATACACATGATGTTATCTGTTGCATACTGATGAATTTCATCAATTGGTTCAGACAAATATGTTAGACGTACAGACTGGTTTTTGGCAATTAGAAAATTAAATGTATTACTTTTTCTCGTATATAAGATGAAAGCCTCTTCCTGTGACTTCTTTGGAAATCCATCACCTAAAAACGACCATTAGGCATCAAGAGTGGTACCTGTTATAGGCTACCCATATTTGTTAAAGCCTCTTATTAAAATTCCATGTGATAATTTTAAATAAACTTGCTTTTGTTTGTATAATTTTAACACCAGGTTTAAAAATTCAAAATTTCTTAGTCATCCTAAGAGGTGTTATTTCTTTACTATCTTGCTGGTAGGTTTAAATCAAACAAATAATGATCAAGAAATGTTACCTGCATCAGCTGTTTGTTGTGTTTCTTAGCTAAGTCGATAGGATCCATAAAGAAACATTCAACTTCAGGTTTCAACTTAAGAATAAAGATAACACTAAATGGTTTGATTCAATACCCGTGGAACATATTTTACTAGACGTTAAACGAATATTGGCCTTTTTTAGTGACAGAAAGCAGTAAATCAACACACATCGTGTCCAATTCGCTTGCAGATTGTAACATTATGGTACTGAGACTTATTCGATCTTAAAAGTATATATTCCACCGATGATTTTGTTGTTTGCTTTATTGAGTGGTTTTCATGCATCAATCAAATGGAATATGGTCCGATTGATTTGAAGTGTCTTAATGATCATATCAATTAAAACGAAATCTGCAACGTTTCTTCGACAACTATGACTCACAAAAGCATTGTAATCCATCTAAATTATTGTGAGTATCTTTTATGAATTTTATGGAAAATATTTACCTTGCTGGTTAATTTCATGGCAGTACATACCGCACCACACATTTTACATCTATTTTCACATCCTGTTGTCAAAATATAAGCTTACTGTATCATATCAATAGAATGAAAATATAATGAAAATTGTTAAATTCATTACCGGTAGTTAAAGTTCTGTTGCGGTTGAGATGATATCTGCACTAGGTCTCGTGACACAGGAGGGTCTAATAAGATCTTATGACCAAAGCACTGTTTAATTCAGAACTGCCAACTTCAACTATATATAGATCATTTAGGCTTATTTATTATTTACTAAGCATATTAGACTGTCTGTATAAAAAAAAACAGGTAGCCTAGGCGTTAGTAATTAATTTGTTTAAAGTATACTAACCTTCTTTGACACATTTTTCACAATAAATATGACCACAATTAGTCAAATTATATCCTATTCCATTACCAGGTTGGCAAAAACATAAATTACAATGCAACCAATCCATTTCTGTCAGCAAATGTTAACAAGGTATCATTTCTCTAAAAGAGTAAAAATGTGAAACTTTATCATGGCAGACATTTCTATGTCTTATAGGACATTGTAGAACATCTGGTAATGTCTTAATCTCATTAATGGTTAGTTTTGTAGGCCTTATGTGGAATTGGCTTTTATTTAACATGGTGAAAATTAAAAAAAACAGCAACTCCCAAATCCCAGAAAAAAGTCTGGCACTAACCGTGTTGATCTTGTATCACGTCCGGGGAAGGTGAAGGGCCATTTATCAGGTAGACAAGATATGTGATAATGTTATAATTGGGAATTACCTTAATTGATGAGCCGAATGATCTAAATTAAATTAATGTAGGCAAAATATCTTTTTATGTTTTTATTTTTCGCGCGGACGTCAACTTCCGCGCCGTGATTTAAGGATCGAATGCAGATTAAGGAGTGGTAAGTGTTTTATATTAAGTCTATATCTGACATCAATATATTGTAAATTGACACTCAAAGATGATTTATATTACTTTATGACAGAGTATCGTTTCGAGAGTGAACAGAAAATAATGGTTGATTGGAGATAAATATCAACCTACCTAAATGTCAAAACCGATCCCTTTTTCATCGAGAGACTTGACAATCAAAATAATAAAGATGGCGGCCTCCATGTGGCATTTTATAAACATAACAGAGACTTACATCATTGTTTGAATTTCACTCGTTTTCATGTTATAAATCTCTAACAACAATATATATCTATAAGTAAGACACGATTGTTGATTATTATTTCTGTTCGTAGATTGTAGTAGTAGTTGTAGGAAATGAATAATGTTTTGTTGAGCTTTGATTACTTTGGACTGAATGAAGTCGAAGAGTGAAGTCTATTTTAGTTTAAAAAAAAAGAACAGCCGCTGTGACAGACGGCTAAAGTACTAAAAAGTTACATAATATTTATGTTATATTATAAAATATTTAACATATCAAACATATGTGTTTGATATTTAACATATTTTGTTTATGATATATGTGATTTTTTGAAGGTATACTGGTATTGTATTTAAGTTTCACAAACACTACTATATTGATACTAAGGAAAATTCCAATAAGCCACTACTCTCTGACTACACTGTTTTCTGAATTGAATTTTGGCAATCATTTTCATATGTATTGAAATATCAACTACAAAATACTTACTGAGAGTCTTAGATTGCCTTTGGGTTGATGAAATTGTCAACCACTGGAAAAGTTATTATTTGTAAACATGATTTTACAGAGGGGAATTTTCAGTCCAGTCCATGAATTTCGGGGAGGAAAGTGTGTCTATTTAAAATGTAAATCACTTGAACCTTATATTTCTATGGACCCGAAGACATTCTAAGACAAATGGCATAAGTTTGAAAATTCTATTTTGAATATTAATGAAATAAGAGAAAAATTTCAATTCAAAGCCCAATGTAGTCAGAGAGGTGGCCTACTCTAGCCGACAAATGACAATAAATCTACCAGAGACTTGAATAGAGGCAAATGTTTTGGCCTTTTGTGATATATGTGTATTTACATTTTACAATATGAATGGATTATTTCAGATATAAAAATGGCTAAACCAACAAAAATAGATTATGAAAATAAACTGATCTTAGCTCCCATGGTGAGAATTAATTCATTACCAACAAGGTTACTATCACTAGATTATGGCGCTGACTTAGTGTATTCCGAGGTAATGATATTTAAATGAAAGTTTAACAATATATTTTTACTGTTAAAATAGCACTCAACAAGCTTACATTGAAGAGCGATTTAGAAATTCTAACATAGAACCTGAAGCATGTTGTTACTCAGAGCTTCATGCTCTTTGTCACTTTTCATAATTGTCTTCGAGTCTCCCAAATTTTTGTCAGGAGGATGTTACTAATGCTTAAGTTCCTGGCTATATTTTTACCATGGCTTGAATGATACAATCATATTGTAATACAAAGACTATTAGATTGCTAATTGTTAATGTATATATATGACTCTTTGAATATTGATCCTTATTTTGAACTTATTTTTCTAGGAAATTATAGATCATAAGATATTAGCAGCACAAAGAATTGAAAACAGTGAGTGAACACTACTTCTGTTTATATAGAAGTAAAATGGAAGGGTTAACATATATAAAATAATAATGTCCAGTATGCGATATTTATAAATTGTAGTGCTTTAGGTGCAAGGAAAGGAGAATTAAAGCCAACTCTTGGAATTGTTGATGCTTTAAGGTTAATCTTTTCAACATCTTTGATTATGGTTGATGAATAAGTTTGTACTTGTTTGGCAGACTATTTTGTTTAAGTAACAGATCAGTTTATAGCTTATAGCAAATACCACTTTGTATTCTGTTATTATTTATTAAATTTTATTTCAATAAACATTCTTGGTATTCAGAATTACTTGGAACTGTTGATTATGAAATGCCTGATGGAACCATTATATTCAGAACATGTCCTAAAGAGGAAGGCAAAGTTGTTTTTCAAATGGTAAGTTGCATATTGGCTCAATTATGGTTTCAGAATTTCAATTGTTTTAATAACACAATATGTAAAATTTGCCAGATTTAAAACATTTTTAAGCAATAACTTTGAAATCCTAATTTTCTGGTCTTTCTGTAGGGTACTGCAGATGCTGAAAGGGCTTTAAAAGCTGCCAAGAAATTGTAAGTATAAATACATCATAAATTTAAATTGTTTTCTCTATGTTTTTTTTAATATATACATTTAATCTAATATATGTTTTAATCAAATAAATACAAAGTAATAACAAAATCCAAACAGCAAAATGAAACCTGAAATCCAAAACAACATTTTTACAAAACATTAGTAGCAGCTAATGAACTTTTCATGTAGACTTTTAAAGAAGGGTTTTAGTTTTTAGTTGATTTGCATTCCGTATAATGGATCTATTTTGTTACTTATATATGTTACAGAGAAAAAGATGTTTTAGCCATAGATGTTAATATGGGTTGTCCTCAACTTTTTTCACTGAAGGTATATAAACTATATGTTGTCATTAATTAAACTGAAACAAGTTCACTATTTTGTGGTGGCAGAGTTCTTGTCAAATTATCTCTTTAGATGCAACACCTTAAAAAGAAGGTCATGGAATCACAAAATTTTAGTGTGGCCTGTGTGGACTAATCCAAACTTACTGTTCCTCAAGTCTGCGCTTACTGGGTTATCCCAGAATATTTATCATATCATTTTTATTTCTTTAGGGTGGTATGGGAGCAGCTTTATTGACACAACCAGAAAAAATTAAAAATGTAAGTTAACTATTTCATTGAAGTATTTTACTGAAATGTTTTTCAAAATATAGACGTTGTTAGGTAGTTTGATTGGTTTATGAATTCAAAATGTTGGATTCCACATTTTCATAGATAATAAAATGATCAGCCTTTTTCTATAAAGCTTGACATTATGTGAATATATTTATAGATTTTAACAACACTAGTCAATGGATTAAATATTCCAGTTTCATGTAAAATCAGGATATTACCAGAGGTTAGTTAGGTCTTTTTATTACTTAATGATCCATCACTAAAAAGGAAATAGGATTCTTACTTGTAACTCAAAAGAATTACATTTTGTTGCTGTTGTTTTGCCTGTATTGAATTAAAACATTACTGCATATGATTTAGGACATTGCATATACAAAATTTCCTAGGGTCTTTACACAAATCTCCAAGATAATAATTGGCAGCAAATATGCAAAAATATGCCTGTCATCTAGAATTTAAATATTTCGTCTGATTTCAGCTATCTGATACTCTAGAGCTAGTAAAACTTATAGAAAGAACTGGTGTATGTGCTATTGGTGTACATGGTAGAACTATAGATGAACGTCCTAGACATCCTAATCAAAATAATGTGATAAAAGCTATTACTCAGACAGTTAATATACCTGTTATTGCCAAGTATGTATTGACATTTACTTTATTTATTTAAAACTTATCTGAATAACAGTAGAATTGTGAAATATGTTTTACAGGATTTCATTTAAGGAATACTTTACTTCTTCAGCTAATTTCATCGGAATTAAAATTAAAATCTGACATCTAGTTACAAAGGAGACAAAATCTCTTGATTTTGTGGAATTATGTCTGATAACATAATGAAATAAGTAAACTGCGTGTGAGAATGTTGTTAACTTATCAGTGATGACATTGCAGACTTTCAAACATAGTAAACCAAGTGCCACCCTTTTCGAAAATAAAATAAAAGAAGAATCACATGACTTATGTGTTATGATGCATTTAAGTGATCATTACCTGTTGTAATTTCAGTGGTGGTTCTAAAGAAATACTATGTTATAATGATATAGAGAGTTTTAAACAAGAAACTAATACTAAATGTGTGATGTTAGCTAGAGCAGCTCAATGGAACCCATCAATATTTCGTAAAGATGGTTTACTTCCTTTAGAAGATGTTATTAAACAACATATAAAATACGTATGTATAGTTCAAGATTTAAAAATTCTACAATTTTAATTATTAATTGTAATGATTCTTTTGAGTTGGGTGGCCCAGTAGACACTTGCTAATTAAACTGAAAGTCCAGTTTTCTATTCATCAGGATTATACCATTGGATTTTTCATCAAGGTTTCTCTATGTAAGTGATGCCAGTAGGAGAGACTGACTAGGAAATAGTTGTTTAGTGGAACAATAAAGAAAGTCCATATTTGTACAGGCCTTCCCAGTTGAAAATTTAAAGATTTGAGCTAATGCAATTTTCTTCATTGCAAACTGCAATGAGTTTTAATAATGAAATTTATTTATTTCTTTCAGGCTGTAGAATATGATATCAATGCTATGAATACTAAATATTGTTTACTACAAATCATGCACAATTCAATGGATATGGCAGAAGGACAACCAATGTTAGATAGTAAACATTTATCAGAGATGTGGTAAGCAACAATGCATGGAATTTATTTACATCTGATAGATGTAATGATACTATAATTATAGCTCAAGCATCCATTGACATAACTATAACAAGAGAATTTCCAGTAAAACTTGTTATTGAATTGACCATAAAAGAAAAACTAATAAGTCTGACACAGAATGTGATATAGTATATGTTCACGTAGTGAACTTCCAAATGACTTGTATTTGGATTAAAATGTAAATCTGGTAGTTTAGTTTTTTTTTCCGCAGATGCTTCATTTTCAATTGTAGTAATTTGTAGCAAAAAAAAAACATAAAGGGAAACTGTATTAGTAGTCAGTGTGAATTTTTTCAGAAATAACAATTCAATAGTCATATTTGAATTGTCATATTGATCTAATTCTTTCATTGCTGTTCATTATTTTTGTCTTTTTGTTATGTTTTCAGTGATATTTGGAAGTTAGAAGAGTTTTATAAAACGATACAAAGAATGAGAATAAAGAAAAGAGAAAGGTTAATGGACGATGAAAATATTTATAATAATAAGATAATAGCCAAACGTATGAAAACAGAAGATGGTAGTATACTAATACAATTACCAGTAAGGTTTATCAAGTAGGTTATATTTTCCTTACATAGTTTAGTATTCACATTTAGGTTGATTGAATGGGGTTCAGATCATGCTATTTTGTGATATTTTTTTCTGAAAGCAACATAGACAGCTGAAATAAAAAGTTTAATGACTGGCAAAATGTATAAATTTTGTGATCCTGAATGAGCTGAAAAGAATCTGTTAAATATTGCCTGTTAAATATTGTAATGTTTTGAAATAACATGATTTTTGAAGAAGGAATATGTTTCTATATTTAGGTCTAACTATCCTGGTAATATCTCACCAAAACAACTTCTGCATACCAAATACATGAAAAAACATACTAAAGCTCCACCTTATAATACTGTAAGTAATTCAATGCTATCGTTTTAGCAGTTATTAACAAGAAAGATGTGTCATCAGTTCAACTCAATAAATAAAGGGAGATAACTCTGACATTTTTTCCCAAGTAATATTACCTCCCTTGGACTACATTTGAATTTTTAATTTTTTTTAAAGGTTCAGAGAGACAGTGATAAATGTTTTAAATCAGTATTATGTTTTGATGGAAAAAAGTACACCACACCATACTGGTAGGTATTTTAAGGTAGGATGGGTTTGGTCATTTCTTGAAAAATTGAGAAAAGTAATGTTAGTGATGTTGGTGAACTTGATTAGGTCATAAGATTAGTGCTGTCACAAATTTTGATATTTATACAAGAACTACTAGTTTTGAGACCAAACAAAGCTGATTTTGGACAGATCTGTTTTTGAGACAATTGAACAGCTTTTTTAGAAAAGATGAACCTATTTCAAGACTGATGAATTTGTTTGTGCCTTAAAACTACATTGATATACTATTTATTTTTTTGTAAAGGGAGAAATCTAAACAGTTAGCTGAACAAGGTGCTGCTATAACTTGTCTAATATCACTGGGTGTACATGATGGTAGAATTAATAATAATGAAACAGAAGATGAAGACCTAAGAAGTAAATGGAGGGAAATGATATCTGATAATAACAGTGTGCAAAAATCTACTGAGACTTCTTCTAAACCTGCTGGAGAGTCTTGCAATGCTCAGATTGATAAAAAAGAATATACAGAAACCAGTAATCAGATTGGGATTAACGGTGAAGATTCTGATGTGAAAACATGATGATTTTTATATAGGATGGTGATGACGGACAAAGCCAACAATAATATAGGTTTTAATTAATGGAATATTTGAAAAATTGTACGGGTTGCTTTTATTTATTGTTTTATATAAAATAATATAATTATAAATTAATAAATGAAATCATTAATTGAGAGTGAAAATCATTGATATACATGTAATGTCTTCACTGTGATCTAAAAGCTTCACAACGATTTTCAGCTAGCATTTAAATCAGAAATATCTAGACATATGGAGATTTTAGAATATGCAATATGTGGTAAATATCCGCTGCCATTCAATTCTTTTCATGGTTCAGATGTGTTATGATAGCACATACTAGAGCAGCAGAGTTAGCAGTTACAATTTGTTTTAGTAACCTTTTAATAAAATTGTATAATGGTATTCCATTTCTGAGACTAACGTATGTTTGGTGAAAAAAATGGCCTACCTGTCCCTTTAAGATTTTTGAGGAGTCCAAAGTTGATGATATTTTACTATGTTAAAGGAATATTGCGTCTTAGAATGAACATAAAATTTAAGAAGTGTAATCTTTGCAAATAAGAGCATTTATTCATCAATAGATATAGCTGGTCATAAATAACAAAACAGGATCCTTATATAATCTGATAAATCCAAAAACCTAGTAATTATCAATAAATATGCAATTAATTATTGAATAACAATTAATATTAAGATTTTATTAAGATTTTTTGATGGAATCAAATGAAATTCGGTATGTGTATACATATTCATAAAACAAAGATCAAGTTCGAATTTTAGCTATTTTCGACCGTTAGAAGCAGAGGTATTGCCCTTTTAGTTTTCAACCAATTTTGATGAAACTTAAAATGGATGTTATTAGACGTAAATCGTAAATCGAAAGGTTTGAGAAAGTTTAGTTTACTTCTGATTAAATTGATGGCTTTTTCAAGATTTAGGCCACTTACGTCTGTTTTGAGGAGTTATCGCCCTTTAACCTCTATACAGTAAGTGCTTCTATCAACATCAATTGCTCGTAAACACTCTAAAAACTAGAGTCTTTGAAGGAATCAAATGAAATTCGGCATGTGCATACATATTCATGAAACGTCGGTCCGTCCATCCGTCCGTCTGCCGCCCGTCTGTCCGTCCGTCAACATTTGCTTGTAAACGCTCTAAATATTAGATTTTTTGATGGAATCAAATGAAATTTGTTATTCGTTATTCATAAAACGAAGATCAATTTCAAATTTGAGCTATTTTCGACCGTTAGAAGCAGAGTTATTGCCCTTGCCCCAAAATCTTGAATATGCTATTACTCTCTTAGTAACTTTATGACACCAGGTAAGTTCACTGATGAATATATACTCATATTGACCATTCTTGAGAACTTTATGTTCACATAGTATCACTCTAACAATATTTGAGTAAATGCCTTGACTTTGTAAAGGCATGTTCATGGAGTTGGATTCAGGACTGTGTTTTCATTAAACTTGGTATTCACGTATAGATTAATGAAAGTTCAAAACTGATTTGTTTTCTGCCAATATTATTTCGAAGATGTGTGTATATTACCTTGCCGGACAAGCTATCTATTTCACTCCCCTTGCCTTTACTAATACAAGATAAAGTCAAATATCAGATTTCAAATGCTGTTTGATTTATTTGTATTTGTATACCCTTTTCATTTCTTGATCATGTTTGGGTTTATTTTCAGTGTATAAAAGGGAATATGTATTCATCATACTTGATTTAGCCGAAAAATGTTTTAATTTTTTTTAAATTTTTAATTGAGATAAATCATAGTTGAATGGGCTAACAGAAAATTCAATATAGCTTAATAATCCCCAAATTCTATAGCCCTCAATGAAGTTGACTAATGCTTTGCTAATACCCATTGTATTTTCACATTAGGTCTAGGTCATAAAAAGTCTACAACCAAATCTTTTCAATAAAAGTAATGATTAAGTATAGAAGCAATAACAAAGTGAACCAAGTCAGTCAATATACGCTATTTCAATATACCTGTTTTTAAGAATAGGTTGGGTGTGGTATTTAATTTTCAAGTACCTACTTATTTAACGCAAGTCAGTGAATATGTATTATGTCAATGACTTACAAATTGTGTGGATGTATGGTTGGCTGAAAAACTATGATAAAGTGATTTTTGGTTTCTTGTGTCTGGTTGCAAATTGGTTACATGTTCCTTTGTCGTAGTACTTTTTACTAATTTATTATTTGTTTATATTTTGATAAGAGTTTTTTTGTCGTGATTAGTTTTTCTACTACTGTGTTATTATAAAGTTTTATATATAAAAATATATTGTCGTCACCCATGTCCGTCCGTTGGTCTGTCTTGCCGTTGGTCCGTCCGTCCATCTGTCCACAATTGCTTGTAAACACTCTAGAAGGCACAATTCTTGACTGGTTTTTACGAAACTTTGTATTATTGTTTGTAATCACACAAAGATAAATCCTATCGAAAATCAGAAATTTTAGCTTGTAAACACTCTTTAAGGTTCAATTTTGATAGGTTTTGACGAACTTAGGGTAAATGTTTGTTATCACCCATGGATGAACACTATTGAAAATCAGAAAAATATTTTGTATGAGTTAATGCCCTTGTTCTTGAAAACACGTTTAAGTTTTAGCTAAATTCTAGATGGAATTATATGAAAGTTGGTGTAAGTGTTTGTAATCACCCAAAGATGAACCCTAATGAAAATCAGAAGAATCAATAAGTATTTAGTTTGAGTTATTGCCCTTGTTCTTAAAACCATGCTCAAGTTTTAGCCTGTAAACGCTCTACAAGGCTCAATTCTTGACAGAATTTGACAAAACTTGGTAATATTATACAGTATCGCCCCAAAAGGTTCAAAAGAAGTGTAAGACTGAAGGTTTAATATTTCATACTGGTAATTATTACTGTACTGCCAAATATTTTTATTTAAAATCAAAGCTGCCAGTGGGTGTACATAACCTTGCCTGACAAGCTATCTTTTTTTTAATAGAATTCTTTTGTTCCCTAAGATACTGTCTCATTTTGGGTTGATTGGTCATATTTTTGATAAAAGTTCTTTGTCTTGACATTAACTATTATAATACTTTGTGGTTTTTTGGTTATAGTTTTGATAGTTTGTTTGTCTTGATATTAGTTATTCTACTACTATGTAGTTATACGGTTATATTTTTGACATGTTGACATTGCTTTGTGTTGTCATTAGCTATTTTACCATTTTATTTTATTTTTGATAAGAGAACCTTTGTCCTATTATTAGTTATTTTGACTTCTTTGTTGACTATTTGGTTATATTTTTATTGATTATTTTAATGTAAATTGTCAATATATGAATTTGCTCGCATCATGTTTTGTAGGTTAGAATCCGCTACTCTAATAAACATGTAGGTCAGAATTTGCTCACATCATATTTGGTAGAATCAGCAACTCTATTATAGGCCATGTTTTGTAGGTTAGAATCAATCATTGTGTAGGAAGAGTCATTGTTTTCAAGGGTCAGTCTTATTTAAAGGGTTGGATTCGCCAAATTCTGCGTTAATTTGGGTCTTGTATATATGTATTTGGTCTTCAGAAGTACTAGAAAGTTTGAAAATCGCATAATTCCTTCAAAAATACCCCAAACTAGGAATATAAACATATTTCTTTTCTATATATGGCAGAGTCTCAACAAAAGACGATTCGTGGTTTTAACTTTCAAGCAGGGATAATTCTGGAGACACAGGGATTTAAAGGCTCAAATTTCGAGGAAAGACATATTATTTTCAAGTGTACCTTGACCCTTTCTACAAAATCATATGTATGCAATAGTAGGAGAAAAGTTGTTCACAATGCAATAAGGATGTGTTTATGTTCAGATCTTGTAATTTACTATTATCACATTCAATGTCTTCAAAGGTCACCAAAGATTTGGCTCTTGACCTCACAATGGTTGTTTGAAATTTTCAAATTTAAAATAAGTTTTAATTAATGACCCATTTACACAATCAATTGACAGAGTCATATGTAGTGTTGTTGATTAACATTGGAGGTCACAGTGTTATTGATAAGGTCTGAAGGGTAAAACAGGATTAATCAATTATTTTCAAACTGTTTACATTCAACTTTAACCTGCACTTCAGTCAACAAACTGACAAGTCAATAAAGCACATTTAGTTCAATTAGATTAAGTGTTGTTTACAGTTTTACATAAGGTGACATTATATATTATCAGTTTAGCGTATTGCATGAAAATATATTATTCAAAATGCCTTTAGTTGGGTTAACAAACTCGACCTTATGAGGTTTTCCTAGTTTTTCCAACACCCTTCCATGTCCATGTAGTCTTGATATGCAAATATGTAATTTCTGGTAAATTTTAATTATTTTTGCCCCCGCATTGTTTCTCTGCAGCCAAAAAATTGTGCAGTATGTAACTAAAACTACTCTATACTACAACAAGCAGCCAAAGACATTTTGCATTTGGCCATTTTTTTTAGTTAAAAATATATACTGCTCATGTTGGAAAAGCAGCCTTTTTTTAATCAAAAAGAATACTTGGGTAGTAAGGGATGGGTGTCATCATATTGAATTACTAGTTATACAATTTGTTTCTGGTACTGAGACTTATGACTTGTTAGCAGACAATAATTCAACTTTCCACTCAGCCATTGTGGATAATGGTGTCCCTTTAAGGTAGTGGTCAATAGGTTGCTCTACATGTGTATAAAGGTAAATATTTACACCAGACTTGTCTTTAAATTATCAATTGTCATCACCAGTCAAAACTCAGTCAGAATTATAGACAAGGTCATATTGATTTTATCAACATTCAACTCTATACTCAGTGAACCTACTTAGTTATGCCTCAAAAATACATTATCAATCTTTTTTTCTTATCTATTTTAGAAAACAAAACAAATGACTATCCTCTCAATGTGCCTAAAAGTTAAGTTAATAAAATGAAAAATGACTGTCAATTTTAATGATAAACTGTCAAACTTTCTCATGTCTGCTGCTGAAGTTAAAACCGTCTGGTAAAAATTTGAGAAATAAAAACTAAACTGTTGATCAAGAATACATCTTACAAGTCTGTAATGTTTATTTTGTTGGTTTACAAACAATTGCCTCACATCTGTAATCACAAATTGTTTGTCCTTCTTGTACTAAACCAAGAAAAGGGTCAAAGATGGAAAGGTAAAAAAAAAAGTAAAAACAAACACTTTAAGAGATGTATTCAATCAAAATAGAGCCACAATTAGAAATGCACGGATTAATTCTTTCCAGGATTATTCAGTTCTGTTAAACATTTACTTTAATCCAATCAAAATGGCAATACTTTTTCCAAAGCCTCGTGAATCAAAACAGGTTCAATGCATATGTAGCCTACCCTTAGTTACCAAGACTATTTGTACTCTTTCCTGTTTATTCTATATGCAGGTCGACATTGTCCCCAATTGAATCCCATAATTGACATAAGGTACCAAAATGTCAGCTTTAACATGTAACATGTTTGGGAACTAGTATGTAAAGGATTTTCATTTAATGTTCAGCTTCTGCAGTTTTTTTGCATTTGAACATTCATTTTGTTGTATTTTTTTGTTTTGAAAATGTCGATTTATCATAAATGATACATAACTGAAGGTATTGATTTGACTAACTACTAATGAAATGAGTTTATAATATGAAATAAAAAATTTCTGGCTTAAATATCTTTATAAAATGTCCTCTTGATAGCAATATCTTATTCTTATCTAAATATCTTTGATAGCATATCCTATTGTAAATAAAACTTACTTAAGAAGAACCTTAACTTCTCTCTTTAATATTCTTAAATGAAGAAAGAGAAGTAGGATTAGATGATCAGAAAAGATTGATTTACATACTTACACAAACTGTTATAATGTAAAATATGTATTTCATAATATTGATTAACTATTACAGTATCATTGATGTCATACAAAGTGATCCATAATTACAATTATCTGAGGAATATACATATTAACATCTTTTTTTTTTTTTTTTTTTTTACTTACTTACTCAGCTGAAGAGTTCAACTCAAATTATTCTTTTCACTTTTCAGAATGAAAATAGGAAGTCGGGTTTGACAGCAATTAAATAATATTTGCCTGCGATATCTTTCATAGGAGTCATTAATTATTAACAGAATGTTGATTATGTCTTTGCAAAAAAGAACATTTGTAGACAGTATATTACCAATTACCAAATGATTAGATTACTTTATCCTTTCAAATGTACTTCCTAGTCACAGTTTGAAGAAAAATCACTATTTAATTAATTATTGATTACTATACAAGACAATTGGACAGATGTTGTTTATAACACTATTTCCTATATACATATCAAATCAATTATTGAACTTACAAAGAGACGCCTTTTTCTTTTCAGGACATATTTTGTGCCTCAATTTTGCTAATTTGACAACAATTATTCTAAATCCAAAATACTTTGACAATATTTAATTGGCATGTTATCAGAAGAAATATACCACATGCCACACTATTCAGTATTTTTAAAACTCTATTTAGATATTAAGCATTCTGTTGACTAATCTGTAGAGACTCCTCCCCTTATGTGACAGAATTTGATCATGTAAAAGGCATTGTATGTCCCAACTGGATGTACTTGACTTTACATCTATTTTAAGATCAAAGTTGCTTAAAAAAAAAGGCTTCACTTTTGTAATGTCTTGTTATGCATATAAAATCCTTGGCATTTAGGTCTTGGTTACCATGTCTAATAGTAATTCCGACATTTCACACTCAATTATTTTTTCCTTAACACTTTTCTCACCTTAGCAACTAAAATATCCTGTTTGTGTTTAAACTACAAATTTAGATTCTTTCCAGTAGCAAAAGAAGGAGTATATTACTTTTGAATTACATTGAAAGACCATAAACCGAGGCCGTGTGTGCTACAGTTTATGCTCTCGAACTTCTCTCAAAGTTGGAAATTGAAAAAGAGTCTAATAATAACTTCTAAATTATGTTGCTTCCTGGCAAGATTTCCCACTTTACAAGCTGTGGGGTGTTTTTCCCGGCATCGTCTGTATTAGGCAATAAGGTGCATAGTGTTAGGTGTTATAGTGAGACATAGAACTCCATTCATTTTATTTCTGAGACAATTGATTAAACTAAAAATTTCCGCAAAACAAATTCAAACAAATTAAGATTAATCGAAATATAACGTAGGTGTTCATGAGTACATTTTTAATCGTGCATTGACCAACCTCTCCTGCTATCAAACAGGGATAATGAGGAATAATAAAATTTTTATTAATGACATGTGTTTTGTTCAGTAATGACATCATCAATTATGCCCAGTAGGATCTGACCAAGATATTATGATATATTAGATCAGCTGTTTAATAGCTTGACTGACCTACATAATATCTCATCAGTTACCTATATCAAGAAAGTAGACTCTATATTACAGACAATAATTTTATATACAGATTTCATGATCCTACTTTGTAACTTATGTCAACCAATGAATAGCACAGAATTGTCCTTATTCATCATGTATATTGATTTATGGAAATTTTAATATTGACTTTTGTTTATAGTTTGTTTAATAATTAATAAATTGAAATAGATTGTCCAAATTTCATCATATGGTAATAATTGTTCCAAACATTTGGCAATATTAAGCAGATCTGACATTTGAAATATTTTCAAGATATATTTGGTGATGAAAAAATTATCTTATCACCCATTTCTTAAAATCCAAATAGTTGTTGTAAAGTAGACTGGTTATCAAGCTCTTTCTGTTTTCCTTACTGGAATCAGGATTAAAGGAAAAGGATTAAAAAATGACAGAAATATTGCTGTTAATCTGATACTGATTCCAAAACGAACCCATGGGACTGTGTGCTAGAGGATCAGATCGTGAAAGACAAGGATGTTGCTATCATTCGACCTTGTCTACTTATTCATTCACTACCTTGTTCAAGATATGTTGTCATCGAATCAATTTTTGTGGATTGCGTTGATGTTATCTTTTCTGATTTGTAAGAGAAAATTTATGGAAATTTAATAATTTTGTCACTGTGTGTCATTTCATTATTCACAACTTGTCTACATACGCAATATAACTTCCTGATTTCAAAATAGGTTTTAGGGGAATTCATTCATGCATGTGAAGAAAAAGTTACACTATGAAAAACACTTTTTATCACAATATCTACATTTATTCCATGTCAAAGCACACAGTAACTTCTCTTAATTAAAAATAAAGAAAAATATTTCAGTAAAATATTAAACACTGTATCCAATGACATATAAAGAAAATCAAAACATTGGTCAAATAACAAGTCAAAACAAGTTTCTTGAAATCATTTCTAAATCAATGGATACTAAATCATTTATAAGCGTATTCCATTTTCAAAATTTTCATTATACATTAATTATTTATAGCTCAGCTTTTTCAAGAAACCTGTATTGACATTGTCATCAAAGTTTAAACTGGGACTGTTAATGGCAGTCATGTTGGAAGAAAAAGATCCAAAATGGCCCACATGGCACAAAGATGCAATATTGCCAGAAATCATTCTTAAGAAACAAACTAACAACTAACAGCCCTGATCTTAATGATAACCTACATTAAGTTTTGTCTAGTTTAATGATAAACGAATATGAGGCTTCATAGGTTTCTAAAATTGACAAAATTTGAGACCTAGTTTAAGGTCCGAACAAAATCAAAAGCATATAATTTCACAGGTTGTCTGAGCTTATCCATACTAGAAATCAACCTTCAACCATATAAGAGTGAGCTGGAAATACTATTGAGGTGGACTTTCTGAACTTCAAGTTTCCAGCATAAGCTTACACTAAAATAAGCTAGATACTGCTCACAAGACAGAACAAGCAAGATTTAAGATAAAATTCCCCAAGAACTCAACAAACTTGTGATTGATTCAGTAATTATTCTACAACGAAATTAAAACCATAAGTGCTTGACATTCTTATACATCAATTAACATTTTTTAATAAATAACCGAGTAAAAATGATTGCTTTTATATCTGAAACCATCACAAGTTTTGGTATCAATACTTCCAGTTAGTTCAACCAGGGATTCACTTCAAAATCTGTTTGTCAATACATATTGTTTTGGAAGGATAAGTTGCAAATGCTCTTCTTCATTATTATTTGGTAATATATGCTGTGAAGTGGCTTTACCTACATGTCACGCAAAGCTAATGTCATAATATGCTCAAGTTCTTAAGCATGGGTTTATTATATATGACATACTCACAAGATTATGGACTTTAAACTCATCAAAACCCTAATCATACCCAAGCAATGAGTGATAAGTTGCATCATTTAATTTTGTGGCAGTACGAAAATCAAATACATTTCATCAGAAGAAATGCAAGTGTATAAGAGTCCAGTGCCAGATAAATGTGAAATGGAAATTGAAATGATTTTTTAAGGACCCTGTTTAAATGATTTTCCTCTTAAATAACTTTACAAGAAACGATGTACACAGTTTCATCCTTCAATATGCTTTACAATCACCTTGGCACAGGAAACATTCATTTCAATTTTATCATGTCATCACACATTAACAGGAGATTTAAAAGCATCTTGGCATAACACAAAATATTGACACAGAACAACTTATTTTTACAGCAAAACAGTAAAACACATCAACACAAAAAGAAGTCCATGAAATTTTATGTTACTATGTTACAAATTAATTTACAAGTAAATAATATATATTATTTAAAATGAAATATATATAATTTTTTTAACAGTTTTTTTCAAATTTTCTGTGTGCAGAATATACATTAGCTTTGACCTTATATATATATAATTATGGACAAAAATGTACAGTTAGGTATCAGTTTCATAGAATAGCTGAACAAAATTTTCTATTGAAACCAGTAAAATGATTAAAAACTACATAATCTTTCTCAAATAAAATTATATTTAATGTCTAATCTAAGTTCACTATTTAAAATATGAAATCATCTCCAATAAATTCGATTGACTGATACTTTTTTCTTCTAAAATTTGGCAAATGAATTACTCATCTTACTTCATAATAAACTACTGTATGTATCCAATGTAATATCAAAACAACACTAATTTTCATCACCATGGGGTGTAATCAGATTGAAGCTAAATTCTATCATGAAATAAAGCAGCACTTAATCCAAATTTCATACAGCACAAGAAGAAACACCAAAATAACTAATAATTTAGATCAGGTCAGGACACAATTTTATTTTCATATCAACACAGTATCATCACAAGACAAAACACAAGTTCTTGTTTTGACAAATCACATCTGGAACACACTATCATAGTGACACCGTTCAATGTTTATGATGCTATAAGTCTATGCCAATGGATTACAACCATATTTTTATCAGAATTTATTCCAAGTAACTAAAAGCTTGTGCAGTGACTGTGATGGTAAAGCTGCATTGTGAAGTGTGTTTCAAATTGACAAATTGTTTCATCAACGGCAACCAGCAGTAGCTTGGCCTGTGGTAGAACTCTGAGCAGCCGCTTTTTGTTTCAACATTGTCCAATCAAATGTATAATCGTACTGATAATTAAGTGTGCGGAACAGAATTCGGAAGAGTTGACGGAGATACATGTAATCTGGTGCTTCTTCAAAACGTAGCCCTCTACAATAGTTGAGATACATACAAAATTCTGCCGGAAAACCTTTACACAAGACCTCAACTGGACAGGACATTTTTCTTTCACTTATTTTTTCATATTTCTGCTTTTTGGTGTTAGCTTTTAAACCCTGCCATGGCAAACTTCCTCTGTTGAAATACATTAATACGTATCCAAGGGACTCCATATCATCTCTGCGACTCTGCTCTATGCCCAAATGAGCATTTATACTGGCATATCTGGCAGTTCCAGTTAGATTTTTATCTTCTCTGTAAACAATGTGGGTTCGACTACGACTGTCTCTGTATTTTTTAGCAAGTCCAAAATCAATCAAAAAGACTTTATTACAATGTCTACCAATGCCCATTAAGAAGTTATCTGGTTTGATATCTCTGTGAATAAAGTTTTTGTTGTGAACATATTCAATTCGTCCAATCATCTGATCAGCAAGCATCAAAACTGTTTTCATGGTAAACCGTCTTGAGCAGAAATTGAATAAATCCTCCAAGCTGGGTCCTAACAAATCCAAAACCAACACATTATACTCTTTCTCTGTGCCATAGAAACGTATGTAAGGTATTCCAACACCACCCTGTAATATTTTGTACAATTTGCTCTCGTATAGAAGTTGTGGATGACGAGCTTTTGTTGCCTCTAATTTTACTGCCACTTCCTCACCATTTGTATTATTGATTGCCAAATAAATGTCCCCAAAAGAACCACTTCCTATTTTTCTGACAAGTCTGTATTTACCGCCAACAACGAACTCTCCTTTTGTGGTTTTTTTCTCAGCTGAACTCTCCATCTTTAATCTTAAAAAATTGAATTAAATTTTTGTTAGTTAGGATGATTTTGATACTAACTGAGAGGTTTTAAAAATCATTGTTATCTTATAATTCGATTAATAAACTGAACTCTTGACATGATAGCTGTAACAATTTTCAGAGTGTATATCTTGATCTTTTTCGTATCTGTGGTAACTGGTGAAAGGTGACAGCTATTTTAAGTTGTGAATCCCTCAAATGGGAAAAATTAACTTGTCAATCTAAAGTTCAACTTTAGTAATCTATATTAATTAAGTCAGATTGTTGTTCTTAAAAGCTTTATTATCTGGTAAGCTGAATAATCAGACAATCTGTATTTTTGTAAAATGTTAGAAATATAGATATTGCCAATAATTATGATAATTCCAAAATAGATAATATTCACTTAAAAGTCAGAATTATGATATTTTTTTAATAAAGGAAATGGCATATATCACTTTCAGGTCTTGCTTCTGGCAGAAAGAACTTTCCTTTAGCAGAAAGGATTTTCTTTTAGTAGATTGCTTTGAATTTTAGGACTTGCTCTGCCCTCAGATCTTGAAGAATAAATTTAGCAGTAAAACATGATTTTAGAAGAACAGATTTCAATATCAGCTGAAGAGACCTGCATTTATTTTGAAGGATATAAAGGACATGTTTTCAGCTTAAAGCCAGAGGTCTTGCTTATGTGCCCAGCAATTCTATGTGAATTTTAAAACTTTGCTTATGTGCCTTGACAAGGAAAGTTCACATCTTGATATCCTTGATATAATGTATTGATGAACTCTTGTCAAGTAAATTGTCTTCTTATTTTGCGTAAATAAATGGAAGGATAAAACTAACCTGTTGGCAATGAAACTCTATTCGTTTTTGAGGATATAACCATGTGGACTTGAGCACATCTTTCTATATTTCCCAGTTCCCCAAATAGGCACAAAGCATGTTAGCTATATTTTAAATACTTAATACTGTAAGTTACATAGTGCTTGGTAACATTGACCTTTTCCAATAACACTGAAAACTGCAGACTTAACTGTTGAGTAACTTGATTGGTAACTAATGAAGCATGACGACTTAAACACAACTGCTTGACAACCAGTTTATACTAATCTACTGAGATCTACCATAACAACAACTACTACAGTTTGGTGTGTCATCCAATCAACAATGAATTTGAATCTCATATGTAAATGTCAGTATTCAAAAAAATAATATGATTCTGAATTGTTTAATACACCTCCATTTTTTTAATTCCAATTGTTTGACTTGAATATAATTAAGATTATAAGTTCAAGGGATTATAAAGAGGTTTTCTAACCTTTTTATGTGCATTGACACCAATAGCATCGATTTGCACCATTCTAATTTTCAGAAGTCAGTTGATGTTGCAATTCCACTAGGTTTTAAAGACGTCATTCAACCACTGGCCTAGGTAAAGATTTACAATAAAACAAGGTGCAAGTTAAAGATTTAAACAAAAGAAGAAACGCTTTTGTAATAAGGATAAATTATTAGCAACATCTGCAACACTGACATCATTTATGGTTAAGCATTGCTATATTTACAGGAACAGACATCTTACAGAAAATTGGAATTATGTAAATAAAGGCCGTAACTGGCCACAATACATAGATAAAACTTTGAAAATATCTTTACAATCCCTTTAAAATGATAATATGTGCAAAATAAAGCTAAATTAACTGAAAACTCTTTGATACGGTACTATTGTAGTTCTTTATCAATACTCCTGTGATGGAAGTATTTGACATAGCTGTTGTCTATATTGCAGTATGGATGTGTATATTATGTCTTTTTGATCTTCAGTAACGGTACAGGATAAGCAATAATCTATAATCGTGGTGTCCAAAATAGTAGACATATTTTTTGACATATTTAATAGAAATCTACAGCTAGTAAGTGGAGATTAATATCAAAGTAAAAGCATTCTGGGGTATATATTGCATAATTATGCTGCTAGGATTAAGAGGGTTAAGAGAAACATTTGTAAAAAACATGCCATTTTAAACAATTGTTCTTTATTTTTAGGTGGCTATCATGTCAGTTACTATAGCACCAATTAGATTGTTATTAGTTGGAATAAGTTTACTGCTAGCATGGCCTCTAGCTGCCATTGCTATTGGATTCCGTTCAGAAGAGGAGAAAGCTAAACCAATGACAGGATGGAGGAAGTAAGAAAATTTTACACTTTTCTTTGTTTGCTGTAATTTGTGCAATCTTATTATTTGAGAGGATACACTAGTGAAAAGTTTTAGAAAAAAATAGGGCTGTAGTTTATCACAAAATTTCACCTTGCGTTATATATCATGCTCTATCCATTTTACTTCATTAAGATTAATTTATTTAATCTATTTAATTTCACTAATCCATATCATTTTCTTTTGAAAATCTACTATCAATAAAGCAAGACATCTACGCTTAAACAATTACAAAGTGTGTTTACAACCGTAGTTTAATCTTAATGAGATTGGCTTATCTCAGATTATAATTAATCATTAATTCATGTAATGTTAAAAATAGGAGATATTGCCTTAACATGTCCGAACTGATTATAATATGACTAAAGGAACTGCATGGGTCTTTTCTCTCACACATGGGTCTATGTGTTAAATGCATTGGATTTCAACTCATTAATATAAGTACAGTTTTGAAGCGATTTTATTGAAAGAGTGAAAAATTGTAAAATAAAGTACAAATTGAAGGATTTGAAAAATAAAAATGAATATCATTTATCCAAAAGTAAAGGTTAAATCTGTCATTTGAATACAATCTTTCACAGCCAATATTTGCCAGTTGTAACTTTGCTTACTATAATTGCTATGAAGACAGAAGCTTCCATGAAAAGAATTAAGAATCTTTTTTCGGAAACCTTTTGACCTGATAAACCGTACCCAACCTTCCTGCTACAAACACTACAATGTACATCTATAGAATGCCAAGAACCGTACTTGTAAGTCTGAAGGGGAAGGGGAAGCTGTTACTTGTAGAAGTTACCTTTCCTCAATATTCCAGTCAACCCAGCTGTAAATGGGTACAGATAATCCTGGAAAGATCAATGCAAAAAAGTTTGGCCAAGGACAAGCTGGTTGAAAGGACCCTTGTGAACATAACTTTTTATCCTTTTAAACAGTGGAAATCAATGTTAGATACAGATGTTATTTGATAAAATTTGAATGAAACATAATTTACAGTTTACACTACTCAACTACCTTAATGCTTGAGACAGATGGCTGTATTTTGTGTTTTTTTTTTTTTTTTTTTTTTTTTATTACAAAGGGGCACATAGTTCATAGTCAGCAGAACTTTGCCATCGATCACAAGATTGATATACAGAGACAGTCATTCTGAACGCCAAGTGATATCAGTATCACGTTTGATTGGTTTAAGAAATATCTATTGCCCAACAAAATACGCTGTAGGAAAACTCATCATGAAGCTTCAATGGCTTAATCATTTCTTTTTAATTCTTAGCCTCTTTCGACCATTAGTGGTTTTCTTCTGTCGTATGGTGTTCTTCGTGGCAGGCTTCCAGTGGATAACAGTTCGAGGCAAGAGAGTCAGCTCCAAAGAAGCTCCCATTATGGCATTGGGTCCACATTCTTCCTATTTTGATGCTTTACCTGTAGTTTATCATAATCTTGATACTGTTGTTGCCAAAGCTGATTCTGGTAACATACCTTTTTTTGGAAGTAAGAACATAATAAGAGTAATATTGAAAACAGAAGTTTTAAATCATATTGGTATATAGATAGTACTCTATGGGGGTTATAAAAGATTAATCATGTTTTGATAAGTACGGATACGGAAAATATGAGCTTGGAATGTTTAAATGATAATATCCAGAATGTTACCTTATTATTGTTTATTAATTCACCTCCAAAATCTGCTTTTTAATTTTCTTTTAGCATAGCTTTATTTAAATCCTTTTTTAATGCTTTGAATGTCAGTCATTCTTATACATCATCTTGCTTTTTAATCTACATTTAGTTATATACATCCGCACATGGACCATCAGGTCACAAATTTTTATTTACTTTATTCCACTGCTTCCGAAACATAAATACTTCAGTAATATTATGCAGCAATATTTTGTTGAAACAATCAATAACTTGAAGCTTATACAATATACATGTGAATATATGTAAAAAATATGTCTTGTTAAATTTTGTTACAAATAAGACCTGCTGATAATGATACAGTAACAGTTTTAGTGGCCTCAAACCAAATTTTAAAATTAATTTGATCTTTCGTTTATAAAGATTCACTCTATTGATATTGTAAGCACACTCTTACTAGTCTTTCAACTACTGAGCATGATTTTATTTTATTATTTCCTAGGGCAATAAGGAAGCCTCTATTGCTTATTGGACGGATAATCTACTTTATTGTGGGATTCCAAAGTATCAAGGTCAGAGGTCAACCAGCACCTGCGAATGAAGCAGCATTAATGTGTGTTGCTCCGCACTCAAGTTTTTTTGATGCAATTGTATATTTTATGAGCAATAACCAACTTGCCAGTCCTGTATCTAAAAAGGAAAACAACAATATTTTGATGGTAGGAAGTATGTACCCAACCATTATAACCCTACCCTTTATCATGAATTAATGTTATATCCCAAATTACAAATTTTACTTTGTAATTCATTCATGAAGCAACAATATGCATTTACAGTCGTATTATAATCCTTCAACGATATTTATGCACATACAGAATATTTTACAATGCAAGTGCTATATTTTCCATCTTTCTTTTTTCTTCAACAGTTGTTGACTGGGGACATGAACTTATAAAGACACCCCACAGGAAGTATGGTTAGGAGGGATATGTGCATAAATATCATTGACAGACTATACTTTTAATGTATAATCTTTATGGAAACTAAATTTAAAGATATGGGATAACATTGTAGATCTTAGATATGATTGATTTTTCTTGACAGTACTTTAATTTTGCATGTGCACATATTTGCATGAAATTTCTCCTATGCACTTAAAATATCTGCTTAGCTTTTGATGTAGGTATTGTTGCGTTTGAAATATATAATACACTTTAATTTCTGCTTTAAAGATGACACGTTCACGTTACATAATTAGCTCATTATGAATACTATTTTGCATACTAGCTGAAGGCTATTATTTATTTCACTGTACGTAATATATTTCGGAGGAAAAAATTAGGCGAATAGGCTACATATATCAGATGCAATATCTTATTGATACTTAACAAATGAAAACTTTTCCAAATAAGGGGTTTGACTCTCATTTGAAGTCTTTCAACTATCTGTTCAGAAACCTGAGATATTTTAAAATCTATGTCACCTCACTTTAATACCCCAATATCTTAATTTGAACATCTTTTATTAAAACTTCTGTTTTCTGATTTAATTTCTGTAATCAATTTGTTTACATTGAAATATTCACAAGATATGAACAACTTTTTTAATGAATATGATGTACTCACTTTTCAAAATAAGAATATGAATGTATACCAGTAATTGATATAACCTCTGGAAGGTTTGCCCTTTTTTTGACATCAATTGCATTATTCTAAAAAGTAAAATTTACCGTAATTTGGAAACCTTTTACTTAGTAACTAAAATAACTTCCTATTTTGTGAATATTTCAAATGGATTAATTTAATAGTATTATAATTCTTCAAAAATATAACTTTTTTTTCACTCACTTTAATACTTTATTTCATTTATAGTAAATAACTTTCTGTGTAAATAGAAATTTTTTTTGTTCATTGTTGTCCAGAATGTTGTAGGATGGTTAATTATGAATGATTTATGATGTCTCATATTTTTTTTTTGTTTAGCTTTAATGCAGTTCACTCAACCAGTATATGTTAAAAGGGAAGACCCTGATTCACGTGTGAACACTATTAAAGAAATATCTCGACGTGCCCAATCTAAAGGAGAGTGGCCTCAGGTGATTATTTTTCCTGAGGGTACTTGTACTAATAGATCTTGCCTAATAACCTTTAAACCAGGTAAGACTGATATGTTATAGTTATTAAAGCATGTCTTGGTCTTACTACTTTTAAAATATGTATCCTAAATACATATATTCAGAAATCTGATGGTACTCAAATTCATGAAATAGAAATGAAATTTGTGATGATGAGTTAAATTGCTTAATTATCAGAAATCATCAGTTATGAACAATATATATCATTAGTTTTGAACTATATTACATTAATTACTTTTGCCCCCTCTTTTAATATTTAATTTATTTTCAATTATAAGTTACTTTTCATTCTGTTATGGATGAGTTATGATACATGAATTTTTTGAATTGTCGCTTTGAAATGTGAAAAAGAACTCAAATAGCAAATGAATGTTTGGGCAGTGATGGAAATTTGGTTGACACCAGCTTCAGCCTTCTCTTTTTGATTTTCAACTGCTAGAGATAATTAGCATGCACATAAGTGCTTCTGTTTATAATCTCATCTGAATTACCGTACTAATATTAAATACGTAAGTGTAGGAACAATAACAGTATAGTAATCTATTAGTAATTATAGTGATATTGATTACTGTCTATAGGTATATCTAGATAAATCATATTGCCAAGTGAATCATAGGCTGAATCATTTCAATGACTCAATTTCTTACAATGAATTAAATATAAACTGAAATTATTGAAAGCTTGACTCTGTCTTAAATTAAGACATTACTTTACTATCTTGTTGGTAATTTATTTGTTTAAAATGTCTGCAGTGGATTTAAAAATCTCTTTGTTCTGTTGTCAAAAATTCCTTCATTGCCCACTGCACATTGTTGCTTAACTTGTTTGATTCATTAATGGTGTTCACAGCTCACCTTCAAAATTTGAGCTCTCAAATCCATGTGTGTCCAGAGTTATCTGTGTTTAATAGTTAGAAAGAGTCATCTTTTTTTGAGACACTGCCATATATATATATAAAAGATATTTTTGAAGGAGTTGTGCATTCTAAAGACTATTTATATTTATTAAATATATTCAAGACTCACATTAACCCCTCAAAATGGCGCATGTGTCCCCAATAAGAAAGCTTTGAAAATATACTTTCAGGTGCATTTTATCCAGGTCAACCAATTCAACCAGTGTGCATAAGATATCCTAATAAATTTGTAAGTTTTTCTTTTGTGTTTAACAAGAACTTCTGAAAACAAGGGCATCTCATATTCAGTTATGTTCAAATGTATGTGTGTTCAAAAGATCTGTTCACAAGGTTGCTTTCACTGTAAAGGTCACCTTACAATTACGAGATGTAATTAAATTTGTTATCTTTTTTTTCAGGACACTATTACATGGACATGGGAGGGACCAAAGGCGTAAGTAAAAGTTTGTGTGTTTGTAACCACTCTTTTCTTCCACCTAATCTTAGTCTGAGCTCTGTGACAGTTCTGTCTTAAAGAAATTTAGTCCAGAAATGGGGTTCAATATCCTGAAACATTTCGATATTGGCTTTCCGTGTCATTGTGATTTTTTTAAGTGTGATTTTTATGTTTGATATTTTTTAGATTTACTTTGTTATGGTTAACATTATGTCAGTTTCATAATTATGTTGAAATTGAGGTAAATATTAAAACAGTATTTGTCACATGAAAGTGTAAAAGAGTATTTTTTCGAACTTTTCTTTTGTTAGACCAAAAGCAAGAAATTGTTTATTACAGATTTGTCAAAATACACAAGTACCATCCTATAGTCTTAGGTCCTGACTTTTGATGATGCACCCATTTGTTTAAAAAAAATGTATAGTGATCATTGATTTATTGTAAAATTTCAGTATTTGCCAGTTTATTATCCATCAGAAGCTGAGAAATCAGATGCTAGACTGTATGCTAATAATGTGAGAAATGTCATGGCGAAGTAAGTAGATGGTATCTCATATGTGCACTAATTGTTTTAGAACATCCGTCAGATTCAAACAGCACCAATCTCATTTCCATGCCCACAAAACGAAGTCTACTAGGCTTAGATTAATATGGGTTAATAAAACCTATATTCGTTTTACGATGATCAAGGCTTAGACTGACTCAAGCACCCTTAAAGAAATAGTAATTATTGTGAAATAAATAAAACTACTATTAGTCATTGTTTGACATAATTCTAACTAATTACCTTAATTAGGTGCATAACTGCATAATTACTTAATGTGTATTTTAGAAAAGAAATGTTTCAGTATATTTCTGTTTTTTTATGAATTGTAGATGTCTAAAAATTCCTATAACAGACCACACCTATGATGATTGCAGATTAATGATGAAAGCAGCAAGATTAAATCTGCCTATGGCGACTGGCTTGATAGAATTTCAAAAGTTGAATAAAAAATTAGGGTAAATTTACAATTACTCAATAGCAAAAGCTTTTGAAAAGTTCAAATTGTGAATTTTGAAATAGATCTATTGTAGAGCTATATAGAAATATTAAAATAGAATAAGGGATGCAGGCTGAAAATAGGTTAGTTGTCTTAAGGATGCATAGCGTGATACTCTGAGTAACAACATGATTCAAGTTCATTTTAATATTTCTAATTATTAAATGAAATTAAACGTGACTTTATATTTGAGCTCAGTGGTTAGATACAGGTTTATGAGATGGTGATGATATAATCTGATTTTTGTTTTGCAGGTTAAGTTTAGAAGAGATGCAATTACAGTTAGATAAGTTCCGTTCTATAACCACTAGTAAATCTGGGTGTATTACTATTGAAGAATTTGCTACCTATTTACATCTTCCAGTTTCTCCTGCCTTACAAGACATCTTTGATATTTATGATAGGGTGTGTTCCTTTTGTCCTGTATATTATCAAAATTCACTACTGTGTTTTACCACTTAACAAGTTTGACTTAATGACATCAGCACAATAATTATATTACCAGATTGAAGCAATAAAGTTTGAAAATATAAATTACTCAAAGATAAACACCAGTTTAGCTGGTGAGGTGAGGTGTTATTTATGGAGTGACTGTCACTAACAATTTATTATTTTGTGTATCAACTGTATTCCATTTTGAATTTATATTGTAGAATAAGTCAGGTACAATAGATTTTCGAGAATATATCATTGGTTTATCATTAGTTTCTGGTCCAGTCAATACAGAAAACACTCTTAGATTAGCTTTTCAGGTAATTTTCAACTTGTTTTCAATTTCATATTCTTGTTATTTTGACAAAATGTAATGATATGTAGGACATCTGCATGATAACAAGAGACATTTAATAAACTACTGAATATGTGTTGTCTTGTTTCTTTACAGTTGTTTGATAGTGAGAATAATGGTTATATTACACAAGATGGATTTTTAATCATTTTGCATAATGCATTTAAAATGGATGCCGATGAAGTAGAAACATTGTTTTTACATGTTGATAAAGATAAAGATGGAAAAGTTACGTTTGGTAAGAAATAAATATTCTGATTTCTTAAAAAACAATTTGTCTTTTAATCAATTTTCTTAAGGATTTTCAGTTTGAAAATAAAGTTCAGAAGACGTATTACAAGCACTGACATTGAAACAAAATCATACAAAATTTTTTTTAGGCCACATGTTAGAGGATACCTCCTTTTGAAGAAAATCAAACTACTTTAATTATTTTCCCTTATACCTCATTTTGTGCTAATGCCATCTACCAGCTGATCCTTTCAATTTGACTTTGTTCTTTATTGTTAACTTATTCAGTTATTATTATTTATTAAGGTTATGTTGTATTTCAGATGAATTTCAACAATGTGCATTGGAGAAACCAGAATATGCTAAATTATTTATAACTTATCAAAACATTCAAAATGAAAATGGGCATGCAGAACATCTTACTCAGGAAGAAATACAAAAGGCAAAACTAGATTAATTCTTTGATATTTATTATTTTTTTAACTTCTGGTTATGTTGGTTTTTAGTTTTACCTCTCATTGTTGCTTTGATATTTATTAGATCTGATGTAGATTCAACTTTTAGTCCCTAAATGCTCTGTATGTTGCTATGTCTGAATAGTTTGTATTAGGTAGGTTTATATTCAAAATAGTCTCTAACCCATAATCAAAGTTTATACAGGACATATTTCTGTGGCTTGTTGTAAAGATCAGGTTTTAACCATAATGCCTTATTTTCATCGTTCAAATTCCGCATGGGACACATTATTTAGATAAGTAAATTGAATTTGATAGAATCTTTTATGAGATTATGAAGATATTGTGACGAATGAGAATATTTGTGTTACAAGTTGTCTTGGAGATGATATTTTCATGATTTATCATGATCTGATAAAGAATCTTATCAAATTTGTCTTAATCAGTAACAATTATGTTCTCAATGCATTAATGGCGATGCCTTCTCATCAAATGAGATGTAAAGGGCTAGCCATGGAATTTAAATATCTTATTTTTTTACGTTTTGATATTGTATTTTGAAATATTTTGAATAATTGAAATGGCATTATTAAATTGAAACCAAATGTTATTGTTCTTTGTATCTGCACCATCACCTTTATTAGTGTGGAGTGTTTTATTGCACTTATTTCATTTTAATGCTTTAAATGAAGTTTTTGGTTTTGGGGTTTTTTTTCTAAAATTATCTGAACAATAGGTTTTCATGCAATGCAATTTGGTTAATTATTTTTTGTTTAGACTCTATACTCAAATTAAAGTGATGTTATTGTCTCTTACACCGGATCTCGTTAATTGTTAGTTCAAAGACTTATATAATTTTAGACATAAACATTAGCAGTCCACTTTATTTTAAGGTTTTAAAGAACAATATATGAATCTGGCTTATTTTGATTCAATTACTATTTATTGAAAAGAAAATAAAGTTGACTGCTTGTGTATGTTTTGAATTGTTTGTTGCATTTACTGATAGGCTATAAGTATCATTTGCTGCAATATTAGTGCTCCCTTAAGTAACAATCTCATTTGCTACATAGAGATATTCTAGACTTTAAGACGTTTTATTATGCAATATTTGTTTTTTTTGTTCAATTTAAGTTTTTACTGTTATTTTTCTTTTAGTCATCAGAGTAGGCTTTTAATTGTGAGGCAAGTAAATTAATGTTAAAGTATTTTTACAACGACTTACAGTTGTTTGCACTTGTTAATGTTAAGCATAGATTTGAGCACATCGAGGCAAGATCTAAATGTAAACGATCAGTATGATGTATTTTGAGGTAGAGTAAATAGTATACTATACAGACTACAAGTATTGAACTCATCACTCTGAGATTAAGGTGGTGTAAGTTAATGCTAATGTTTATACTTTGAATTGCCCTAGATGGTCACAAATCTCTTATGTTGGACCATACGTTTAATATCACCACAACATGCTTTTAGATAGTTTTCTCACCAACAGTTCATGGCTTTGAAGAATTTTTACAGTTTACTGATTTAGACTGTCATTCACACTCATATCAAACTAGCATTATTATGTAGCTGAATTTGAAATTGCAAGTATTAAAACAACTGCAAGTTTTAGCTTTTTGAGAGGAAAAAATACTCAAAATATATTTCACTGCCTTCTGGGGACCATTCTGGGGTAAAAAAAAAATGTGTTAACATATATTTTTCGTTTAGATTATTTATCCAAAGTAGTATAAAGACACCTTTACATACTGTGATTCTTTGACATTTGTCAGTCATGTTATACCAGACCAGTGTTGATTTTTGTTATAGGTTTTCCACAAAAATTTGCATAATACTGAAAACCAGTTTCTGTAAATGTGAATAGAGCTTGTGGAAACTAAGGTATTTACATTGTTCTTTTACTTTCTTTTGTTTAGGGTAACATTCTGATATTATGTTCTTTGTATTCAGTTAGTGATCTAGTCATAATGTTTTTATTTACAGGAACTATAGCGTGACATCGAAACCATGATTGTTTTACAAGGAGAGTTTAAAATTACATGATTTTAAATAACTAGTTGTACCTATTGATTTGTATTCACAGACCAAGATATTTTTGCATCGTCAGGGACTTTTCAATTGTAGAAAGAATGTATTTATGATATTAAATGCATGTCTGAAATCTTGTGGACTGTTAATATGTAGAATGGTCCCTGGTTTTGTATAAGTATTGTTGACCAACTGTAACCATCTGTTTTGTTATTGCTTTTTGTTGCATTATTTTGTGCATGAATCATGTATATATCGGCTTCATGTACAATTAACACTAAACTTCAACTAAATGACTAAGAACAACATTGAAACTGAATCATGTTGTCTCAATAAGCCAGTTCAGAACTGTATATGCTCATGTGCAACACTCATTCCCTCCTTCCCCTTAGGATAAACAGTCTCTGGCATTGACAGTTATACATTTATCATTGGAAATCTCGGTTCACCCAGTATATATCTAGAGTCTAACAATTGTAACTGTAGTAAACCTTATGTATTAGATCCTTTTCCATCAATGACCATAGTAAATCTAAGTTGGTCATCTTGAGACGGAAATAGAGAATAGGTTTGTTAGATATGCACATGTATAGTTCCGAACTGGCTTGTTGTTATGCAATATAACTGATTTCTGTTTATGACATGTTATTTCTATGATAGTTGTTATTAGGATATGTGATAACACTGACCAGAGTATTTTTGATAATACTTACTACTGCCTTATTGTAATACTTCTACCTGTTAAATTGAATAAACTACTTTCATTATAGTCTTCGCTATCATAAGTTCACAAAGCCTCATTAAATATTTATTATTACCGTACTTTAAAAACATGATCACAACATTAAAATATAAATGTAGATTAGCAAAGAAAATATATCATAAAAATAACAATAGATAATATCACAGTGATTTTAAATAGGACTAGATTAACATTTCCACCTTGACCAATCTTAGGATATGGTCTGTTATTTCTACATTGAAAGTCAAAAGACTGAATCTTGCACAGACAGATCTCATGTCACAGAAATATATGGACCTCAAATGTAGTTGAACAACTTTAGGGAATGTCTTGCTGCACAATGTCAAGGTTTTACCAACTTCGTCTCCACCTTTACTGTAATAGCCACTATCTTGTAGCAGAGAAGTTTATAAATGCAGCGATCTGATCAGATTTATTTGGGTGAATACAGTTATCAACAGAAAGTCTGTAAACAATAAACTATAATATTTACAGTCTTTCTATTGAGAGCCCCGATTGGTTTGTCAAGCTCCAAATACACCCAATCAAATTCCTTCATTCCGTGATACATGTCAAGGAATTAGAGGTTTGTGACAGCTTGACATTGTTAGTTATTTCTGACAAAAATTCAGATCATTCTGTAAACCAATATGTTTTGATGATCAATGTTAGGAACAGAAAAGTAAGACTTAAACTTCCATTTAATTTTTGGATGATCAGTATCAAAGGTGCCATTCTAGATCTGTGTGACACTTGGCCACAAGGCTAGACATGTCTATCTGTCTATTCTATAATACAGTACAGATACTACTACCTTGAGGGCAGATATCAATAGAAGGTATTGTGACTCTAGTAATATTAGAAATATAGTGAGAAGTACTGACTGGTTTTCTAGTACTAGGTTTAATATAAGGTCTAGGGGTTGGTTCCTTTAAAAATTCTTTTCTATTGAATACTTCTTTATCATTCTTTTCACTACAAAATATTAATAATAACTTCACAACAACAGAAAATGTGTATAACACCAGAATATGATCTCTCTGATGGGATAACAAAAAAGATACATCTTTGTGAATGAGTGAGAAACAAATTGAATAGATCTGCTCTCATCGTCTTGTTTTAAAGGTAACAGCAGTGTAATAATAAAATGGATGACTGGTTATTAATTACCTTGTATGATTGAAGATGATATTATTTTCAATAACGCCATTCTTAACTTGATCAAAATGTATAGTTGGTGTTAGTACTGACTGGACACGATTCTCAATTATCTATGAGAAAAAATATAAAAAATACATACGAGTAATTTTATTCCATCATCCGAATCAGACGTTAGAAGTAACCTTGGTACTGCTTTGCATGTTCCAATTCTGGTCATTGGATACCATGACTCTTGAATGTGCAGAACTCACCAATCATCTGTCTCTTTGACATCTGGGGATTCAATCCTTGCATGGATCAAGACAGAACCTTCAGGTAAACAAGTTATAAATGTTAAGTAAAATATATCTTACATTCACAGATTCACAACTATGTAGAGATATACCATAACTTCCATTTTCTGCCACATCATTCTGATATATAGTAGCTTTATTACAACACTTAATACCATTGTCTTTATTTTTATAAATACCATTACCTTCTATATTAATCTACAAATACCCCATAAAATATATTAACTGTCTAATATTTGGACTAGTGCTGTATGAGCAAAGATAATGCACTATTTGTTCATAATCATAATCAAAAGGTGACAAAGCAATCATACATATATTGGATTCTGGAAGATATATATAGGTTTTTGAACCTTCCTGAAGATTAGTAACTGAACACTCTCGAAGTAGACAATTTGAGCCAGATTTCTCATACAAAAATAAACATACGCTACTTACTTCCCCTGAGTTTGAAGTAATAATACCACTTCCTTTGTTATTATTAACATTATTACTGACTAGAACCACAGACAAATTTTGATCAACGTAAACACCATCTGATAGATTACCATCTACATTATTATATCTTATAATAACTTCATCACAATACTGAACATATATACCCTTACCTAGAAAGTGAATATTTTCAAATTTCAACCATCCAACAAGTCACATAGCTTACCTGAGTATTATTTGACACAATTGAACTCTCTGACCCAGGCAGGAGGCCAGAATTCTATCAGACATATGCAATCCCTTCTTCCATGATTAGTCTGCGGCAGATAAAAAAAACCTCTTTCTGATTGAATGAAACAAAAATAGGTTGTTCACATCCTTTTAAAAATTGAAAAATTTGCCTCAATGTACACTTTCATCAGTCCCATGAATACTTGAGTAGAAAAAAGTTTGTACCATGATTTTGAAAGATATTGTTGTATTCTAATGTTGTTGAGTCACGATTGATTATGGTGGCATTGTATTGTAATTCATTAATATTGTCAAGATATCTTTCTTTACCACTATAAACCATCCATCTTGTATCTTCATGTACATCATTCTGCAGCATCAAATGAAAATAACAAAATTATCAATATGATTGGGCTTATCAATAAGAATTGAGTTGAGTTTTTGTACTGTGGAAGTTATGACATCACTGTCTCAAAGGTCCTTATATATCATTATCAGATTTTGCAATAGTGACGTTATAAAAAACACTACATATAAAATTTTTACTCTTTACTATCCCTTTAAGTAAGGCAAAGTAATTATCTTTAGGGTTTTACATCCCAATTGCTCATGTAAAAAACAATCAGATCTTATACTAAATGGCATGCTTATCATAAGATAAAGTACATTTGTGTAACCTTATTTCTATATTTCATAATGATTTGAAGCTAGAAGCTCATATTAGTGATCATATATTTGGTATAATTAGACTGTATACTTACAGATTTATCAACCAACATAATACCACAATCACCATTACAACTAATTTGATTACCATTAAGATATGGTTTATTACCATTCATTATCCATATTCCACAACCAGCATTTCCTATTGCATAAATCTCTTTTGATAAATGAACAAAATATTTCACACACAAAGGAATGGGATAAAGTCTTTCTGTCATGGGCTCTGAGTGACTGTATTCACTAGAGTACAATCCAGACAATGATAGTAGAAAGGTTCCTCATGGTATTCTGAAGATGATATTTGGATGAGCCTGCCCCTTTTTAAACAAATGGTGGGATAGTGTACCTGAAATGACATTGTTCTGTAAACAACCAATACCCCTTTCACCAATTACTATACCATCTCCACTACCATTACTGATTAGATTATCTTGTATAATAGGATTAGCATCATGTCTAATATCTATACCACCCCACTGATTACAGGTTATATTGTTTTCTATATAAAAAAAATAGCAAAAAAAATTATATAAATTTGAGAAAAAAACTGGCAAAAACTTTTATCTACTGACTCCTAAAATGCCAAATAATTAAATCAAATATATAACTCTGCTTTCCATCAATTTGGTTGGTTCTAGCCTATGTGCCTTCTAAGCATAGAACTATTAAACTCATCCCTCTTATAGGCATATGCTACAGAACAGATTAAAGCCTCTATATTTAAAGAGGTATATCAAAGGTCATAAAAGTGAAAATACCTGTTATCAATCCTTTTCCGCCTTCATTAACAGCAATACCAGCAGCCTGACCATTGTAGATATTATTACCACTACAAAGTATAAATGTATATACATAAAAAAATATTTGGTAAAATATCATGTTATTTTTCTATCCATTCTGTAAATTTCAAGCTCAAACAGTAGTCCATATTTATACATAAAAAACTTGACAAATTTCAGGACACCCTGTTATCATTAGGTTTGTTTATTTTGCTTTTTAAGAAAGTCAAGAAACTAAGCACTGTTACTTCAAACACAGAATTAACTGGCAAACCTACAAATAATGTTAAAGAAAGGGCTGTTTTGACAAAATTCTGAACTAGACACAACTACAACAACAGCATTTTTTAAATACAAAAAGATCTACCTTATTAGAGGATTTCCACCATACAAGACATAAATACCAGCTTCTTTATTTTCATATATATCATTAAATTGTATATGACCTCTGCCACTACCTAATACCACAATACCTGATCTCTTACCATTGTGTATCTTGTTATACTAGATATACAGAAAATAATATCAATAGGTCATTGTTTGCACACAATCTAAACATTAAAAAAACTTACAATATAATTAATGTGCTCACCTGTATGACAGGATCAGCATTTTTTCTGACATCAATACCAGCTTCAAGATTACAATAGATGTCATTTCCTACAAATAAAGTTGGAACACAATGTTATACAAAAGTTGATCCTTTTTCAATATTACATACTAAGTTAATGGTCATGGAAACTGTTGATAGATGGGTCCGGTGTTCACTTTATTCAAACAAGCTATAAATAAATACTTGTATAAGGTGATAATTTTAACTAATCAAAACAACCCCTTTTCTTATAAGAGAGCTTACCTAGACTCATATAATATGAAATTCATGTGACATCATCAAACTTTGATATCACAATCATTAATACAAGGTTAATCAACTTAAGTTAAACACAGTAGAATAATACGATAATCAACAGCAGTCGCTGACAATTGGTCATTGAAATAACATGCCAAATACTTTTTTATTGGAATAACAAAGGTCGACTCTGTGCTAAATTTTATTGCTGGAGTCTAACTCTAACATCTCAAACTGTTATCTATCCTAGTAAACAAGAATTCAAGAATACCTGCTATAAGTCCCTGTGAAGCTAATCTCATAAAGATACCAGACGTTCGACAATGATGTATTTTATTCTTCAGAATAGTAACCTGAAATGAACAAAGCATATTCATACAGATCATAACAGGTGATATACAAATTTGTCCAAGACAGTAGTATATAGCGTAAAGCACCTAAGGGTAACCTAGTAAACAAGAGTGAGGGCAGTGGCTTTAGACTTGTTGAAAGTGACAACACAAAAGTATGATTTTCAATACCTGAGCATTCTGTATACATCTTATACCATAACTAACATTACTGATATCACATTCTAGTATTATAGCTTCACCTTGTAAACTGACCATGACCCCACCCTTACTGTACGTCATACGACAATGATGTATCAAACACCCTTTTATCTGCTGCAATAAACCAAACGGTGCAGAATTCTTTCGCAAATCAAATTTCAATGGTTTAACATCACTCTGAATTGAAACATTGTCTTTATTAGGAGTTTTTTTAAAGTTATTTTTGGAATGTCTTTGACGTAGATGTGGTAACATTATAACAGAACCATCAGATACACTATCTTCACTATTTGATCTGATAATACTGGGTGATTCTTCACTACTAGGACTACTGTTAGTAGATGATATGTGATATGACTGTCTAGATTCTGCAATATTAAAAAATAATAAAGTTTGGAATGATGGACAAATGTTGAATAATTCAGCTTTCCCAGCTGACAGCTCCTTTTCAGCTGACAATTTTTTGGAACAAAATATCTGATATCTAGTGTGTCTGTAGTTTAAGCAAAACGGGAGAATAAAATTGTCAATGTTGAGTTTCTGAGTCATTATTAAAAATCTAAACGTCATTAGGATAATATGAAATTACCTAATTTCGGTTTATGTAAAAAGAATTGTAGGAAACCCAATTTGGTCATCATAAGGTATCATAAAAAGAAAATTAATTGTCAAAAGTGACAAAAATGTATAACAGAATTAAAAGAATGTGAAGACAATCCTTTCAAGAAGTGGAGTCATTAATGACATTCTCTATTATCACAATATATCAAACCTGGGACATTAATGTGTCAAAAAAATGTGTTAGTGTTACAGCCAAAAATTTTGTTCGAGTATATAGTACACACATCAAGACAGGAAATTGGTGCAAAGTACGAGAGCTTATTGTTCAAATAGGAGATATTTGGCATACCTGGATCTGTAATGGAGTCCAAATCTTGTAAAACATCAGATATACTTTCTTGACTAGATTCGTCTTCTGCACTACCACCATGTCTATAATCAATGGGATTAGATTTGACCCAATCACCAACAGACGACATTTTCTCTATCATACCATTCATCACATGACAAGAGTCTCTGTTGTCTTCCATAATATCACTGATATTACTGACTTTATCATCACTTTCATAAGTTTGACTCATTTCAATTGATTCTGAATTAGTTTCAATAATTGCGTCAACAAATCTTTCAGTTAGTCGTTGTAAATATGAAAATGTCCAATTCTTTTCCTCTTTGACATGTCCTTCAACAATGATGTCTGCTGTGTCACTTTGACAAAATTCACAATTTTCAATGATACTTGCGTTAACATGTTGTAGAATTATTGAAGCATGACGAAATGATGAGAAGCGAACATGACATGATCCTGGATTCTGTATATATAACATACCATCTTCTAATATACAATTATCTATTTGTATAAAACCAGAACGTATCTACAAACAAATGTTTATAAATTGAAATTATGTGTTGAATAATGAAAGTACCTGCTTCAATGCTTGTTGGATTAGGCAATCGTACCTTTCTTTTTTTTCAACCTGATTCAATGATAATGTGCCTGACATCCTAATTTTTTACGAAAAATAATGTCCCATGATAAGTTTTATGAAATCAAAGGAAAAAACTAAGTTTAATCCACAGGATTGTAGGCTGGTTCAGCATTTTCAAAAACAGTATATCACCCTCATAAATCTAAGGAACAAACTACCAAGTTCAAACATAGGCTGTGGCCTTATCAATGATTTTGTGCTTACCTTTAAAATAAAAGAAGTAAACCAAGGAGCTCTTAAAACCAGATTATTTAATCTTCCAGTAGTAGCTATCTGTTCGATACAAACAACTAATATGACACTCCCCAATTCTCCACAACCAATAATTTCAAATGGTATTTTGGATGACATCTCAAATTGTTCATCATATATACCAGGATGGACACAAATTTGATCATAGTCGTTTGCAACATTTAATGCACTGCGTAGTGATTCATGTTCTTCACCGGGTCCAACATTAATAACTCTTTTCATCTTAGTACGTTTTAATACAGTTAAACATGTCATGTATTGAAAATCTTTGCTGCCATTTTGCCAAAATCTGTTGGCTAGGTATTGGTCTCTGTATGCATCTTTCCAAGACGATGGTTCAATTGTGGTATCCAAGGGCCAGTTAGGATGTTTCCAGTCAGTGCATAATGAATATAACTCTTTCCATCTTGTGGAGTCGACATAAAGCATAACATCTCTCCATTGTTGACAAACACAGCAAATATGGCAGAGATCTCTTGCTTTGAGATGTCGAAGTATAATTTGCCATATTTCAATTGGTAAGCTGGTTCCTTGGTCAGGAGCTATTCTCAGACTGCTACCAGTCTTTGTGGAAATTAAAGACATGTTTGTCTTGTTTGATCTTGATCAGTCTTACATCTTAACATCCTTAGATATCTAGTTCTGTTGTTAATCATGAAGCCGCTCAACATAATACTGAAAAAATAAAATCCAAATTACTCATAAGCTGGAAAAACCATAACATCCAAGATAGCTAACAGGTAACTGTTTATATAAGCTTAGATAAATAAAATATAATAGATTAAAAGCATAGATAAAATGATTTTTCAATAGATCACAATAACACAATATCCATGTTGTAGACCAAAAGTAGTACCTTCAGTTAGCGCTTCGGGATCCATATTTAGATTTACTTTTAAAAATTTTGTCACCGTGTCTGTGAGACTGACAGTGCTAGGTCTAAGGATTGCCAGCATCATTCTATTCCAATGGAATGGCAACGATTTTAATTTTTTACCCACCAAAATGATGATATTTTAGACTCTAGTCTGAATATTAATGCCAAATTTCATCTCAATCGGATAATTGTTTCTGCTTTAAATCAATTTTTTTGTTCGTAAAAACATCACACTCTTCATAGAAAATGTTCGAAAGTCGATAAAACGGTTAACTTCAATAGTTAACTGAAAGACGGTCAAGAGTAAATTTCCGAGACGATTGGGAACAAAACAAACATACAAAAGTCATTTCTGAGACGTTTCGTAAAATACTAGGATGTTTCGTACCGTTTCTACAGAATTCAATGAATTCTGTGAAGTTGGCTACCTTACACTGTAAGCCTAAGTATCTGAGGCCCATGCATATCACACTTCAGTATCATACCTAAATCAGATTTGATGATCGGAACTGTGTCATTTATTAATGCATTGACCACAAACATTGAGGTTTAGGGCATAAAAATTGGCCTAATTTAAATAAGCCTATTATGGCTACAACATGACTCCAAGCCTTTGTCGAAAGACGCGGATTACTGACTGAATCCCTTCCATTCCCATATTACGATGACCTATTTTCAGCGAATTTTGAACATTAACGTTGCACGTGCATATTTTTTTTTTACACTCAAGGCAGAAACACATCGTTTACTGTGCTTAATTTCGCTGATTTGTATTTTTTTTCGGAATTTTAGCCTATGATTATTGTGCGAACTGTTTCGGACTACACTAAAGCCACACCCCTTTTGGAGTCGTGTTTATGTCGTCTGGCCTTTTTCAGGGACCAATTATTTTTCAAAGAGGTTGTGACTAAAACAAATATACCTATCCATTTATTTTCCACACAAAAAAAGATTCTAATGATAAAAACGATAATGAAATAATATTTCAGGTGGGTCCACTCCAAAACTTCCCTGTTTTTAGTGAGCAACATTTTATGTTTTGGCCAACAACAATTACTAGTCCATCCTTTCACTTACAAAGAGCCTAGATCGAAAACGAGGCGACGCCGGCAGACGCCGAGAATATTCAGACAACGGCCGAAAATGGAAACAGCAAGACGCGAGAACAACTCTGGAGAGCTTTTGACAGGTATTTCATGACCATTTTAACTAATTTGACCTCACAATACACGCGCAATATGAATTTAACTGCTTTGGAGAAAATTTGACATCAATTTTGTCTGAATAGGCCTAGCGGCCCCTACCCCTCACACCATGAGAATTTGTTCGTATACCTCTCGCCCAGTCCCTAAATCTCTCATGCAGGCATACTGCAACGCATTTAACCGCGAAATTATGCATGGTAAATAATTTAAAATTTGGACAGGTTACTTCAAATGTTTCCCTGACGGGTCTGACGTGTTTACTGACGTGTGACGGAGACCTTACTCCAATTCCCTGAATCCCAATACTTGGCCATGTCAACATCTAAATTTAACATGTCTTTGATCTCCGACCTCGTGCGCCAATTTTAATCAAGTCAAATAGTTGACGGATTGTTGACAGTTTTAACCTCCAGAAATATCAAACAAAATTTGGCAGCACGGACTCAGACATCAGGCACGTGTCTGGTAAAAGACAGCAGATGATTGGCCAAAACTTTGATGTCAATCTAAAACTGGGAGGAGTAACGCGCACGGTTGTTATTTGCATACTTAGGTCTGCAATTTTTAGCGGGCTTTTCATTTACTCAGTGGCATTTTCCAAGAATATGGAGTATTTATTGGATTATTTTGTGCATTTTTGTAGGATATTTGTTCTCAAGGTTTAGATTTCAAGATTCAAAGGAAATGGACCAAATTTCAATTCAAATGGTAAATTCAGTCTTGTAACATTTATCAAAACCGTGCTTGGGAACTCTTTTCTTCAGTGAACACAAGCACGGTTTTGATAAATGTTACAAGACTGA